GAAAAACAAAAACAAATCTTTCATGAAACTTTGCCTGATTTGCGAAATCCCGAAAAGAAATCTCGTGGAAGTGTACTAATTTGTTAGAATTACCGCTATCGTTTTCCGTTAATTACCACTGTTTCGTGGTAAAGGCAAAACTTTCAGTTTCAGCTTTCGCTTTTGGTGACAATATAACGCGCAAAAACTATACATCCTGTAATAACGATCGTTATGAAAAATCGTAAAATTGTACATTCATTCTACGAGTTTGTAAAAAAGTTTACGGTTTTTGCCACCGCGTTTATATTCATTCAGTTTCATTGTTAATAACATCTATTATCGCACAAAACAGCACCCCTCTCTGTGAAAAATATTTAACATTATTATCCAACAACAATATCTAAGTAATACTACTTGATAATATAATTATTTGTAACAACAATATTTTAATAATAAATATTTTTGAGAGAGATAATACAACCGTACACACACGTTTCCCGATAGTTTTGAAAAATGCGTGTGAATGATTGCGAGGTCTACCACAGAATCAAAGGGTCTTGCCATCGATTAAACAAATCGCCCCATTACATGTCTGAAACACGTGTCTATGTTTACCATGTTCGCGATATGTTTACGATATAATTGTACGTACACGGTCTTTTATTAAGAAAACAAAATCCGATTCGTAATAATCATATTTACATTACGATTCGACACGAACACACACGCATTTAATCTCGCAATAATCTCGAAATGCAAATCTTTCTACGCGGAAAACTCTGAACGTTAACGAAGATGCGTTTGCATCGATAAAATTGAAATACCTTTACAATCTGACGTCTTTATAATTGTTATCTCATTTTCTTTAGTTATGATCTTTTTTTGAGATTAACCCGCATTGTGTATGTGAATAATTTTATTGCACGGTCGAGCAAAGATATACACGAAGACGGGGCTCATAACGATAAGTGCGCGACTTACTTTTTCCCGTTATTTATGCAAGTCCGTGTGACATTTCGACGACTCCATATATTTAACAAAGAAGACAGTGCGATATGTTTGGCAAATAGCCACTCCTCCGCTCACACCAACGACGTCGCCACGCATGCTCAGAGCTTTTCGCGGAAAGGCGGGCCCGCGAAGCTTTTCATCGACCAATGTGCTTTCGTGGGTGGCACACAGAACGTACCTCCGACTTGCGCGGCACTTTCCTGAACGGCCATGCTTATACGCGATGAAATCTCATAATTCATCCTCCGAGGAGAGAAAGGGGGAGGAAACCTCACCCGATAAGCTTCGAAAGCGATCGAAATCGACTTTCATTATCGTTTTATTTAAGCTCGTTTCGCTCGCCATCCCAAAATGAATGTTAGGTCGCGATCGATGAAAACTGTATAACGGGACTGCGGACTCCTCTCGTTGATATTGCAATATCGAAATGACCGGAGGAGTGTTGTCTTTATTTGCGTTCTTTTTTAAGTGCGTTACTTGATCGCGCGCGCGCGCGCGCGCACACACACACACCTTTGAACCGCGTTTTCGCGACAAGAATTTTTACCGGTGCGGTAAAACCTCGAGAAGGAGATATTGCGAAAATGTTGCGCGTCAGTTCGCCAGAAGAGCAAGTAGTAAATTGGTTCTCCTGACAACATCGTTGTTGCAATTTATGCCTGCTATTATTATATCGAGCGTAATAAACTACAATTCATGAGCCACTTTGCTACTATTTATAAATGAATCGGATGAAGGTGAAATTAGAGCATTGTCCATTATTTCTGATTCCAGAGTTCTCCCTCCCTCTCTCTCTCTCTCTCTTTCAATAAACAAAAAAAATAAAATAACATACAATAATATTTCGCACACCTCAGTGCGAAAAAACTTTCAATCGTGTCTACCGTAAAATAACTCACAAAACTAATATCGGAGCACTAGAGAACTAGAAGAACTATCGTAAAACTAAGTAAGTCGATATATTATGTCACGTACGTATGCAAATGTTTAAGATCAAAATTAATTTATTGCCGTACACGACGGCGGCAATTACCGGATGTATTTCGTCATGTGCGCACTGTGCCAACGGGTGCGAACAAATAAGAAAAAAAAAATAAAAAAAAAAAAAACAAAACCACAAAAAAATAAATAAAATGTTTTGAAACGCACGAATGAAATCACGTCGTGTTCCACATCTTTCTAGTCAATGACGCGTTTTATCGCGTAAAGGTAAACTTGTGGCGGTGTGTGAGCGCGCGCGATACCCGTTACCACAACTCGCTTTTTTTATTGCATTTTATATACATCCGAGATTTGTTTTCTCATTAAACGATGTAAAATAATGTAATGCGTAATTTCGTTTTAGAACGGAGATGTACATGTGTTTGTTTTGTGCCGGGTGCTTTATAGAGACAGAGAAAAAGCAAAATATGACGTTTTTTATTTTATTTTATAAAAGAACGGGAAAAAGTCGCGGCTGAATAAGTACTTGCGAGAGAAATGCTCGTGGTGGTGTCTCGCTAGAATAGATAGGTGACTGAAAAAGTGAATGCATAGAGTATAGCGCCCCGGTGTCTCGCGAGTAAAGGCACAGGTTACCGTTGAATTATCAAGCCGTTAATTCCAAATAAATGGAAAAGCACGTTCACCGACGCGACTTTCACTATCAGTCTATCGGTGTAAGCGGAGAATCGCTTGTTCGTATATATCGCTTTGGAATGGCGTTTAATAAAGCCGGACGAATCGACAGGAAAGAAAGATCTGTGCGACGACACACAGCGCGAATCGATTCCGTTTTCGCGGAACAAATCAAGGAAATGTGAAATTTGTGCGAAGTAAAAGAGATATTGGAAAAAATGCGCAAGAATTTGCATATTAATAAATTTTTTTCGCGCGATTGACGCAAAATTCTAAATATAAGACGTGACGCCGCATGTAAATATACGAAGCGATGATTTGCAATAACAATCCTTCGTTGGTCCTCGCACTAAAAACATATCAACAATTCGAATGGACAATTTCCGGTACACGACACCGACACCGGAGCGAAATACGCCACGAATGCTACGGATTTCTTCTCCTTCGACTTGTCGATGATGGATAACAAACACGTTTTGTTTCCCTCCTCCTCTCGGAGTCGTTTTATGTTGGAGATAAAACGGTACATTCTTTTCATTGTAGGGTAGATTTTAAAGCAGCATTTTTTGTAATGGCCTTGCCGTTTGGCTCACTTCAATTCCTGCGATGTAACAATTTTTCCGGACTACTTCACAGAAAAAAAAGTCGCAAGAAAATTAGTTGCTTGTAGAGACAGCAAAAAAAAAAAAAAAAATTTGCTAAGTTTATTGGATTTTTTGTTTTATCAGCAAAAAACGTTTTGTTGATGAAGCAACATCTACAGCAGACCCAGCAAGTTCTTCTCGCTGTCCTATGTAATAGCAAAACTTTTCTCCGTGTTGTAATGTTAATTTGTTTTTTTTTTCTTTTCGTGATCGATAAACTCGTCATTTGTCTCGGAAGATTGGCGAGACGTTGGAACGTCCGACCGCGTTTACGCATTTACGCATTAGTTACACTCGGTGACAAGCAGGCCAAAACAAAGAAAAATACACCTGATTGCTAGAATAGAAAGACGCGTACGTGTAAGCGATTGTTTCGAAGGTTTTTCCTGACACGGGGTATATAGTCTGCAATAGTCGCGGCAACAATGGGACGTTGCAAGGTCCGGGGAAAACAATTCAATCTCGCGATGCGTCAAAGAGGTACGCGTAACAGGTATGCAGTTTTTCCACTAGACACTTTGTGAGGGGGGAGAATCGCGAGGCGAGGCAAAAGTAGGATAAACGTCCCCGTGAGCAGCGTGACTCCTCTCTTTTAACCCTCTCGCGTTTGAAAAATTTCCTCCACTCGAATTCGCAACAATATTATCAAACGAGATCGATTAAATTTCACTTCGGGAACGAAAGACTTCGCTCATCTCTTCGATTATTTGTTTCCCATGTTCGGTATCCCGTAAGTACATTTTTGCGCGCCACCAGCGCGGAACCAGGCTCGGGATTTCCAATGTAAGGAAAACAGAATAATTAAATCCGAATGTCAGAAAGCGAGAAAAACGCGTGTTTTCGAAAACTGGAGCGACGCGGCACGAACGCAGGCGAGAGGGAAGTGAAGAAGAGACGGCGGGAGGGGAGGAAGAGAGGACTCGTCTCTCTGGGTCTCAGGCCCCGGTTCTCCGCGTCCCCCACCATGCGCGGAGGGCCGCGCACATTTCGCACGCGAATGACATCGCACCAATTGCGTTTCCTCGCTTTCGACTCCCGGCAGCGGCGTGTCGATGGACCGCAACGACATTTCGTCCGTCGTTTCGCTCTTCTCCTTCTTGAGAGATTATGCGCGATGCGTAACGTCGCCGAAGGATGAGAAAACGCATCCGGTGCGCGATTTAAGGTCAACGCACGTACACACACATACATATTATACGTATATGTACACAACGTCGGCCGCTTCGTGGCAACGCGGCGAACATCCGAAGAGAAACAGGCGGTCGTAACGACGTGGCGTATGTTATAAAATAATACCGAGCTTGCCGATAACGGTGTCGGTGTCGAATTCGCGGCATTCCGTAGCTGTCACCGCGCGTTGTTTCGCGCGCGGTTATCGCTTTTTGATCGGCGCGCGTCTGCCATTGCGCTTCGGCTAAACGAGTCGCGCGTTTTAGAGAAGACGCGCGCTGATCGGTACCGTTACGCGACACGATATATATATATATATATATATATATATGTATCAGCGTCACGGCGAGAATCGTCACGACGAATTATGCAAACGCATTTTAATCTGGCGTGAGAAAGGGGAGTAAATATGCGGAAGGGGAACAAACTGACGCAACGCGCGTCATTGAAAAAAAACAAAATAATAAAAATTCAACATTTTCGCGACACTTGCTGTAACGACGTGTACGATCTCAAGGGAACAAAAAAAAAACGGAGAAAGCAAAACAAACACGAGGAGATAGGAAGGAAACTCACCGAGAATCGCCTGGAGTGTCTGCTCGTCCCCGTCCCCGATGACGTCCATGCCTTCCCGTAGACGATGCTCGAGACCCCGTTGTTGCTTTTCCGGACCCGATCAACGGGCCCCATTCCGCGACGTTCGAGCGGCAACAATGAGATTTCGTTTCAACGTCGTCGCAACGTCCCGCATAATAATCACACACCGAGAGTCACACCGAGGAGAGATGTCCTGTGTGTGTTCGCGGATTATCCTGCTCCCCTCCTCTTTCTTTTTCTCCTTCGGATAAGATCTCGAGCTGGTTGCTCGCGGCTGGCGCTCGCTCCTTACGCACTGTTTCCTTTTTGCTCGCTCGCCGCCTCCTCGCGCAATTCACGGACGACTCTCTCTCTCTCTCTCTCTCTCTCTCTTTCACTTCTCTTCTTTCCTCTTTCTCTCTCTCTTTCTAATCCGACCACGGATACACGGCGAGCAACGGCATCGTCGCGCGTATCGCACGATCGTTTCGCGGGGTCCAGATGAAGAAACGCGCACACGCGATATTTGCACACGTACCGCGGTTGTGTATATGCGCGCGTTTTAACCACCGATTGCGCTCCGCAAAAATGCGCAGCTCGCGCATAAAGAAACGAGAGATCCCCCCCGGGACTTCTCTTTATGGTTGCTCGCCAGTCGCGCTATTTCGCGTGAGAGTCGCTCGCGCGCGAGTCGCGGTTAATCCCGTGTCGCGAACTAAATCCCGAACCTCGCGTTTGCTCCGTTGATACCCACACGCGCGCTAGACGTAATGCTGCAACACAAAACACACTCCCCGTTCGTGCGTGTCACGGCGCGCACCGCGGTACCATCTCGCCTCGGCGCCCAATACACCTCGCGGAGTAAATCTCAATTTTAAGAAAAAAAAATGTCGAAACGTGGTAGCAACAGCTTCGATTATTTAATTGTTACAACTCTGATTGTTTAATAATTATATTGGGAAGAACTGTAATAAGCACAATGAGAGAGATCGAAACTATTATTTGTTAATCGATCAATCAATTTACCTCGTATTTGATTTTAATCGATCAATTTGAATTTATCGAAACACGCCACCAACTGCGTTGAAAATCGGAACCGAAGAAAACACCAATCGCATCAATTGGTCGAGTTTTCGAGATGAAAGAACGTGGTCTCCGGTTTGCAGTTTTACCGAACGCGGAATATCTGACGTATATTACAACGTATATTCACGTGTTCACGTTTTCCACATGTGAAAAAAAAAAATAACATATCGCGCGCGATGAGTTTGACAAACGCGAATCACCGCCGTGTCACTTAAGTCGAACACAAACTTCACACGTTCCGATAGCGATTCGCTTGAACATAGGTACGCACTGCGAATCTGTAGTACGTGTTTACGCGAACTATAGATTTTCAGTAGGTGGCGGTGCATGTCGGAGGAACACGCGCGACGTCTAAAGGCACGATCCTGCGACGCGCCGAGGCGAGTGGGTCACGTGACCGAGATCGGTCGTTGTTTGAAGAAATGGCGCGTGGGAGATGCGCGAGTGTCGCGCGTCCGTAAAATTTCACAACAAACACGGTGGTTACGTGACCGAAAACTCGAGACACGCGCTGGGAAATCGCGACGATCGAACGAATCGAGTTTACGCGTCGTCGAGACCGCATCGATCGCGAAAGTCAATCTTCGATTCATTTCGTTTCGCCGCGACTGCGAAAATGCAAAGTTCGCGTGTCGCAAGATGGCCGATCTGCGTTAGCGGAGCGCCGAACGGAAATGTTTCTCGAAAATCGAAGTTTCAACGGATTGTTCGGGCGAAACTTTCAATGGACATCGAGAAACAGCAGCGCTTGAAACGTCACTTTTGTCGAGGTGAGCGAAACTTTTATTGTGTATATTAAATTTACGGATTTTATTTTCGAGCATTTCTCCCTTTTCCCTCGTTTCCGATGAATTTCGCGCAGAGGTGATACATAAAATAACTATCTTACGTACGTTCGTAGATACTATAAACATTTATTACATCACATAAGTACAATTGAACACCGAGGGGTTGCTAAATTATTGTTGTTATTGTATATGGAATTTATTATATTTTTATTATTGTTGTTATATCATTATTATCATGGCGCCTATATCAATATACATATATATATATGTTATATATATATACATATATATTATATCTGTACTAAAAGTCACTCACAATGCTTTGTGCATTCATAAATAATTTACTTTGTTTTTTTTTTTTTTGTTTTTTTTTACACAAAGAGTACACACAAATACACGCATGCGTACACACTCGTCGTTTAAATCTAACGAAACCCTTTCTTCTTATTATATTACACATCACTTGCAACTGCCGAAGGATTTTTCCGGGATTGCCTCGTCGCGTTTGCCTTACCTTGACGGTTATCAGCTTCGTCAACGAAAAGGTGACGAGAATCGCGCGCATACACCGGAACAAAGCGACGAGATTTTCACTGAGATAAGAAAAATTGGATGAAGGTAAAGCGATCGGTTCTCCCCTTCCCGAAAGAATTCATCGGCAATTGCAAATAAATTCGATCGCTGTCATACATATATATAGACTTACATATATGTACACTTACAATTAGTACAGATGGTAGTACTCATTAGTGTTCCAAACATTGCACTAATATAAATTTTAAATTGAATAAGAAGCAACGCGAGTTCCGATATACTAAAGGACTACTGTGTTTTGTACTCTACACACATGGAAATGTGTTGGTTTTCGGTATACGCGCAAAAACCAGATGCATCTTACGTCCTGTTTTTTTTTTTTTTTTTTCTAAGACTTTTAACAAAAATTTCACTCGCAGAAATTTCGAGCGCAGATCATCCAATCCTTCTTTCACATCATCTCTGTACACATAGATGCTCATAAATCTTTTCCTGACCGATCTGGCCACGTATTGTTTAAAACAATTCGCGCACAACTGATCTTCTAGTAGAACTCTCGGAATCGTGTTGTGAGACAGAACTATTTCAGGAACGGTTGACAGAGTTGCCGGAACTCTTAGAAAAATCGAGCTCTTACAAGTTTTTCTTTATACATATTGTAGATATCGCCGTCTCGAGTGATTACACAATTCATCTCTTATTGGCACCTATATAAATCTTACGTCTTACCGTACTTGGTGTGCAATTTTTTTGTTTTTTTGTTTTTTTGATACGAGATACGTGGAACAGTACCACCGCACTTTTCAAAAGTGTCTTAGGGCGTTATTCCCTGTTGTGAATTTATTTTGAGAATGTGAATCGAGTTGAGAAGTCACAATCTAAATCACGCAAGGACAATTAGTCACTATAAGATCTCAAAAAATGCAGATAATATTACATTACAGATTTTTGATAACATTCGAGTTTTACGCTCTCTATTGCAGATCTTTGTGTTGTTACAGTCCTAGTAACTTTATAATCGCGCGTGATAAACGCGCCCTATAAACTATTTAGCAGCCAGAAAAGTGTAGTAGTGAGAAGTATTCCACTGACAAAAAGAAACGTAGATGTTGTAATAATTGTTTATTGGTCTCATGCGAAAATTCATAAATTACCAGCAATAATAATTTGTGTATATACATATGTATATATGCATATATATATATATATTAATGCATGCAACTTTATATATTATATAATTCACTTAAAAATTATTCACGTATTAATTTATCAATTTTTCCAAGTCAAGTTTCAACAATTAATTTTATATATACACAACTTATGTGAATCAACAAAATTCCATTTTCTTAAAAGTTGCTTCCCTTATTTTTATATATATATATATTACGTTGTGAGTCTCAATTTAAAGATTAAATTTATTTCTTTAATCTTGTTCTCTCTGAATTTAATATATATATAATTTTTTTTCCATAACTGATGTATGTATTCATATTTATAAAGCAATGAATATCACCTGGCACACGTTACCGATGCTTAAGCTTCTCAGAGAGAACCCTGTTTATATTTACATATATAACCCACTACTAAATTTATTATATAAATAAATAATGCGCGTATTTCCCTCAAAAAAATAAGTGTCAATTCGATTATCATTAATTAAATTAACACTTATTCATTGTTGTTGCGTGAGACTCTGAATCATATAGGTCTTTTTTTTTAATTATTATATATTGTACTATGTAACTGCTGTGTTCAGTCTTAGTCGAGGAATAAAAAAAAAAAAAAAAGTAAAAATCAGAGAGTGTGTGAAGAGAGAGGAGAGGAAAAGAGAGAGAAAAAGTGAGAGAAAAAGTGAGAGAGCAAGAGTTTATGTGCGTGTGTTTGTGTGTGTGAGAGACAGACAAATAGAGAAGACTTTTCAAAACCAAATAGAAACTGGAAATGGAACAATCAATTTTTGGGTCCCGTAAATTAAGTAAGTGTTATTCAAGCCATCGTCATGGATTATTTAAGTCAATCGTTCCGTTAAAGTAATAATTAACACGTTTTTTTTTTATGTTAGAAAAAAATTAAATTTTCAATAAATTTTGTCGGTAACGAATATCTTGTTAGTGTCAGTTGTTAGAATTGCAAAACTATTTTTATACATTGTTATTGCATGATTAACAGTTTATCGAAACGTATTAGCCCAGTTTACAATATATGTACGGATTTCGAGTTTAGTAACCGAGAGTTCAAAAAGTTTTACAAAGTTTATAATATTATCTATTAGTACCTCATATAAGTGTGTGTGTGTGTGTGTGTGTAAAATTAGTTTTGTATTACTAGATTCATATTTGTTTCTCCTCTGAAATCAATCATTTATACAACAAGAGAGTTTCTTCTTTGTAATTTATATAAAATAAATCCGATTTGCGACACTCTCAAGCGATTAGCGCACGCGCATATAATGAGATTCACACGCCGTTACAAACGCAAACGTTCTTCCCTTTTTTTTAAACTACTTGTGTTTATCATCGTTTGGTTTTTAAAAAGCACCTGTGCTTAGAAAATACGTTTCCACAACTTGTGTAAATTTCTGTCTTCTTTTTTCTTTTGTTTGAGCGACTGTAATCAACTGTCAACGATTTGTCATGGCAGTAGTAAATGGCAGCTTGTTTGAACGTGAGTCTCGACTCGCTCGGATAAGAATAGGAGCCGATTCACAGGCTGATATTCGAAATTCAGTTTAAAAATTAACGCCACTCTAGGTGGCCAGACACGTATACCTGCACGAAATAACGTTTCCCATATAGGCAAAAGTTCTCTTCGAAGAGACAGAGAAAGAGAGAGAGAGAGAGAGAGAAAAAGGGAAAAAGAGAGCAAGAGAGAGAAAGAGAGCGAAAAAAAAAACGGAGAGAAAGAGATTCCTTTGTGACAATATATCCGTTCAATCGCTCGAGGTCGACGGTTTTGTGTCGAGCGTCTGCTCGAAGAGATAAAGCGCTCTGTGAACGAATTCGTATTGCTCGGCCGTTTGCACCATTCCTCCCCTGTCGTATCTGAAATATCAAAAGACACTCGCATGGAGATGACACGTACTATAGTGTGAGAAAACAAATCTTGAGAAAAAAAATATCGTCTCGTATTTGTCGACACGAAATCGACGTGTGAAAAAAAAAAAAAAAAAACTTGTTATTCACCTCATCTGACACAAAATACCCAGCACGTCGACGTTTCCGTCTCTTTCAAGTTGCGTCATTCCTATTCCCAACGCTATGAAACAGCCGGTTCGTCCTATACCCGCGCTGCAGTGAACGACCACTGGTCCTGGCAACGTGTTCACCTCAGCGGCCATACCGACAAGCGCGTCCGCTGTCTGAGGTACGGAATGATCCGGCCACGAGTCGTACCTGTCGATATGACATGATTCGATTCACGTGAGTGAATCTTGCGACACTCCAATGGGCGTGCAAAAACTCGGCTAGTCTTTTGGTATTTTGTTTACAGAAAGGGATGTCGAATGGAAAGACGAGAGAAAAGGTCAATAAGAATTCCAGCGTGAATGTGGTTTACGCAAAATAAAATTAGATCAAAATTGTTTTAACTGATGCGTCTGCGTATTCCATTTTCAAATCAAAATTTGTGACTACTGAATTGATTGACTCGATAAAAATTACCAATAATGTTGCAAGTGTCTTCTTTCACCCTCGTGCCTGATCTCCATGGTTCTGACGGTGTACCCGTTTCGGATGTCGATGTAATTAACAATAATGGTAAAAGGTCCGGCCTGCAAGCGACTGTTCACATCGACGGGAAAGTACGCGTCGCACTTCGCTTTCGAAGCTTCGTGCAATCTAGTCATCATGACAACTACAGGAACTTTTTCCGACCAGATCATTCGCCAAAAGTCCGTTATCGTGTGCGCTAGTGGTCCCTGCGTCGCGATGTATCGAGCATCCTCGCCGTCGTATCCCTGTAAATGATTTTTCAACGTATTGTTGTAGTCTTTTTAATCTTCGCAGCTTTGGAAACCAACATGTCGTGCGTTTATCTTCAGTGATATACAATTTTTTTTTTTTTTATATAAATTACATACTCGAATATAATTGGCGTTGATGTAACCGGCGAGAGGATCGTCGGACGAACCCGGTAGAATCACTCTCGACTGCGGATTGGGCAAAACGGTGCAGTATCGATTCTTCACCCCGGAACCGCAAACGTCTATTTTGTCCGGCAGGTTCAACGGCACCTCCCAAAATTCCGCGTGCAACGCCGTCGGATCGTTGATTGCCTTCTTCAATTGCATTCGCGACAACACGTTTCCCGCGCTCAGTAAGAATTCCTCCGTTGTGCATTCTCGAGTGGGAGTGATCGTGTGAGGTGGACTCTCGGGAGCCGGTGCCAGCGCTATGGTCAAACTCGTGCTCGACCCGCGCCGTTCCAACAATCCTTTCGTTTTTATACGTATCGCTTCCGGTCGACGTTCAGGCGTCGTTACGGACATTACCTGTTGACACGAGAAAGTTGACTCGTGAGTTTGCCACTCAGATATTCATGTGCGAATTATGTTACATCGGCGTTTTTCGTTCACCTCCGGTAAACCTGACGTGTGCGGTTGTAACGTGTGAGTACACGTGGGGGGTAATTTCGCAAACGTCTCATGATGAACCCACGTGGCTTCCACGGATGATACTTTTGCGTCCTTGGCCAACTTGTCCTGCTGACAAATCGCACCTTCTTCTACCAGACCGTGCCGATCGCCATCCTCGGTATCTTTTTCACGCGACATTTGTTTCCTCAGCCATAACAAGATCTAGAAAGATTTGTTTTTTTTTTCGTTGCGTTACACACAGCTGTTACGATGACAGATATATTTCCTTTAAACGACGTGTACATAAAAAAAATGACGTTACCACTTACTAGAAATGTAAAAAGAATAGTGCCAGCAATGGCACAAAGCGTTACGAATAATGGTAATTGCCAGTCTAGCCATGATAGAGTCGTTCTGGAATGTACCTCCTTGTCTGTTCGACTGCTGAGTTGAGCCACTTGAAGATCCATTCCAGCATCATCCAGTCCCGTCATGGACTGCCTGTGGTGAAAATACTTTGAGACACCTTAACATTTGAATTATGAAGATAACAGAGAATTCGGTTACTTGCTCTACATTGCACTCAGCGAAAACTCTCTCTGCTGCACATAAAGATATTTACGATCCCAAATACATAATATAATTGAATAATTGAATTGACGGGTCTTAATACGCAATGTAGTTCGCAAGTAACTGAAAGATATAAAATTGCTTCTGTTTTCTGATCACGATCATCAATTCTCACATGATGGGTAAACGTTTCACCTGTGATGAGATCTCGCAGGCATGCCCTTTGTAAATGGCAATAAGGAAATTGGTGGCAGAGTGTCCTTATGCCACTGCTGTTTGGTGATCAGATAGAGATTTTCCACGGGTTTTACGTTGTCACCGTTACTGATTGATGTATCATAATAATTTACATCGTCCGCGTAATGATTCAAGGAAACATCATCTGTAACAAAAATGACAAATGAAATTGCAGACACGAGGTACAAGTTTGATTATCAAAGCGTTTAAAAAAATTGCGCGCAATACATACATTGCAATTTCGTGCAAATTGGCAATAATTGACGCAATCACGCTCTTCTGATAATATTTTTTAGTTACAACAACATTTACAACAAGAGGAAGCGAGAGAGAGAGAAAAAAGAGAGGGAGAGTGAAAGTCTTACACTTGATCGTAGAACGGGAAATAAACAACAACTCGTCGACGAACGGGATAAAGAGAAAATTTATAAAAGTGAAAGAGCAAACACCGCGAACGAAGACGGGGGAAAGAACGGCGGTGAAAAATCGACGATTTGTCAGTTATTGAAGCCACACGAGCGGCTACGATATGTACGCTCAAACACAAAACAATCTAATCTCAACACGCTTTATATCTCGAAGTCGAAACATCGCACAAATAAACACACATCCTGTTTTTCTTCGATGTAGTAATAACAGCCGAGCGGATGCGGATGTTGACGCGCGCGCAAGAGCGAGAAAGAGAGAGAGAGGGAGATCCACGCGTGGTTTGATCGATATATACCTTTTGCAAGCGATATATGTGTCAGCATCGCGAGCATCATATGATTGACGTGCGATCTGCGTGCACGATAATTCGTAAGGAACGTGTACAGCGACGGTACCACGGCCATATTGTGGTTAAGTAAGCGGAGACGCGCGTTTGCTCGCCCCTCACGTCGGCACACACGAGAGAGAGTTGTCGTCGTCGTTGTCGTCGTCGTCTTCGTCGTCGTCGTCGTCGTCGCCGTCTCGCCTCGCTTCTTCACCTCGCGCGCCTTGAGCTTTGGTTCTATTCATAGGCGGAGAGACCTGGCAAAGAGAGCGAGACCGGTTCCGCAACTCCTTTGCTCCGATGCGCGTAGTACGCGTCGTAAAGCGACGGTGCCAATCGGGACCGTCGCGGCTGGCGCTGACCCATCGGCGCCGGCCAATCGCCGAACGGATATGAACGGATCCCGCATCGCATTCAGCAGGAGGGAGTCGGCGTGAATGAAAGCGAAGCACGTGCCTTCGAACGAACTACACAGACGGCACAATGTGTCACATTGCGGGTCGAAAAACTTACTTTACGTTTTATTGCCCGCTTCCGTATACAAACGAATCGCATACGTCTGTCGGCGAAACTTCACGTACGAACGACACGCATCATTGAAAGAAATGAGAGAAATAGATATTGTAGATACTACTATGTTACCACGTTCTCGGAAAAGTTCTTCTTCGGATACGAACAAAAATTCGATATCTGGGTAGTATATAATTATTTACTACGATTAAAACGGTCCTCGTATATAAGATGCTCTTTTTTTTATCCTTTTTTTCAATGACTAGGTATAAGATAAATGTTCCACTGATAACCAGATATATTTTACACGTATGTGTAAAAATTGATAAATTAATATTTAAAAACATATTTTGAAAATTATCTTAAAAAACAACATCGAATCATTGAGAATTGTTATTATTACTAATGATTATCTCTTTGATAAATGTTCGATCTCATCGAGACATTTATCTTGTTGGTCGGAAATTTGACCACGTAATGAAATAAGATTGCGAAAGGATCCTCGCATTGGTTTCATACTTGGTCAGCAAGATTTTTTTATTACATTCTTCAACGATGTCCAAAATGTGAGAAACTTCCTCCAAGGGAGAAAAGAGATCGTAGTGTTTCAACTTTTTTTCAAAATGATGTGTCAGCACGCACATAAGTTTTTTTTTAGTAAATCCCAAGCCTCTCTCTGAACGTCGTGAAAATATCCGAGCAATTTACTACGTATGTACGTCTACGTGTAATTCTCAAGAATGCACGGCGATGATTCACGAAACAGGATGTCCGTGTTTGTCGTTCGTCGTTGCTTAAACATCGCATTTGTTCCGCTCTACGGATCCCACGGATCCCTATATACGTTTTCTTTATTTCATTTTCTACGGCGCTTACCAGAGAGTTGGTGGTGAAAGAGAGGGAGAGGAGTAGTCCCAGTTCTCGTCCCACCTCCTCTCTCAGTGACTCGGTAAAGCGAGGCAAAGTGCGCGTCTCACATTTTCGTTTCCTTCGTTCCTACTGCGGTAGACAGTGAAGCGAGCTACACGCGTTTCGTGTATATGTTTCTCTCTCCCGTATACTCTGTTTAGTGACGCGTTATGCGCGTTTTTGATTTGCGTTATAATTTTTATTGTGTCGTTTTGTATTTTAATGTCATATTAAATTTTAGGCGATTACTAATTGAACGGAATTAACAATGCCGAGAAAAACAAAGTACAGAACGCGTGAGAGCGTTTCGTGAAAGACAGCATGAACCCAAAAAACCCCCCAAAAACTGTCCTACAGCGTCTGAGAGAATTTCGAGCATGTCAAAAAGCGTGGAACAATGGGGGGTTGCGTTAGCGTCAACGGTGCCAGCTGCTCAATCATCGACGATAATGACTAACGCATCTACAATTAACGAGGCGTCTACTAGCACTTCACGCTAACAAGCTCAACTCAATCAAGTATATCTTGTAAGCTCAACTGAACCAGACATACAAAAATTCAATGCCAATGGCACCGCTCATCGAGTATTTCAGAAGAAATTGGTTTTTTTTTTGTTTTTACTTATTCGAGTGTGTCCATGGTAAAAAAGAAACAAAAGTACGAACGATTCGACGCTTCGTGCAACTCTCCAGTTTGACATTTATCTGATGATTCAGCCGTGTTTTTTTTTTCTTTAACAAGCGAAAAGAATCGATATCTCGTACGTAACTTATCGATGAGTAGAATGACAATAGAAACCGCCGATTATTATAGTAGTAATAAAAAAATCAATCAGCACCGCGTGCCCCGAAAATGTTCGACTCTGCAAAAGCACCTGATTTCGCGCTAGCGCAAATTAATTGCTGCGTCAAACAGCTTATAAAAGTATGAAAGTAATCGCGAAAAACCTATTAAAATATTTCTCCATTTTTGTGTAGCAAAATATTAATCGAGAATTATAAAAGCAAATTGGATTGTTGTATCATCTCAAAATTCACGCGGTCGTCATTGTGAATGATACTTTTTTTGAGAGCGGGAAATAAAGAGACACACAAAAAAGCGCGTTTGAAAACATCAAGTCCGCACGAATGCCGCACTGCTTGACCATGTGTGTGTGTGTGTGTGTGTGTGTGTGACATAGAGTCTCCATTCATCTTTCCGCAAGAAGCTTAAGGGCCTCGCGAGGCGCACGCATCCTAGAGTATGTGCACTTGTGTAAAATTATGTTATGAGTAACAGAAAATGAACGAGACGATGCTTTCTAAAATGCTTACAAAGAAGAATAAAAAAACTTGAGATGTATCTCGATAACAATTATTAATATATTAATTAATATATCAGTTACATATATTAATTAATTTTTTTATATTATTTATTAATTTCAAAGTAAAATGTCCCATTCGATAAAACGTTTAAATGTTGCTAAAACTTGAAGTATCACATATTTCGATAACTATCATTAATATATTAATTAACAGTTTATGTATATTTTTTACATTATCTATTAATTTCAAAAAATGAAAAATATCCCATTCCATAAAATGTTTAAATATTACAATTATAATAACTTTGTATTAATAAATTCGTAAACTATTTTAAAATATTCAGCATAAAAAAGAGAAACTATGTTTTGAAAGAAACTATATATTTTTTATGTACGTACGTACATATATTTAGCCAAGATACATGTTTCTAATAATTGTTTTGCAAACTCTACGAATACGAATATGTTGACTTAATTGGCGAATATGTTCTTAAACTTTGTACGATTGTTGCAACAAATTTTTAAACACGATTCTTTCTCAAACAAACAAAAAAAAGATACATATTCGATAGTCGAATGTATCGAAGTTCAAGGATCGCGATAAAAGTGGCAACAATTAACATCGAGATATTCGAGAGATAACTTCGATACATTCGAGAGTATCGACCTTGTATGTATCTATACTTTAAGAGAGGAAACACGTTTGAAAAGTCAATCCGATGGAATCGTGAAATTTTGGATAAGAGCTCTACGTACTTAATTTCACAGGAAAGAAAAAAATAAATGAATTTCTCGCTTCTTTTTCGTGAATGACGGCAATATCAAAAACATATCTACTCGCCCACTTGCCTTGGTCATATATCTCGTCGGGGGTGAAGAATGTAAAGGGTGAGAGGAGGAGACGATTCCTTCTTCCCTCCTTCGTGCGAGATGTTTGGACACGTGTTGTTGTTAAGACGTCGCGTCCGCCGGCATTACCCCGTGCACATCGACGTCGGGGTGGACGATAAAAACGTAGTAGCTCCGTGGATGAATCGCGCGGCTGCGTCGAATCGGACTCGCATCGGCCGCATCTGAACGGCGTCTGAACGGATTGCGAAATGACGGCCAACCGCATTCAGCTCTTTCGCGCTGGTAAAGGGGCGACGAGGGGGTGGCGTACAAGCAGACGCGCGCATTCGTGACACGGATACGATCCGCCGACCTACCCTCCTCCCTCTTTGTGGCGGTACGTGGCCTCGCTTCGCCACCCCTTATACACACAGCGAAAGACATGCACCGATGATGATTATTATTTGTCGCTGTCAACGCGAATTTTTTCAACATCACAAAAAACGTCGGACGAAACTGAGATCGTTTAAGAAAAATAAACTGACGCAACGTTTTTCGTACAATTTGATCTGTGTGAAAAAGATGTGTATCACGTGTTCGGGTGGGATCTGAAATTCTCAGGTCATTGGGCCGTGCGTGTTCGAATTTGAAGATGCAACCCTTATAATTTTTGACATTCGTTTTTGTGTGTTCCTTCGAATTATATATTCTCGTTTATAACAAAGATTGACATTCTCACTTATAACAATCAAATTAATATTTATTATCTTGCGAATTTATCACAAAATTTTATATATTTTTTCAAATATTAATATATATACATATATGTATATATATATATGTAAATATAACTTAAAACGATAACTGTTTTTTTTCATTGTGGAAGAGCGAAACTTCACTATCGTTTGTTGCACATTGTGTGATCACACTCTCTTTTTTTTTTGTCAAGTATTTAACGAATATGTAACAATCGAAAAAAAGTAGGCAAGCAATAGAAAAAAAGAAGAAAAACAAAAAGAGAGGGGGAGAGAGAGACAGAGACGGAGAGAAAGAGAGTGACAAGGAGGTGCAAGGTTAGGTAAAAGCGAAGAGGAGGGAAACGTTGAATGAGAACTTGTGGGTCGACGAGAGGATGCAGAGAGAGGGTAACAAACCGTCCTTCGGCGCTGGGAAGGGTGGAATAGGGGATGGAATGTAGGCTAGTCTCGTCGGCGAACAGCATCCCCAATCGATACGCACGCAGCAAACTTTTACGCTTTCTCGTCAATTTTTCATTTTTGTTTCGCCGGTAATGCGTAAATTTTCACGAGAAAAACTATTACAAGAGGGAAAGAAGAAAAACAGAATTATATTTCTTCACGATATCCTCTTGCGCTTCCCGTTGCGGTTTACACGTGCGGAACAATTTTTTTTCAACGGAAATTATCGAAATGATTTTTCCGCGAAGCCCGATGAGATTGACGTTTTCGCGTAGAGGTTTCGATCGATTTTAGACACAGAATACACATCACACCTGCAAGAATCATTTGAGAATTTTCTCGTTCCAGGAAGTTACTTTCACATATCTTCTCTCTTTCGCTTCTTATAACGAAAATTATTTAGATACACTTGCGCCATGACAAAAATCATCGGTACAGGACAGTAAATCGTTCGCGATAATTTATCTGAACTCAGTGACTGCGCAAGAATAAAAGCTTGAACGATTCTAATCGGTCCAGGCGACACATCACAAGATCCGCCCTTCCGATCGGTTGTTCGAGAGATTTCGCATTTCTCGATCTTGCGATAGCAGATTTCTCCAAAAACTTCTTACAATATTCGTTGTTCAGGGAGAGAAACTACATTTCGCTACGTATATATATATATATATATCATTCGTATGTACGGAAGAAGAAAAGAACGGATCCCGCAAACGGATCTTTCACAAAAGAACGTATCAAACGTCTCTTTAGTGGGTAATAAAAAAAAAAAAAAAAAACCCAGTCGTGCAAAAAGTGCAATTTTTCAGCAGATGGTTACTTATGTTAATTCAGTTTCCGCGGCGGAGAATATAAAGCCCGCGCGCGTACGCAATGCAAACCTTCAATGGAACTGCCTTACCATTCGCATCCGCCGGGGATACAGCTCTTTCATTGAGCCTGGTCGCGCTTCCGCTTTCCGTTCATGCATTTGTGCTCCTCTCGTCTCTCTTTTCCTCCTCTTCCTTCCGTCCCTTTTTCCATTAGGTAGGTTTTTTTTTTTTTTTTTTTGTTTTTTCGTTCGTTTTTCCACGTCCCATATTATTCAGGGTAAAACAACCCGAGGGGGGTTGGTTCTTCGATTCTTCTCGTTTCTCTCTCGTCGAGACGCAAAGAGACCCGCCGCGAGAACGCGAGATATGATTGTTCGTTCCTTCATACTCTTCACACACAACATTGTTATTAATATGTCTCTCTATCAGAGGGGGGTATTATTGATCGAATCGCGGTTTTTCAATGAAGTGTACTGCCGTTGTGCGCGCGTTGTATGTGCGCTATGTGGAGTGTGTACGTGCACACACACATACATACAGACAAGGGGGACACAAGACGACACGCGACCCGGTCTCTCAACAACGACCTACTTCGAGGCTGTGACGTCGAACGGTCCATTCACCTTGCAGCTTGTTCTAAAATCGAAGCACGTGCCATTATCGGCTACTTAGAAACATATACAAGAGAAGCAATTTTCACGGAAAATTATATCTAATATCGCGCATGATACACGCGGAAAGAGATGAGATCCTGTAACAAAAAAAAAGAATCTTTCACGAAAAATATCAAACGCGTATCTCTGGTGGATGACGATAAAAAACAAAAAACAAAAAACAGGTCACGTAAAAAGTGTAATTTGTTCAGCAAATATCTAGTTCTCATGTTAATTCGGCTTCCGCGGAAATGTACACACGCGCGAGGGTGACGTATACGTGTGCAATATCCGTGTTTGTTGAAACTTTGTGTGTTTCTCGGTACTTCGCCTTCGTTGTTTGTTCCTTTGTTTTATATATAGTAAGAAAAGGAAGACGAGAGAGAAAGAGTGAGAGTAAAAATAAGTCACAATTACTTTGTGTTTATATCACTGTTTGCTCGCGTACACCACTTTACACGTAAATGTCAACACGTAGGTCGTTCAAGACGTGTGATCGTTTTTATTATTTTTTTTTCTTTTTTTTCTGAAATTGTCAGAAATTTTGCCGGGGAATTGTGAGATTGAAGTTAGTCAGAGTTTTTGGATCTGACGTGAGGATTTACTTGTTATGTAATTCGTGTGCGAATTTTCACGCGGTTTAAAATTTTAATATCAGTTTTTTTACACGTGTTTTTTTACATGTTCACCAGTTTGTTGTGTCACAGCGAGAATGACCTGATCACAGATCTATTTTCGACGTATTAAATATCGTTCAAACGCACGAACCACACTCGTATACTTCCCACAACTCCCACATTCTCGCGTTACAATTTTAAATAATACTAGATTCAAATCTATTGTGAGCTACGTTTATATTTGCTCTTCATTCTAATTCAACATAAAGTGGTCCTCGTTTCTTCGAGAGAACCACTTCGGTTTTTGAAAATGGCACGGGGGAAATTAAATTTGACGCGCCGATGAGAAACAACAGATACTCTTTGTTTCGTTGTTTGAAATACCCTTTAATTGAATTGTAAAAACGATGATGTCATCAGCGATTGATTATTCTCTTGGACAACCAAGTGATCCGAAAGTGAATTGTATCCGGGACGATTGTATAACTTTGTTGTCGTACCCTTTGTCGTTTGAAAAGATAGTCGAGAATGTTAAAACTTGTGTGTGAAACACACATATACACACACACACACACAACTGGTGGTGGGTGACACTGTCACCGGTAACTGACACGCCGCATTGCGAACGAAATCCTATATTTTCCTATGTCGGGAATCTCCTCCTACGAAAATATCAGAGGGATAGCTTGTCCCAGTAACCCAGTTTATCCCCGGGCGGGGGTTGAATGAACGGCGTTGAACGCGAGATGACGTCATTCGCGACCCCATTTCCGGTTTCCCAGTGCAACCAGTTATCCAGCTCTGTGTCCCGTTGACCCGAAATTTCTCATGAATTGAAGGACGCTCGTTCATGGCGAGCCGATTTGCCGTGCATGAATGAATTTTCCGCTTCTGGATTACTGTTGCGCGTCCGGATGAGAGAGAATGCAAGCTTTAAATAAAATCTAAGCAATTTCATATACACGCACGCATTCTCCCAGTCTTTATCTCTACCGTACACGCGAGAGACAACGCCTCTTCTATTCAAGAATCAATGACATTTCTTTCTCTTCAACGGATAGAAAAATCCGTTTTGTAGTTACGCACGGGCAACGTGTACACGCGCGCGCGCGCGCGCGTCGCTCAAATGCCGCGCGCGTAAATTGGTTCTTTTTTTTTTGATGCGCGAGATTATTCTATTGCTTTATATTTATTATTCTATTACAACGCGAGAGAAACAAACACATTGATGTGCAGGCAGATGTATAGAAGATTAATGACTTTACACATGAAACTTTTATTGTGAGGATATTACCAATCAATTGATGCAATTTTATGTTCATTCAATTGACGCAATTTTATAATCAACACCAGAAACAACCGGAATTGAATTGCATACGATGAAAAATATTTTCTAAGTAGAATCGCTGCTGATACACCGAATAATGCGGCGTTCCAGCGAGAAAAAAAATGCGTCAACAAATATTATTCAATCGATGTTATCGCATTTTTTTGATTTCGTTCTTGCGCACAGAATCTTATATAACAAACTGCAGTTATACACATCTCCTATTTATAAGAACAGTATTTACTCGTTTAAAAATCCTTACACATCGCTATCGCTGTGACCTTTGCGTGTGACGCAAGACGAGACGACGACGACGATCGTGGCTTCGCGCGATCGCATCGAAATGTTTCCGAGGCATTCGTCTCTTGTCCATAGACGTATAATATATAGACTGCGCGTTTGGCTGAAAAGATGTCTTCAACGTTGAGAGAGACAACGTACTTTGAATAGTAACTCTTTCTCTGTCTATCAATGTCCGTGGTGGGATCAGGGCCTACTGTTTCACACCACCTAATCTACCTCATCACCCTTTAATCTCTTTCACTCTTCTTCACCCCCACTATTTTTCTATCCCCACTTTTCCACTATTATTCTATCAATCAGCGAAAATTTCTTTTTCCCCCATTACTTCGCGAGACAAAGATGAGGCTACTGTTCAACACCAGCTGTCTCTCTCAACGTTGAAGATATTTTCTTAACATGGCAAAGATAGGGAACGCGCAGTCTATATATTATACGTCTATGCTCTTGCCACACTTATTGATAACGGAGGCTTGTTGATAACGTTTTAAACATCGTATAAATATCAGGCGTTACGGCGTTTGAATTTTTAGTGCTTCTTCAAATTGTGGTATGCGAATACGCGAGGCGTCGCGATGGAATATTTGAGCTTCGACGCTTCGAGCAAGTCGCTCGCTTTGAAGAAGCGAGCGACTCTTCCCAAGCCAGCGGCGAACGAGGTTCGAGTCAAAATCGCGTATTCCGGAATTTGTGGAACGGATCTTCATATTTTGGAAGTACGTGCGATATATCTTTAGTTCTCTTGTATAGACAAATTCTACATCTGGTTGTCATTTTTTTATAACCGGGGGATATTGAATTTGTCCGTGTGTATGCGGCATTTTTTTTCCCCCCCGAGACGAGATGCGGTAAAAACAATTTCACTAACGCGAAATAGCGTTTGGCCTAAAACAGACGGGCGATTTTTTCGTCGGTTATTTTTTACCGCGCGATGAAAAACACCGAAACGACGGACACACATGAGCGATTTTATTTTATACCGTGTCGTTTTTAAAAACTCTCTCGCGTGCACATCACCATAATAATAAATACTGCGCTCCATCTGCTTCTCGCCGGCGGTTTTTTCGGCGCCGCGTCGCAAAACGACGACGGCGAAACAATCGCTCGTTCGTTTTAGAGATCTTTTTGTTTTAATTTTCACACGGTTTTTTTTTCGTATAGGGACAATAAATAAATATCGTATCGGGTTGTCGAAAAAGTTTGAAACCTCCTCGAAGAGGTGACGATACGTTATCTAATTTATGAAGTCTGATGATATATTTTTATCTGCGACATTGTGCGTCTGCAACAAAAAAAAAGAAGCTGATATGTTGTTGACTACTTCTCGTGTCATTTTGTTATGTCATCGCTTTTCGTATCGTATGATAATGCGCGCGAGATAGTAACGCAGATCTTTCTCTTTTTTCGTCGTTTTAGGGAGCCTTTCCCTGCAAGGAGAACGGACCTCTGACTCTTGGCCACGAATTCGTAGGTACGATCGACGAGCTCGGGTCGGAGGTGACCATTTTCAAAGTCGGTCAACGCGTCGCCGTCGATCCCAATAGCGGATGCAACAAGTGCGATCATTGCCACAATGCGAATTATCACTTCTGCAAGCTCGGCGGCTTAAACGATACTTTGGGAATTTTCCGGGACGGGGGATGGGCCACGCACGCGCTCGTTCCAGAAACGCAGGTATGAAACATGAGAGTCAAAAAAGCGCCGTGTTTTATCGAATGTCGACGGCCGAATGTTCGTCGTCTTTATATTTAGGATCGTTCTAAGTTTATCCGAGACCAATGGGACGTATCTCGTAAGATAAACTCAGAACGGTTCTGAAATGTATGACCCGACTGTGAATACACTTGGGTCTCTGCGTTTCGTACAGGTATTCTTGATTCCGGATGAGATTGAGATGCGCGAAGCTGTACTGAGCGAACCGTTGTCGTGTCTGGTCCACGGCTGGGACAAGCTCAATCCTGTAAATATAGGAAGCAAGGTTCTCGTAATCGGCGCCGGTATCATAGGTTTGTTGTGGGCCTGTGTGCTCCATTTGCACGGACTCAGAAGAACCGTCACCGTCAGCGAACCGAACGAAAAACGAAGAGAACTCGCTTCCAAGCTTGGTAATAAATACGAAAATACTGAAATAAAAAATAAAAAACAATGACCGAATCACCTTCTGTACATCACTGCGTAAAAATCTGATTGATCTCTAATCGGAAATATGTACCGATAGATCTGGATTACCAGGTGAAACATCCGTCGAAAGTCAAGGAGGAATTTAATTTAGCTGTGGATTGCAGCGGTTCCGCCGCCGCCATGGAAGCGGCCGTGTCTTTGCTAAGTCAAGGTGGTCGTTTGTGCGTGTTCGGTGTCGCTAGTCCGAAAGCGAAGCTAACGATCGAACCGTTTCAGGTATACTTGTAGTGTCACATTCACATTCAGGAACTGGAATTACACATGTTTCGATGCTCTCATTGGAATTTTAATTACTCTGTTGATAGATTTATAAGAAGGAACTGACCATTGTGGGCGTGAACATAAACCCGTACACGTTTCCCAAAGGTCTAGCTCTGCTGCAGTCAATGTCTGGGAAGTATCTTGACTACGGCAAATTGGGAATCAAGGTGTTTTCGTTGTCCGAATATAAAGACGCTCTTGACGCTCTGAAGAAGGGAGACATAAGCAAAGCTGTTTTCAAATTATAAATAGAGATTTCTTCACGTGTATTAATACACACGGAAAAAAAATTGACTCTTTTTCTTTTTCATTACTTTATTATATCTATGTTGTATACAGATATTTAATTGGGTATGTAAAAATGCTCAGGGGATTTACAATAAAAGTTATATACTAAACTCCGCAGTTACAAATGAGTACTTGTTTATAAAACCTTGACAATGACATCATAGCCGTAATATACGCGGCAAAATACAAGAATTGTTACATCGTGTATAAATATTACGTAGTTATATTGTAGATATTATTATTAACAATACATTAACAATATATTATATTGTAGATATTGTTATTATCGTATCGTCAAAATAAAACTACAAGTTAATAAATGTTATATAATATATAAAACCGTGTAAATTTATAAGAAAAAAAAGTGTATAAAAACTTTTAAAATGATATTCTACTATTATTAAATTTAAATGAGACATTTTTTAATGAGATTCTACTATTAGTATGTATATTGCGTTACACACAACATTTATACGATAAGCCTTGTTTTAAATTAACAAGAGATATGAGTTACGAGGCCTGATTTTGTTGCCGCGCAACTACAAAAACTCCTCTCGTATATTTTAAGCCTAAGTGTGCAATGAATAGAGGTGTGCTTGATATACAAGTCACGAAATACTCTACTTATGTACGTGTACGAGTACTGATTGCCACTATACACATTTATAATTTCTATATTTTCTAATTTGAATTATATTATATATCACGAACAAGGCACTAACAATCAACATTGGTTTCTTTGTTCATGACATTCCAAACGTTTTCGTTAACAGAGTTAGGGTGCATAAAATTCTCTACTGTTAAGATTTTGTTTTATATATAATGCTAACAAATTCATATATTGTCGATTTGAAAACCTATCAGTAAGATGATATATGTTGTAATATGTATAAAAAGATGGAGCCAGGCTACGCGCGTGATTCAGTAACATTTGTTTCTTGAGTATTTAAATTGATTTCCATTCACAAGAAATCAGGCCAAGACGATCGGTCAGAGAACTGACCAAACTTAGTCAAATTTTTTCAAAGATATAAATAAGAATAATAAACAGTATATGTAAACTTAGAAAAAAAAATTTGAAAATATTGAAGAACGATGGATTTGAATTACTAATCACGAATTAAAAATCATGAAACACAGAGTTTACAACTAGCGAACAGGTATCAAATCTTTATGAATCACGAATCGCGCATAGTTTGGTCCCATCGTTACATTATTCGTTTATACGTTTCTACGTCTCCTATTATCGAGGCCAAGAAGTTTTCGTTATCTGTACGTTGCATTACGTAACATCAAGTGTGTCATCATAAATGTGTACCTGGAATGTTAGTTTGTACCTTGCATACCAAGATCTATATGTCATTGGCATCTTCAAGACTTAGTTGTTAATAATTTAATTTAAATATCAACACACAACAACAAGTACCAAAATGACGTGGTAGATAGAATTAGAATTGTACTGTATATCTGTCGTACCACTTGCTCTAAAGTATCTTTTTCGAGTTTAAAAAGTGATGTTTTTGTTCGATATTGTGTTTTAAACACAGTCAAACTTTCGATGTAAAAATTGAGCATTGCAAAATAATGGTATCGTATAAATCAGTTATATAAGCCTAAGAAAGTTATATATGTCACAGTAAATGTGTTAAATCGATAAATATATACACTCACTTCGCTAAAATCGTATAAAAATGCATATACATTAACCAGTAAGTGTATTTACTAAATTTGACGCTTTTACCGTACCATATACAACAGACTGATGACAGAATTCATAAAAAAATTATACAACATGTGATATCTAAACCTTTGCTTCTAAAAATCTTGAAAATATCGTAAAACACTTGTAATGAGCGTAGAGCAAACAAAGATTACGCTTAGAAAAAAATTTCTACGCAATTATAAAAAATGAAATCAATGTCAGAACAAAAACACAATAAAAAGTTAAAGTGTAATAAAGCAATATTCTTAACTTTTGGATCTCACAGCATTATTGTGGCAACAAGAAAACTGATGGTTGTGTAGAACCAATTTAAAAAATCGCATCGACTTCCCGCTGCCCATATTAGACCTTTGTAATTAATATTTGGAGTAGAAATTTCTGTAAAAAAATAAATTACACAAATGTGTACACACAAGACAATTAAAAATCTATGAAACATCAACGAAACAATTATCACGAAAACTATCAAGAATACATGAAAGATACGTTACCTCAGTATCATTGAAATTAATAAAACTAGAGCTACCAAAGATCCAGAAGAAACTGAGACTACGCCAGTTCCATAATGAGCTTGACCACAAGCTGGCGGGCAAACAGGTATAATGGTTTCTGCGCAAACAAATAAGGGAAAAATCTAAAACATGCTAACTACAAAAATAAATCCATCGTAATAACGCCAAGATTAACAACAAAATTATTGATAATTGCTAAAATTAAAAAAAAAAAAAAAAAAATATTGAATGTATAAAATAAAATTTGTAACAGATTTAAAAAAATATATATATTCAGCTAGTACTATGCATAATCAACATAATTACGACATACATGTATCTAGCATCATCATTTTTACTGTAGACGACTACAGCAACATACGCATTACAAAAACAAGTTAAGGAATTTTTAATCTACATTTTCTTACCGAAAAGTTGGATTGTCGCTTCGGCGGTGCCCAGTTTGTTCGATGCGCGACATTTATAGTCTCCGTATTGCCGTTTTTCTATAGTAATAACTCGAAGTGTGGTGTCAGTGTATGCCTCTCCGGTTGAAAAATGGGATATACTGTAATGCTGACTGTTTAACAACTGACTGCCGTCCTTGTACCAAGAAATAGCTGCTAGAGGAAAGGCTTCTACATGGCACTCTAGATCCATATCGTATTGCAGAGCTTGTCCGAGTCGCGGTCTCGGAGCTACGATTGTAGGTGGGAATTCAACCTCCACGTTAATGTTGCGTCTAGAACCACGTCCAACGCCATTTTCGGCAACACAGTAGTATGTTCCACGATCCTCTTTCTTTATGGTAAGTATCTTCAATATATTACCCCTGTAATATTTTTCAATTATCGAAAATGTAGTTTAAATTAAATATGTAATAACAAACTTGTTGTCAATTATCTTACCGATAAATAGAACCTCCAGTAGGTAAAACTGCATTATTTTCTTTTCGCCATGATATTCTTGGCAATGGATAGCCGCTGGCGTAACAATGTAATTCGACAAATTCTCCTTCACCAACCACTACAGATTGTGTTGAATTATCACTAATTATAGGCGGTCTGCGAACTTGCAATTCTACTTCCGCACTGATAGAATTGCTCACAGACATTTGTATTCTACATTGATAATATCCAGCATCTGTTTCTTGTATGTCTTTAATCTGAATTAAAAAATGTGTATTAATTCCTACTTATGTTTTAAATAGCAGAGATATGACAGCTAAGACAGATTAAGTTTTACCTGGAGATGATAAGTAGAAGTTTCAGTCTGATACTTTACAGAAAATCTACTGTCCTTAATTATTAATCCAGCATTGCTTGTAAGTGTTACATAGTCCCCCCTATTGTCTTTGTTGACTTTAATCCATAAAACAGGATATTCCTGAGCATATTGAACAGAGCATTGAAATTCAACAACTTCACCAATATCTTTGATTTGCTCCTGAGTTATGTAAGATATTGTTGGAGTACGTTGGGCCGCAACTGAAATAATTATACGAGAACATAGTTTTTTTTTTTTTTTTTTCAACATACTTAAAAATATGAAAATCTATATGTTGTATCTTAGAATGTGTTTACTTCTCACGAGAGAGACAACAATTTTAGTTACAAAATAAATATGATGGTAATATATAAAAGATGCTACACATTAAACACATACAAAACACATGTTAATAAGTGAATGGGTACTCACTTGTGTACAAAAATGGAAGAATCAAAGCTAAATTAATAGCTTGCATTGTGACACACCCAAAAACAGCACTTGATTCAATCCGTATCAATCCGTATGCAAACGTTCAATTTTCCTCTGCAACTCAGTTGTCACTCTTACTCTTGAACATCAGACTCTTCTTTTGGATCAAGCAGATTAAGCTTCTTTTCATTCGAGATGCGACGAGCTTATGATACAAATAAACGTTCGATTGTTGCGAAACAATGTGAGAAGAAGAAACGTGACAAACTCTGTTGAAGCTTCTGTATGTAACACAAGCGTCAGAGCATTGACACAGCAGAAATATATAGAAGAGTACACTTTCTATAAAAATCACGTTTAATCCCGAGTAAGCCTATCTCTCGCTTGTGTCTCTACACTAAAACAGCTTTAATCTTTCTACGTTCTAACGCATGCGCAGCGCGTCATGGCACTAGCTGCGTTCGACGAATGCGTTATTGCTTCATTCTTTGTCTCGTATCTAATGAGCGATAAAGATAAATAATGCAATAACGCAGATAGCGCGTTCCCTAAACGCAATTAATGCGTTATATGTATAGAGAAAAAAGATTGAGAGAGACATGTGATGTAAGAAGACAAGAATCATTCCCGAGATGCGCAGCGTTTGACCAATCAGAAAGTTGCTTTAAGTATTGAGGACAGAAATTTATTATATATTTATAATATTATACTTTATATTATATTATATGTATTATATACATACTACAGTAATGTCACTGACCTCGGCCGCGCGGCCTTGATGGAGTCATTGACCTCAGCCGCGCGGCCTTGGCGGGGTCACTGACCTCGGCCGCGCGGCCTTGACGGGGCACTGACCTCGGGCGCGCGACCGTGGTGGGGGGAGGGGTCACTGACCTCGGCCGCGCGGCCTTGGCGGGGTCATTGACCTCGGCCGCGCGGCCTTGACGGGGTCGCTGACCTCGGCCGCGCGGCCTTGGTGGGGGGGGTCATTGACCTCGGTCGCGCGACCATAGCGGGATCATTGACCCCGATCACGTGATTACGATATATATATATATATGTGTATGTGTGTATTATATATAGAGTTTTATATATAATATATGTAATATTCTCTTTTTTACTCTTTTTTCTGTCACGTGACTTTAGTCACGTGTTGTTTTTCCACTTCTCTCTCACTATTTTTCGAGTTTGATTTTCACGCGTTATTTCTGACAACTCTCATATGTATATTATGTTTTATAAAACGTATATACTAGCTGTCATCGCGGTAACAGATTGTGTTAACTTACACAACACGTTAAAATAAAAATGACAATAGAGAGCGCATAGCGCGCGCCTGTGTTGTGCTAGTGTATAGAAAAAGACATGAAATCGGAAGCTTTGCGGTAAGGGAAGGAACTCAGTCACTTCGGACTATTTCGGTTTGATTCGTCATTATTCGGCTTTTACTTCAACGTGCGCTGATAAGTACATATGGGCTGTGTTCCAAAATTCACTACCAGCGCTAAAGATCTATAGTTTACGTCACATATATTATACAATTTTAGCACTGGCAGCAATTCTGGAACACAGCTATGATATCATCTCACCTGTATGACAACATTACATAAAAATATACAAACCAATGTAACATACAAGGTGGAAACATCACACAGGCACGTACTATTTCTCTGTACTACTCTACTAATATTATCTACAAAAAGATTCAAAAATTTTGTTTGATAGCGTTTAGTCAACCAATGAGGACAAACTAACAAAGGCTTCTGTATCCTGATTAGTCAGTCAAACGTCATTCTATCCAATGAATAGGATTTTTCGCGTCCATTGTTGAAGTCAGATGATTGTCAGCATATAAAATCATAATAAAATACATCTCACAGAAAGTAGACGAAGTTTAACTATGGACTATTCCAATGGAAGTTCAACTGCTATTTGTGAATTGTAAGTTTACAAAGATTATTCTGTACATATACTGCAAGATTATATTTTAAGCCTTTTAGTTGTTAGAAATTTATACATAATATGTATAATAATTTGTTTTATGATTTTTTATATGTGTTTATCTGTCTTGTGTATTATAAGCACTGTCTTTTATATCATTAGATGTAAAAAGAACAATCACTTGTACACCTGTCCTCAATGTGGCATAAAGTATTGTGGGTTGGAATGTTATAAATCAGAGGCACATCTGGATTGTTCTGAAAACTTTTACAAACAATGTGTGATAGATGAATTAAAATATCAGGAAAGTGATCCAGATAATAGAAAAAAGATGTTAGAAATTCTTAAAAGAGTAGAGGCAGCAGATTTAGGAGAGATTTTAGAAGACAACGAAGAGGGTGATGATATATGTAATGACGAAAATTGTTCATTGGATTCAGATGATGAAGAAGTAAATTAAAAACCAACGACATATATATACATATATACACACACTTTAAACATATTTATTTTAGAATTTCTAACACGATTTATAAATATATATCCTTTTAGCTTCTTGACTTGGAAACCAGATTGCAAAATGTTAATTTTGAAAATCCAGATGAGCTTTGGTCAGTTTTATCAGATACAGAAAAACAAGAATTTGAATCACTATTAAAGAATGGAGAATTGGAAAAAATATTGCCTGCCTGGACACCATGGTGGGCTCATAGTGTGCAAAAGAAAATAACTGAGCTTAACAGAGAGAACATTGAAGATACAGATGTTTCAAAACTTCCTGCTATAGTAGATGTACCTTTATTTCCTGAATTACAGGTAATATATATGTATATATATATATAGATACACATATACTATATGTATACATATATTACATATATATCTGTTATCTGTTTCTAGAAAGCATCTTCTTCTGTGCAGTTCAATATAGTAAATGTGATATATGCTTATGCATATATAGCTCTATATTATTATGGAGATTATCTGAACTGTTCGGAGGATGCTACACATGTCTTTCTAATGATATGTGAAAATATGAGAAACAACACAATCTTTGAAAACGCAGATTCGGCAATTGAATCAGTTATAAAATGTATAAAGAGTGTAAGTAGTTTTTATAATTATCGGCAATAATTTGTTTTACAAAAGAAGAAAGTTTCTTATGCCATTCTTTTTCGACTACTGTTAAAAAACAATGGCTAGAATAAAAGGAAGACTTTATATAAATATAATATTACTAATAAATAGAAATATATATAACAAAAATGTAGGTTGAGTGGTTGGCGCGAGATAAACCAACTCTGGAAGCGTTGAGAGAAGCTGGAAATTCCATTATGAGACCGGTTACTGGTGAGAAAACTATTTACATTTCTGCAGCACTCTCCGAACTTCATAGATTATTGACAGCAGCTAAGACAGAAATTTCAAAGGATAAGAATACAAACGTTAAACAGGGTTTTACAAAAAGATTTCCGCAAAAGTATTATAACGGCATACATTTATCCAAGAAAAGCATATTTTTGTCTTTGAAAAAATTAGAGTATTATTTATCGTATGTGAAAACGTATAAAAATCTTGTGTGAAAAAATATATATGTATATAGAGAGCAAAGAAAAATAAAATTTTACAAATTACATATATGTTATTAATATTTTTCCGAAATAATTGGTTAAATAACGCTAAACTGATCAATAAAGAAATGAATATACTGTTAGAAGATGATTTTTTAAATAGAAATTATATTGTGCGATATACTTTTAAAAGTTTTTCGACATTTATGAAAATTCTTTGCTGTGTGTATGCGTACATACTTAATCAGCTGATAACGTGCGCGTGCGTGTCAAAAAAAAAAAAACACGTTGCTATAATGCGCTATTGCACTTTGAGCGTCTTTATAGCTCTGTAAACGTAGAACAAAGATGGATTCTCAAAGCACGTGAGCGCATAGTGCGTAAAGGCATTGGATCGGGATGCGATACTTGCTTGCAACAAGCAATAGAGTCGCATCTACATGCCTCACGTGTTTCCTCTATTAAACGAAAGCTGGAGGGGAGAAGCCATTATTTGATCAGTACTCTCAACCTGTTGCATTCCGTTTGTACATTACCAATAGAATTAAATTAAGTGTGCAAAAACACATGAGAAAGAAAATGAACAAAGAGAAAGTAGACAAATTGCAAGTGTTAAAAGATGCTATAAGAAGTTATCCTAATTTTCCTTTGCCTGGAATTATTTTCCGGTAAGTTAAAGTTGAAATAAGTCACAAGTATTGAAGTGCTTTGATATCAATATTGTTATTTTGTTATATTTACATGACGATTACTTGTTTTCAGAGATATATTTGGCGTGTTTAATGATATCAAAGCATTAAGGATAATGAGAGATTTAATTGTTGAACATATCGCACCTCTCCAAGTTGATTTGGTTGTGGGATTAGATTCTCGTGGTTTCCTTTTTGGTCCTATTATTTGTATGGAGCTGGGCAAACCTTTCTTACCCGTTAGAAAACAGGGTAAGCTTCCAGGCAAGGTTGCGCAGCAAAAGTATACGTTGGAATATGGTGAAGTAAGTAAAACAAAAAATTGAAATAATATACATTACTTACTTATATTTCTCGTGTATGTAACAGAATTGTGTTTTACAGGCTGTATTTGAACTGCAAACAGATTTTATTGACAAAGAAAGCAAAGTACTCATTGTTGACGATTTGTTGGCAACTGGAGGTAATGTGAAAAAAAAAAAAAACATTTCAACAAATTACAAGATATAAAAACTGTACATGCATACACGTGCGCATGTTTGTAATGTTTCTAATGCATATGTGTGTCGGTATGTTTTACTAATAGATGGACAAAATTCTATTCTTTTAAAGGTACCATGTCTGCAGCTGTTCAATTAGTGAAATCCACGGGAGCTGAAGTGATTGAATGCTTGGTGATAATAGAATTAACTTCTTTGAGAGGCCGAGATAAGCTTCCTGGGATTCCTGTTCATTCCTTTATACAATACGACGACTAACAGAATAGTTGTGAATTTACAAGTACAAGCAATTGACATCTAAATAAACAAATGTAAGCGATTTAAAAATTTATTGTCACTACTGAAAAATCTGTAATATACAAAACTGCAGATTGTCAAGTTGGCAATGAATTTTGAATACAGCCATAGTGGTAAAAAAAAAAAAATGCAATTGTTACTACTATCACATTCTTGCTATGCAAGATAGCGTTGAAAGTACAAATATTTTTATATGAGATACATATGTTGTACTATGTAAAATGCAGAAAGGTACAAAGATATAATTGTAAAGATATTGAATAAAATTAATTAATAACGAATCCATTGTGAATGTGTAAATTTATTGAAACCCGAATTAAACTTTACTGGTTTTATTATAAGTTACCTATTACGGGAATGTTGTTCTTTTTAAATTTTGTACGTGAGTAATATTAACATATAGTTTTAGTTAAAAAATATTTTTTATAGAGAAGTAAATAAAAAATACCAGATGACGCTTAGAGCGCTCTAGTGATGTCTCGGGCGAATGCAATCCGTGAGCTTTTTCGTGTTGGTAACGCTGATCTGCCGTCCGCGAATCAAATTTTTAAGAGTAGTACGCCGCCGGGAGGGTGTTCGACGTTTGAAAAGTCAAATTCTTCGAAACAATCGCGCTCGAAGAAGCATTTCACAAATCGAAGACTATGTCCGGTGATGTGCAGCCGAGAAAGCGGAAGGAAAAGCGACGTAAAAAAGGTAAAAACCAAGGGCGAGCAAGGTACGTGTATATATATATATATATATATATGCGAGCGCAATTAATATCGCATTTCGTAACACGTATCCCACTGTCGTGCGATATTTTTAGCAAAGTGTGTTTATATGTTTTTCTTATTTTTATCCTTAGAAAATACGCGCTCTTTTTTATTTCAAGTAATTCTTTGCTTGTTTAAACACATTACATTTTCATCGCAATTTTCGCATTTACTCATTGATTTTTAAATTCGCCACCTGGATATAAATCTTTACGTCGTTACGTTTTTACGTCTGTCACGTACTACGTTTATTTGCGTACGTACGTTTGCGAGACGCATCGCTGCAAGACTATACAATATTTGAGAGCACATAATGGATTTTTATTCTGTTACGATCCTCTCCCGTAGATTCCAAAAATATCCGCACACTGCAGCTGCTCGTTGGCCACCACGTGCACGTGTCTGATATATACGTGTATGTTTCATCTCGCGTTTTCAATTTTTTTATTCGTTTTGCGCAAAATTTTCCGCAAAGTTTTTGAGAACAAGGAACAAAATGACACGAAGAAACAATTGATATATATATATATACTTACTTACTGTGCTTAAATCGCGCGCTAGAAAGTTTTTTACTTTTGTGCAAACTCGGAGAATTTTATCTGCATTTGCTCTCATAAAAAAGATATTTTGTATATCACACATTTTCTATCATAATTTAAGAGACACATCTCATATTCGCACGTGTGAGAAACTGTTTTCTTCTACGCTACGGTGGGTTTGAGCAGCTTTTAACACGTGTCATCCAGCTTGTAATCCACGATGCTAAATTAAAATCGGTTTCGTTTCTCGTTAAAATATGAAGTCTCGATTGCTCGGTAAAGTTTGGCAAGACTCCCTTAAGTCGGAAAATGTGGGTTTTAGAAACTCAGGCCAACCTTCCTCTCAAAAATAGATTAAACTGTATTATCCGATCCAAAAGCATCTCTCGTTAAGTTAGATATCTCTGAATTTTATATATAAATTTTTGTAAACATATATATATATATATGTATTGTGCGTGTGTGTCAAGTACATGTGATAAAAGGAATATGTACAAAATCGTTTTCAATTATTTATCATTGTATTATATATACAGAGGATGAAGATACTGGTACTCCACCGCCTATATTGATCAATCCGACGGATAGTCCCACCGAAAATATCACTATTCATGTCTATAAAGAAAGTAGCACGGGCGGACATTGGTGCGCGAGGATCGTATTTTTTGTTTTGCTGGCTGTTCTTGTGGGACTGATTGGTGTGATAATCATCGAACACAGAGGAACCACAGATGGTAAATATGTAAAATAAAATCTTTGTGTGGTGTTCTTTTAATTAAAATTTTTAATTCGTTCCCTTATGTCTCTTTTTTAAATTGCATCTCGTGTTTTAAGTTGATACACCAGTATCATCGTCACGTTGGGCGAACATATTTGAGGGTTGGGTGGATGAGTCACCGCCGAGTCATGACGAAGAAGAAAAGACCGAAACAAGCGAAGAAGCCGTAGAAGAAAAAGAAGACAAGGAAGATCACGACGAAGAAGAATCGGCTGAAGCTGAGGAAGAAGAAGAAGAAGAAGAAGAAGGAGAAAGTGCAGAAGAAGACGTAGAAGAGGAAGATGAAGGAATTGGCGAAGAGGAAGAAGAGGAAGAAACAGAAGAAGGAGAGCAAGAAGTAGAAGAAGAAGAGGAGGAAGAAGAAGAAGAAGAAGAAGAAGGAGAAGACAAAACTGAGGAACAATATGAAGAAGAGGAAGAAGAAAAAGAAACCACAGAAGATGATGCTGAAGAGGTAACAGATGGTATGTGAAAAGTACGAGAAGGTATACAAATATTCCAGAGACATCTGTGTGTTTATTAAACCGACATCTGCTGCAGAAGGTGAGAGCAAAGAAGAGGAGCAAGAGGAAGATGAAGGTATTGACGAAGGAGAAGCCGACGAGGAAGCAGATGATGATGATGATGCTCAACAAGAATTCGATGATATTGGTACACTGGAAGAAATTGACGAGGCAAATGAGAACGAAGATGCAGATGGAGACAATGATATACCGGACAACTTCGATGTAGAACTTGATGATAATTCTGCAGAAGATAACGAAGATGTATCTCAAGAGTTTGCAGGTATTCCTGGCGTTAATGAGATCGATGATAGTGCTGAGCCTCTGGAGGAGGTACGTGTTGTCTTCATTATTTTATTGCAATTACATTTTTACGCGCAAGGATTAATACTTTCTTATATCAGATAGAAGGTGAAGAATCCGAGGAAGACATAAACGATGCGGAAAATGACTCTGATGAAGAGGAAGATATTGAGGAGGAAGAATCAACTAGCGGTGAGTATCTGTATCTAATCTGAGGTGAAACGTTCTGAATGTCTCTCTTAATGTGATATAACACTACACACACATATATATATATATAACAATAGGACATCTTGCATATTAAAATATTGTCTTTGGATAATTTACATAATGAAATCTAGTCTATAAATATACGTGATCCTCCATGCTCATATTTCTCTGTCGATTAACTCCGCATATAGTGTATCATATAAGAATATCATATAAGAATATATCATATAAGAATAATATATACATAAGTATTCGCATTCACATAAGAATAAATAAACAGAAATATCGCTGTTTCATATTAGTAATGGACCTTTCTTTCTCATAATAAGAAGGTAGCAATCAGAAGTAACATATGATGATTGCAGTGGCTGTGAAGTTCGGGATTGGTGTTGCGCTAGTCGTTGCTGCACATTTTGTTCTCGTTAGACGATGGAACAACGGTAAATTTTCTATTACACATTTATATATTATATCAGCACACGCACGCATTTTTTGCAGCAAATATTATATAACACACATAGCACACGGAAAACAAATTATTATTGATATTTAGATGTATGAAATATGATACGTAAGTTTATGATATCGTACCACTGTTGTATATTTATATATAACAAGATCAAGTTAAAATTCAGCAGGTAAGTAACTTTGACAAATTTTTGAATAAACAAACTCGTATGTTTTAGCGTCTTTAAAAAATACAAAATAAATGCAAGATTGATACACACATTTAATTTATTTACGAGAAAATATTGACTCAATTTTTCAGTTGATATAAACGACATACCCGCTTTATCCAGACGTAATACAATAATTCAACCTTCTCGCAAACAAGTAATCAAGTCAACTGAAAGTGTTGCGAACAAACCATCTACGGATGCACAAGTAAAGCATCAAGAAGAAAAATCTAACTATGGATCGCAAGAAGAAAATATTTTAACTAATTTAAAGAAAGCTCAAGACGAAATAGCACAAGTAAAAGAAAAATTGTCAACTCGAAAAGACACAGAAGGTATTAATAACATTTCATTATTTTTTTGTTCACATGTTATATCTCTTTTATTTAAACAGTATGTCTCACAGATTTAATTTATTTACTTTTGTCACTACTATAGAAGTCGACAGTAGTCAGCCTAAAATAATATCATCTGAGGAAGAAGAAGAAGGCGAAGATGAATTAGGAACATCGGAAGGCGAGCATGTTTCCGAGGTAGAAGATGAAGAGGAAGAGGAAGAGGAAGAAGAAGAAGAAGTAGTTGAAAATGTTGATGATTCTGAATTAATAGCTAGACTCGAAGCAAAATATGGAAAATTGCCAACCCCACAAGATAGTGAAATTGAAGAGGAAGAGGAGGAGGAGGAGGAGGAAGAGGAGGAAGAGGAGGAACAGGAAATAGAGGAAGTAGATAAAAAAATGCCACAATGGAAACGTAAATAATAAAGTAATAAATTATACAATACGTGCAATAAAGAAGAAAACACATATTATATAGAATTTTTAAAAGTTTTAAATTTTTTCTCTAACATGATATATACCAAGGTGGTTTTATCTCTATATCATTAAGCAAATTGTAGTCATAAAATTGGAAAGTTTTTTATAGCACATTAACTTGACAATCTCATAAAATGGTTGATTGTTGTTTAGAACAGGTTAAATATCAGTATATTTTTAATTATATTTTTAATTATATATATAATTATTATGTGAATTATTTAAGTTTTTGGCAGACGCAAGAGGTATAACGAGCATGGAGGATCTACGTCTCTCTTTACCAGAATATTTTTTCCGTTTAATCTTTAATTGAAAAAAAAAAAAACAAAACAAAAATTATATAATAACCATATAATAGAAACCTTAGTGTGTGTGAGATATGAGATATTAAAACTTATACATTTTACACTCGGCTACTCGTCGAGCCTTAAACATACTTTTGTATAATTTTTGCAAAAAACTTACTTTTTTGAACAGGTGTTAAAACGGTAAAGGACTCAAACGAGGAATCTCAAGCAAAAAGACCTATTCAACAGATAAGAATAGAAACTAAACAAGTAGATAATAGTCCAACGGATAGTGAAGAAAAAGTTTATAATTTTAATAACGTGTCTAATATAGATAAAGAAAATGATATTACAGAATCCTAGGTTGACAAGGAATTTTACATTTACAATATATATGCGTTTCTTTAAGAACAACGCATATTATTAACATATGTGATTTTACGTAAATATTATATAAAATGATAATATACGTACATATTTTTATATATATATATATGTAAAATGTTTTATTCAAATATTCACAATGCAAGAGAACAATATTTTCAATACGCATACAGTATATAATATTATTATATATTACCTCACTAAAGATCTGAAGTAGGTTCAGGTGCCTTCACAAGAGGTCACGTAAATTTAAAGAAGACTATTTCTATATAATTGTTGTATCTTATCACTCACTATATATACATAATATCTCCAGTACGTGTATATTGTTTGAAAGATATTGAATCATTATACGTACGTATCCATGTGTGTACGTAAACACGTAAGAACAATTTTCAATGATGCAATAAAACATGGGATTTTATTATGGATTTGTATATACTTCTGAACTGCGCTGTCTCAGTTTATCGTATCGTTTTAGCGCAAGTTATATAGTACAAATATTTTACAATATAAGAAAATAGGCGACAATTGCTCGATATATCTTTTGAAGGTAATCTTAGCTGTATTAGAAGAAAAGATTTGTCAAAAGATTAATCTTCGTATGTTCAATGTGTCACTAAAGTTTATTTATATCTATAACTTATTGAAATAAGAAACGTACAGTCTAAAAACTAGCGTCCCACAATTATCCTGGAAAGTTATTTCTATAATAAGCGTACCGTGAGGTTTAATATTTGTGTTTATGTCTGTGTTTACGTGAGGGTGAAGGAGGACTGCTAGCTCTGTGTTTAGAGGAAGTACGAGGAGGCGGCGGCGGCGACAAGGAAGGTGACCTACGTCTTTTCCTATCGCGTTCGTTAGCAGGTGATCTGCGCGAACCTCTGCTTGAGGAAAAGGAAGGCGAAGGCGTACGTCGAATACGAGGAGGGGACGGGGTAATAGGTACGCGTTTTTTATAAGGTGATCGTGATCTGCGTTTGCAGCGAGGTGACCTGCTGCGCGATCTAGAAATTATTTTCAAATAAGTTGGCATTTTAAGTTTACAAAAACAGCGTATATTATTTTATAAGACAAAGAGAAATGTGGAAAAAAAAATTACAAAAACAATAATCTGATATACAACACTATACTTACCTATATCTTGAACTTTTCGAAGACGGACTCGTTGATCGTCTGCGATCTCTGTAGCTATGACTAGGAGATTCCGGCGTTAAGCTTCGACTTCGTTTTTTTTCTCTTCGCTTGTCATCGTCTCGCTCTTCACTTTTCGCATCTTTCATCTCTCTTTCGCTCTGCGAACAACAACATTGTTGTGCTATGTAACTCTCTGTATTGTTAGCGTGTCACAGACTAAGTAATTACATGTGTAAAGAATTCTACCTTTCTTATAAGTTTCTTTCTGTAATGCTCCACTTGTGTTTGTATTGTCATGCCGGATTTCAATGTTCTTCTGCCACTTTCCAATTCATCTTGATATTGCATAATTTTCACCTCAATTTCACGTAATCGGTTCCGCCTTTCTTCGTTGTAATCTCGACCACTGTTAAAAATAGTTGTGTATTTCTAACTTTATATATTTCCCGATATATTTCAGCTAAATACAAGCTGCAAAACATTTCGGTCAAAAATTGTTACTACATAGTTTTACCTAGAATCCATACTGTTATCTTGAGAATTAGAATCTTCATTGTGACCTAACTCTTCCCATTTACTGGTAGTCATTGCCTGTGCCTCAACCTGACAATAAAATTTATGCATACGTGTATATGTGACGCGCAAGAAAAAAATATCAATAGAATTATAAAAAAAAAAAAAAAATTTGAAACCTGATCAGGGTCAACGGTTTCCCATCGCGATGGGACAAATCCAGCTGGGATTGTCGACTTTTTCTCATCGTCTTTATTTCGCGCGTTTGAGCTGTCATCGTCATCCATTGGAACTCCGTCAAGATCTTCATCCACTGTACCAAAGATTATGTAAATCTTAATTAGCGTATGGAACCAATAAACATATAAATATATTTATTTTATTCGAAATTTACTTGGTATTCCGTCGATATCGTCGTAATTTGAAGTTGTTTGAGGTGTAAGACCATGTTTCATTGCGCCTTTCAACAATGCGGCACCGTCAAGCGGTACTCCATCCAAATCCTCAGTACCGTCACCATCAACATCAGATAATGGTGCACCATCAATATCCTCGTCGTTCTCAGGTTCTGGCTCGTCCGTCTTCAAAGAGGAATTGAAAATGTTATGTTACATTCCATACAGATTGTTAGTGTAAAAAAGGTCATCATGTGTTACTTATAAATCAAAGAAGTTTACCAAAACAAGTCCTAGAAAAGTATTCTGCAACTTGACTAAGAAATCTCTCGGATACACCGCCCAATCTTCCCACGCTCGGAACATTCGCATAACGCGAACTTTGAACCCTTCTGCTTTCAGTCTACTGTCGAACTGTTTGTACGCTTGATGAACTTCACTGAAAATATCTAAAAGACGCGTTTCGAATCTGCAAGATAAATAAGTAACGATGTCGATATTTTCTGGATTTTTAAGTATCTCTTCCCGTTTTGTGTTTTTTTTTTTTTTTTTTTAAAAAAGTTCCTTACGCTTTTCTATAAATAGTGGCATTGGTCACTTTGACCCCACAATTATGTAATATGTCAGATATCAAATACAATCTTGCAATTTTCTTATTAACAGGAGTTTGTAGAATCGACAATGACTCTGAAATACAATCGCAAATCTCCTCTGCTGCCTCCGCATGTTCTATACAAAATACCATTGCTTCTGCAACTTTTATTCTTTCAGGTGATATGTTTCGCAATAAATCTTCTAAACGATCTCGTTGACTATGAAGAAATAGAATATTTAAAACATTAACACGTATGTTTCTCTTCAAGATATGACACTCCGTAGTAGACAATTGAATTCGATTAATTTTTTTTTTCACGGTATTTGTATATATATATAATATATATTACATATTTCACATACATACAAACAACTATTTGCTCTTCTTAACCGTTACCTGTTGGAAAGACTACCCCTTCTAGGTTCTTGTCTTTCTTCCATCTCTATTAATTCATCTGGCATGCCCTGCGTCCAGGGATTGATCGGCGGTGGTCTCCACACACTTCCACCTTTAAACATTCTAAAATCTTCCGTGTGCCATTCCTTCTGCCCGTCTCCTTGTAAAATAGAGTACAATTTCCATCGATAGTAAGTGTGTGCGGGAGAGTAATTTTCAAACAAAAACCTGGAAAATTAAGAACGTTAGCTCTGTTGTAAAATTAAAAAAAAATAAAATAAAATAAAAACAAAAATACGCAACTTACCTGAACATTGGATTATTTAGTTCTCTGTTCATAATCATCGCTTCGAACATCGGTCCTTCCCGAATGACAAACTCTACCATTCTATGTATCAACATAACTAAATTCCTATAACGCATGACTCGATTAAACAAAATCGTTTACATGAATTCACACTGATGCACAAAATATCTTTATTTGTGTGCGTATGTGTGAGAACAAAAGTATAAAACTTGCAAACATCTTTTTCATTTTTTTTTTTTTTTTAGTTACGTACTTACACAGATGTGCTAAATATGTTATTAAAATCAACAAATACCTTTCTGTCGGTATAACCACTTTGACAACGGCATTCTGCAAAACCTGATAGCCCAGATCACAGTACAACAATGATAGTCGATGGGGATGTGCCAATCATCCAAATGCGCATTCCCAGAATGGTCCCCAACAAATTTAACACAATACAATTCGTAAACATAATTAGATGTGTGTTTTAAACAATCATCAAGAGGAATTTATATTCCACGAACCGTAAACTTAAAAGTGAATATATATTTTTTGTGTGTTTCTCATCACAATTTAGTGTCTTTATAGACAAAATATAAGTGCCTTCTTTAAAGAGAAACTTACCAACTTTACGCACTTAGAACATTTTTCTTCCTCGAGATTTTATGTATAAATAGATACATTTATACATAAATTTTTATCTATATCAAGATTTTTATTTATATCTTTTAACGCACATATATATATCCGTAGAAATAGTTTTACGAACAAAAGAACAGCTCTCTTATACTAAGCTAAATACTTAAGTTTCGAGCTATTATGATAATACGTTAAATGTGCATAGGAATAATTTTACCTTTTCAAAGTTTTCCTTTTCCTGCGGGTCCGCGCTCTGGGGGTTGCGAATACGTGGTATCTGAGATTATTGTTTCAAAAATGGTTATACAATCCCAAATGTAAATTATCAAAAAGTTTTTTTTTTTTTTTTTTTTTTAAATGACATTTTGATATTTTAATTCTGTTGGAGGATTTTATCACAACCGCATGTAAAAAAAAAGAAAAAAACGATTTACATATTTGTTGCGCGATTTTATTCTGTATTACGTTAAAATATGACAAATGTTTTTTTTTTTTATGAAGTACGTAAATATGATAAATTTATTAAGTGTGACATTTTGTGTATAAATGTGTGCGCCTATTTGATTTTGGTAAATTTGACGCGATGATAGCGTGTATGAAAACATTTTCGTTTAATCAATGATTGAACGAAAAATTATAAACGTAACTTTTTTTTTTTATTCAATGGAATGTACGTATCTAATGAATATATATTTCATAAAAATCTTATATACTAGCTACATAAAAGGCTACTTTTCGACAAAAGATGCCTTTTTATATCCTACAACAATATCGGACATATGTACCAGACATACATAAAAGGAACAAAATTATTTTATAACCAATAAATAAACATTTAAATTACGGTTATTCTTGAGGATGTAATAATATTATTAGGTAAGAAAAAAAAAACGGAATTGTTTGAACATATAATTGAGCATTTTATTAACTGTGCTTCTCAAGTGGTTTATTTTGTGTACCTTGTGTCTGTCGCGACGATGCGGCTGAGCGTTGAACGGAAGACCAGACGGAGGTGGTGGCTGTGTGATTTCCATCAAAGCAGGTGGAATGTAAATGGGATACGGTGGAATTGGCACGCTCTTTCCCCATCCCAGCTTCATCTCGTATTGCATTATGTCGCGACCTGTCAACATCGAAATACGTGTTCTTGCAAATCAATTTCTACTCTTTTGGGATTTATTAATATTCTTACCATTAAGATTTTTCAATGCGCGCTCTCCGTCCTTGCGACTCATGAATGCAACAAACCCACAATTTCTTTGTCTGGCTTTTTCTTCGTCACTGCGTGGCCACATAATTTTTATACTAGCCAATGGACCATATTTACCGAATATTTCCATCAGTTGCTGTTCTGTGATCTATGATAAATAATACAGAAATACCTGTTGTATGAATCTGATGTAACATGTGGTGTAACAACATACTCTAAATATGGAAACAGTAAAATGTTTTTACTTTTGGATTTAAATTTCCTAAGTATAGATTTGTAGTATTTGGATCGCCATTGTCAAAGGAACCATCTGTAAAACAAACATCCTTCAACATTTTCTGCAATTGTAAACCAAAAGAAAGTGACAAGGAAATTGGTGAGGAAGGACAAGGATTACCCTCGTATATCAGGGATAAGAGACGGGGATCGTCAATGAAGTTATGAAGATTAGCCTTTCGCGGATCCGGAAATGAAGATTTACTACCTATTGAAGTTATTAAGTAAAAAGTGTAGTAATAAACGTACGAACAGTATTTAAGTGTTATTGTAAAATCGCATCGTTGTGAAAAAAAAAACTGGATCAAATTTATTACTTGAAAACGTACGACACACGCAAATTTTTAAAATATGATTATATTTACCTTCCACGCATTTTAAAGCAGCCAACATCGGGTCCTCGGATTGTGCGGATATCACGGTTTTCACCACACCCTTGTACTTATGCCTCTCCTCACGTTCCTCTTGTATCATCCTCAGCTCTTCTTTGAACAATTCCAGATTGCTTTTTTTCTTTTCACCCTCTTTCTTCTTTTTGCCGAGTCTGTCTAATTTTCGTTCATTCGATCCAAGCAATCTTGCATATTCTTGAGCTTGTTCAGCTGACGATCTATTATCTACAAGTTCTGAGAGCTTGGATTGTGGTTTGTAAATCTTTCCTTTTTCTCTTGTGTCCTCCTCTGTTGATTTTGTTACAAGTTTATACAAGCGTTCATCAAGTTTTCTCAAACCTGTATATATAAATATATTTTATACTCACGTCTTTTGCCTGCATCGTATGTTCCTGCTTTAACCCAAACCTTACTAGTTGTCTTACTAGGAGTTTCTTGAAATGTTGCCACAAATTCTTCAAATGCCTGTAAAGAAGATGTAATTTGCACGTACGTACTATTCAACATAAAAAAAAAAAAACAAATCAATCCGCAACAGTATTTTTACCTGGGCTGCTGCTTGCTCCTGTTCTTTTTTACGTTGCTCCTCCAGTTCTTTTTTACTCAATGGTCGTTTACCCATTGTACCAATAGAAAAAGCTTTAAGCTTCTGTTCGGTAATTTGCTGTATAAATACAAAACATAATTAAGCATTATTTAACTTAATACATGTTAATATGATACAAATATTTTTAAAGCGCACACGCATACCTTCATCAAAGACTTATCCGCCATTTGTAAAACTGCAGTCTATAACCTAAAACAAGAAAATTTTGTAAATCACATTATTGGCATCAATCCCCATTGCCGTTTAAAATAAATTCAAACGTGTACAATAGCAATATTACAAACTTTCCGTCATAAAAACCTTAAATTTTATTCAGCGAGACGTGCACAACTTTTGATGATCAATAAAACGCCGACGTGACCAGCCGATGAGAGCCAATTCGATGAAGCCGCACATTTACAAGTAAATCAAATGCTAAAACTAGTTGCAATCATTAAAAAAACTTCTCTTATCAACAATATCATCAAAAACCGTACATTTGACGGAACAAAATACTAATCGCGCAATTTACATACGGAATTAGACGTGTGATCTATCGAGGACTGATTTTGTTAAAAAAGCTTTTATTTCTACGAACGATGTAACAATAGTTTCGCGAATTGTCATTGGCATATACCTTTCACATTGAAATTGGATCCAGAGGAATAGACCACTCGCAGACATCAGACGCAAAGCAATAAATTCTGGCTGAACGCAATCATTGGCTAACGGAACACTGTATACGCATCATAGATGGCGATACACCGTTCTTATAATTTTCGCGGAGAAGACTGGACAAGAAAAACAACACGTGACTTTACTTCAGTCACATTGGCTGTGTTCCAAAATTCACTGCCAGCTCTAAAGCCCCTTGCACAATGGACGGAATAGCGATAGCGATAGAAATAACACAGTTTTTAAAGCCTCTTGCACACAATGGACGGAATAGCGATAGCGATAGAAATAACAAAAGTTTTAAAGAGTTTATATTTAAAAATAAAGGTAGGAACAGCGGAATCTAACATACAAAACTACACATGTATCAATGCAGATCAGAAAATCGGAATAAGTAATAGCGATAAAATTTCCGACGAGTTGGAATTCTGTGTTAAAAACTGTGTTATTTCTATTGCTATCGCTATTCTTTCCATTGTGCAAGAGGCTTAACACAGAATTTCAACTCGTCGGAAATTTTATCGCTATTACTTATTCCGATTTTCTGATCTGCATTGATACATGTGTATTTTTGTACGTTAGATTCCGCTGTTCCTACCTTTATTTTTAAATATAAACTCTTTAAAACTTTTGTTATTTCTATCGCTATGCTATTCCGTCCATTGTGCAAGAGGCTTAAATATCTATAGTTTCCGTCACATATATTGTACAATTTTAGCACTGGCAGCGTGTTGCATGCTGGCAGCAATTCTGGAACACAGGGTGCGGTCAACGTCTCACTGCAAATGTTTCCAAGTATCATTCTATCTTTATTCCACATTTAACGAGAAATAAAGATAGAATGATGCTTCAAAACACATTTGCAGTGAAGCTTTGACCGCACAAAAGCTATTTTGTTGTGCGTACTCACGGAACAGAACCATGTCCACGTTTGAACGTAACGTACGTACCGACAAAGTCGTTCGTGGATATGGCTAACGTTGTTGCCAATGCGCACCACCCCCGTTGACACTTGCGCTGGGTTACAGGGCGGAAAAGCGATTTACACACACTCTCTCATGAGCCTGGCTCGCTTTCGGTCTTTCCTCTCTCATACGTCTATGGTCTCTTCTCTCTGACGAGATTCGAATCGTGCGTATATTTATTTCTGTTTACGTCGGTAGAGGGCGAAAACGCCCCGCACCAGTTCACACGTACGCGTCGCGCATGTATTTTCTTTTTTTTTTTTTTACACACAATATAACACACACATATACTAAAAAAAAGAAACAAAAACATATTGCGTGTGCACGCATATATTGTATACATAAATTGGAGTGTGTGTGCTGTCAAAATAGCAAAGCAAGTTTTTTTTTCTCGAACGTCGCGCGATTCTTCGCACCGTCAGCGTTGCACGCATCGATTTTAATGCCAAGTTTGCGTTTTTTTTATTTTTTATTTTTTTTGTCTTTGATTGACGGAACGCGCGTTGGTACGGAATTTTCGGTATCAATTAATTTCGATAAAACAAAACGTGCGAAATCGGTGTGTGTGGGCACATCGTCTCTCCGGTCTCTGATCCCCAGACTCCGTCGAATCTTATCGCGACGATGACCGTGAGAGATCCGATGACATTTTTAAATCCCTCTTAACGACATAACTCTCACTTCTGACTCCTACTATTCAATAATCATCAATTTCTTGTGTGTCTAATTATACACAATTGATTGATCGCCGAGCAGTTAACGTCGGAGCAGTTAACATCATTGAGATGGACAATCCATCGGGACAAAATCAGTCGGTTAATAACTCTTCAAATAACATGGGCGACAATTCTGACACTAAGGGCAGGTGAGTTTCTTGTTTTTTTTTGTTTTTTTATCAATAATTTTGTCTTTCTGTAGAGAGCGTGTAAGAGAAGGTGTTAAACTGAATACCAAAAGTAATACTCGACAGAACAGAGAGTTTATGAGAAAGTACATGTGTTTAATTTGTTATTTTATCAAACTGTTACAGCTGTCTGTTGCTTCGCTACGCCAGTCAGAATTCTCTCGATGAGAGCTCGCAGAAACATATTCCTCATGAAAATGGAAAAGACAAACCGCCGTACAGAAATCACCATCATACAAATCGAGCTTTTGAAGTTATCAATGAGATGAGAAAGTATGTTTTTTTTTATCTACATTTGAAAGTGTCAAAATTGTAATTGAATCACATCAATTGACACTAAAATGCAAAATGCTATTTATGCTGTTCTAGGAAAAATTTACTCTGCGATGTCATTCTGGTGGCGGACGGCGGGATGGAAGTACCTGCTCATAAAATGGTTCTCGCTGCGTGTAGTCCATACTTCTACGCTATGTTTACAAGTTTCGAAGAACGGGATCAGGAGAGAATAACGTTGCAAGGTGTGGATTATTCGGCGTTGGAATTGCTGGTTGATTACGTTTATTCCGCTGAAGTTCATGTTTCGGAGGAAAACGTACAGGTGCTCTTGCCTGCCGCGAATTTATTGCAACTTACGGACGTTCGGGATGCCTGTTGTGACTTTTTACAAGCTCAACTGCACCCGTCTAATTGTCTCGGGATCAGAGCTTTTGCGGATCTGCACGGATGTCTTGAGTTGTTGGCACACGCGGATAGTTACATCGAACAGCATTTTTCGTAAGTCGCATTTTTCACCGCTGCAATTTTCTCAAATAAGTTTATACTGACAGTTTTGTCTTGTTATTTTATAATTTGTGTTTTTTGTGCTGTTTGTAGAGAAGTAGTCGATGCGGAAGAATTCTTAACCCTGGAACCTGAGCAGGTGGCTAAGCTCATCTGCAGCGACCGTTTAATGGTGCCTTCTGAGGAAAAGGTGTTCGAATGTGTGATCTCGTGGGTGCACCACGATCTCGAGAAAAGACAGAAAAATTTAGCTCTCTTAATGGAGCACGTGCGCTTGCCTCTGCTCTCTCAGGAATATTTAGTACAGCGCGTAGAGGAGGAACCGTTACTCAAGGCAAATTTGCAGTGTAAGTTAGATTTAAAATTGATAAAAATGTTGGGTTAAAAGAGTCACAGTCTTTATTTTTGAATTTTTATATAGGCAAAGACTTTTTGATCGAAGCCTTGAAGTATCATTTGCTGAAAGGCGAACAGAAATCGCTGTTCAAAACACCACGCACGAAACCGAGACAACCGAGAGGATTGCCCAAGGTGTTGCTCGTTGTTGGCGGTCAAGCTCCGAAAGCAATCAGGAGTGTCGAGTGTTACGACTTTAAGGAGGAAAAATGGTATCAAGTTTCTGAACTGCCAACGCGACGTTGCAGAGCTGGTAATTAAATATTAATCGACTTCTCAGAACACTGAGTTAGAACAAGTTTGTGTTCCATTTCTTGATTGGGAACTAATGTTGTGTCATCGCATTGTTGTCTAGGATTGTGCGTTCTCGGGGGACGTGTGTACGCTGTGGGCGGATTTAATGGATCGTTAAGAGTGCGAACAGTTGATATTTACGATGCTGCGGCTGATCAGTGGTTGCCCTGTCCCGAAATGGAAGCGAGAAGATCGACACTCGGCGTAGCCGTGCTTGGCAATTGTGTTTACGCCGTATGTTTAAATCGAAGATTTTAAAATTTAAAAAATTTTTTATTTTAGCTAATATTTTAAATTAATTATTGTTTATAGGTTGGCGGTTTTGATGGATCGACTGGATTAAATTCGGCCGAGGTGTACGACCCGCGCACTCGCGAATGGAGACCAATAGCACGAATGTCAACACGGCGCAGCAGCGTAGGAGTCGGCGTTGTAAAAGGATTGCTCTATGCCGTGAGTTTGCAACGAATTAATATATCGATCATTTTGACAACGATCTTGTACATTTGGTGTAATAGAAAATGGTCGCGATTTCAGGTTGGAGGCTACGACGGAGAATCCCGTCAGTGTCTTTCCAGCGTCGAGTGCTATAATCCGGAAAAAGATCAGTGGAAACCCGTGCCTGAGATGTCAGCGCGTCGCAGCGGCGCGGGTGTCGGTGTCCTCGATGGTATATTGTACGCGGTAGGCGGTCACGATGGTCCACTTGTTCGAAAAACTGTAGAAGCGTTTAATCCAGACACGAACCAGTGGACCACTGTCAGCGACATGGCACACTGTCGTCGTAACGCCGGTAAGCAGCTAATGTCCGTTAGACACTTGTGTTCACTTGTATCTTCGCCCACATCTAATGTTACAACGAATGCACTTAGGTGTTGTGGCGCTAAACGGACTTTTGTACGTGGTGGGTGGAGACGACGGTTCCTGCAGTTTAGCGTCGGTAGAAGTTTATTGTCCAAGAACCGATACCTGGACCACCCTGCCTACTTGCATGGGAGTTGGACGCAGTTACGCGGGTGTAGCGATCATCGACAAACCGATGACCTCCGCTACGACGATGTGAGGTCTGCAGTCCGCTGGGCATACGACGGAACAGAACACGGACCCGGGTGCCGAGACATCGGATTCCTCGCGGGAAGCCGGGCCCAGCGGTGTGCAAGTACAGAATCGCGGTGGCGCGAGTCACAATTGTCAGGGCCCGCGTTGCGTTTGTCAGAGATACGAGAACGGCGAATTAGCCGCGGCGATGATGAATCAGGGAAGAAGTAATCAGGAGCGAGACGACATTTATCAGAACGCGAGTTACGTTTCTCGTTTTCAAAACCGTCCCGGCAATAATGCGGTACAGATTCATCCGAATTTGAATCCGAATTATCAGAATCCGATTGATGTGATACGCAATTACAATCGGCGAATTATACCGCCGCAGCAGCAGCATCAGGAACCGGAGGAAAATATTTACGAGCGTTTGGACAATGACGATGGCGAGGACGACGATCTTTCTCCGGATCTACCGCGGAACGAACCGCTTGCGCAAAACATTCCGAACAACGCGAATCACATGTACGAGAGAATAGACGAGCGAATATCGTGCAGCAACAGAACGCATTGCCGTTATTACAAATACAGTTTGAATCATGTACCTGCTCCAAGTTTCTTAAATGACATGGAAGGCGCCAACAGAAACGTCGGCCAATACGATCAGCCGAGACACATCTACATCGATTATTCCCGACTGAGCGGTAACTTTCAGAGCTCATTGAGCAGATTGGGCCGTAACTGTTTCTCCACGGAAAACATCGCGTACGCTTCTTCCGCAAGACGATCCGTTCATCCGTTCGTGTACAATTGCACGTGTCCGTACTGCAGACACGCGGACGCGAGATACATCTGCCATCATTGTCACAATCTGCACAACAGATTGCGATCTCAAGACGCCTCAAGTTCCAGACATTACGTGTATCAGATCGCGAGGAACTGCAGATGTCCCTTCTGCCGGGGCGAATACATTTATACAAAGCTTCCCGCCACCGCTCTCCGCGCCGCCGAACTCTTCAAAATGGAAAGCTGCCACTGCAGAAGTCCCACCGGTTGCAATTGCCGCAACAAAACAACGTCGGGAGATTCGAATTCCGCAACCTACGTCGGGAGATACTTGGATTGGATCAATCGAACCGGACAATCGGTTAACAATCCGCTTTACGCTATGGTTCACGTCAGCAGATTGGATCGCGCTCCCGTATCTGGTAATCACGGGAACGTCGATCCTGGCCCGTCGACGTCCGGCAACGCGACGTCCAACGCCACGAGACCCAACGACGCGAATCCGTCGTCCTCGCTGTTGCGATCGATATTCGCTCCCGGCGCTTCAACATCAAACGCTCCGATTTGTCCCGTGAGTCGACATGTAGAACGTCAACACACCTGCGACGACTCTTGCATTCCGAAGCAGAGTCACGGCGGTAATCTGGCCGCGATGTGTCAGCTTCTCGGCAGATACGAGAAAACGACGGAATGCAATCACGGAAAGCGGGAGATATATTGGTGGTTCGTAAACAAGTGGCTTCCTCAGTGGTATTCTCACAATCTTGACAGGAACGTGGACGGTGCGTCATGCGCGGACGAGGGATCTCGGGAACAACGAGAGAGCGATAGCGACGATTCTTAAAAAAAAAAAAACCGAAGAAAAGTCTGTGTTCGACGAAGTGTTCCTCAGTTTTGTATTCCCGAACGTTGACTGATTTATCTTCTTTTCTTCGTCTCTTCGCTGCTGCGCGATTGTTGTTTGTTTATTGACTCACATACACATTCGTAAATAACGTAAATAACTGAGGAACTCATCTGCATAACGACATAGTAAAAATAATAATAATAATAATAATAACAATAGTTTTTAAGTGTGTACACAGTGACAAATTAAATTTATATATATTTGAAAACGTTTGTTTATAAAAAGAATTGTACAATACGGTTTTAATATTTGTAACGCAATTTTATCTCTCAATTATGTTTTTTAACTTTAATAATTTTTTTTTAGATGTATGTGAACGTCGTGAAAATTTTGTGTTTTATGTTCAACGTGTCGGTTACGATGAATGTACAAGCATAGAATTGTGTCGTTGTTGCGAAAAAAAGTATGTAGCGCGATTTGCGATTCTTGGTTTCGTGTTTTTATTTATCAATTCGTTAGTTTTATCTTCGAGAATATTAAATAACGTCTAATAACAGTAGAGACAAGTCCACGTTTTACCTTTGACTCGTCGCAATAAGTTTAGTCGATATTTTAACTGTGATATATATATATATAAAAATTAAGTTGGCGATCGTTTGATTCACACGAACTTTTGATGTGGGGGTGGGGAGAGAACATTTACTTCCTTTGCGCGGTTTCACTGGCGTAATATATGCGTTTCATATCACTTCTCGTGATCACTTTTCGACGTATAATATATATATATATATACACACACTGACGTCAATCAGTATTATAAGTTATTATTTTTTTTTTTTTTTTCAACAACGTGCTTTAGCTTGCTTAAAAATCTTTGAGCGAGTGTTTGCGCCAAGTGCTCGGAATCGAGCGCTCTCTTCCGCAAATAATGCAAAAACAATGTACAAACGCTTTGGAGAAGCGACACAACGGTGTTTGTCACAAAACTTTGTCGGCGCGTTTAATTTTGTCGCGAAATAAAAATGTTTGCAAAATCGAATTGGTTTTCCGAAGCGCGGCGCGTGGCGCCAAGCACTCACTCTCACACACGCACTTCGCAAGTGTTGATACACAATTGATATATTGTATATGTGCGTGTCCGCGTGTATGTGACTGTATAGAGCTTTTGAAAGAGAAATATCCTCCATGAGGACGAAGTTATATAAAAATGTAATTGTCTTTGAGATATTTTGTGTAATTTTTACATTTGATTTCACTCGGAAACTTGACACTTTGTACAACTTTTCGACGTTTGGTTTTTGCAAACATGGTGTGTCTCTCTCGTGTGAACTACGTATAACAGTTTGCGGCATAAAAACATTGTTACACGACAACTTAGCGCCCCGGGGACTTTTAGATCTCTCAATAGACTAGTTAATAATTGCTAGGATAAACGATTATGCTGTAATTGCGAATTGTTTCGTTATAGTATACAGGGTGTCCCAGAATTGCCGTACAATCTCTCGTAGGCAGGTAGAAGGAGTAAAACTGAGTCGAAAAGTCCTGAACCATTTTTTTCTATTATTTATAATAAAGGAGTAATTATTGTGTAAATCAGGCCAATCAGCGCAGACCTTTAGCCAGACGCACGTAAGTGAGCCGCGCGCCTGGTGTGTGTGAGCGCTCACTGACGTGTGCCTGGCTAAACGTCTGCGCTGATTGGCCTGATTTACTCTATAATTACTCCTTTATTATAAATAATAGAAAAAAATGATTCAGGACTTTTCGACTCAGTTTTACTCCTTCTACCTGCCTACGAGAGATTGTACGGCAATTCTGGGACACCCTGTATATACGCAATGATGGGAAACAGGTCAAATCCTTTTTTGTGTGTATCTGAAAATGTATATATTGCAACAGTTTTACTGAGTTTCTGTATAAACGCTTATGTGTTAGACCTTAACTCCTGTCTGTGGTTTTTTTTTTTTTTTTTTTTTAAATAAACTTCCCAAGCGAGCGAAACGAAAAACGAACGAAGAGCGAGAACAACGAAGTTTCGCGAGAAACAATGTAATTTTTTTTTTTTTTTTTGGGTCCGTTCTGATTTTGTAAGATCGAGGCTACTTGCATCATGTGTCAGAATGAGAGATATATATTCATAATGCGTGTTATATATATATATATATATATACATATATGTGTGTGTATTATATAAAACTTTATTAATGTGATTCAAAATAGACAATGTGCGGGGGACAAAACGGTAACGGTTTGAAATTAATCTCTCAAGGGAGACCGAGCATTACGCGCTCTCTTGCGTAAGTGTCATTGACGTATTATGTATATATGATCGATAGCCGGAACGACACTTCAAGTATGTGGGCGTTGGCACCTTACGCCAGTTGTCGCCTTCGAATTCCATTTCGTTTATCGATCTCTCGGTTTAAAATCTCCCGACGCGGATAAAACATAATGAGTGTCTTTTTTTCTCTCTCTCTCTCCGTCTTTTTTTTTTTTTTTTTTTTGCTCCACCGACGGACAATCGCAGCGAGTCGAGGTGGACACGACTATCGCTCGCGGCCGATCGAGGGGGGCTGACACAAGGAAACCGCGAGCGCGATAACAAAATGCGAATTTATCGCGCGCGACCGTTACGCACAATCATTCGCGCGTGAATCATTGAATTGTCGCGCGTGTGTCCCGCGCGTCGCTGCTCTCTCTCTGTACGGGTTGCGAAACTCCGTACTGTATATAATCCTATATGGCGCGTGTCACGTGCACGCGCGAGCTATAGTTTTTCTTTCCTTTAACGCGGTTCCGGTTGGATTTTTTTTTTTTTTTTTTTTTTTTTTTAATCGCTAACGCGACGAACTGCGCGCGCTTTTTTAATTCTATACAAAAAAAAAATATATAGAAAATAACGTGTGTGGTATTTTGATTACATTGGCGTCGATGTGTAATGTAACGAGCGGAGAGAAGAGGCTTTTTCTCGAAATAAAAACTTAATGTTTGAAAGTCGCTCAATTTTTCTCGCAGGTGGCTGCACAAAACAATTTGCCTTCTGAAACGTGGCGTGCGATTCGATCGGAATCGTCGTATCAGACCTCATCTTGTTATACTGCACACAGAGAAAGGAAACCGATCTACAGCGCGGAGGCTTCCTTCTCTCAAGGGTAAGGAAAGGTGTCGCCTGCCAACGGTTTGCACATGGTTCATTGTTGGTTGCACAACAATGAACTCTAACGAGGGTAAGCCTATCACGGGCCTATGCGCGCCAGGCATTCGGTTCCTTTCCAGTCCTTTCTTCGTCGGGCTTTGCCGACACACATGTGTCATTAGCGCGAATTTACGACTTTATTCGATCGCGCGGTTTATAAATCCTCTTAAGCATTACGCGCGGAACTGCGTGCGAACAATTGGAACAAACCGTGTGTCATAATAATTACAAGTCAACGGATTTACAGCTCGCGCAGGAAACCACACTCCTAACGTTGAGATTAATGTTTCACTTTCCGGTTTTTTTTTTTTAATTAAACTGAATATTAATGTAATTTCGTTAAAAAATAAGATTTAAAAAACTCTAAAACTAAAATAAAAATATAAATGCACTGGTCGTGGAGAAGATCTAACGCAAGAATTTCGAGAGCAACAATTGCGTCTGTTTTATAATAAAAAAATTCATAAAGGACTAAACCTCTTCTCTTTGTCAAATTTTTTTCAGAAGGATATCCAAAGCGAGGATCAAAACGTTATTGTTAAATTATTGTTTAGTCTTTTATCGCTAGATGCGTCAGTGCGCTTACACCTTGCATTGTGTGTTTTTTTTTTTTTTACGATATTTATAACGTTACGTTGAAATTGGAAAACTCCTTGGAAAGAACACAAGGTCTTGGAAAAAAATTTTCCTAGTCCATATATATATATATATACATTTTAACGCTGTTTCCAGCGATTTGTTTCGCGCGCGCATATAAAAGTAATTCCTCTAAAGATGTCAAGATTGCCGTTACGCAATTGCACAACACAGAGGCGAATATAAGCGAACAAGAAGAAAAGCGCTTGCGCGGGTTGCGCAATTTCAAAGTGGAATCAGACCCGATCGGCGCATCTGCATCTATGCAGCTGTGCAAGCGGGAATGATCTTTTCCCATTTCGGTCTCACATAAGCTTAATTTACATCTCTCGCAACGAATATATACACGGTGACGCATGTAACAATCGCGTCTTACCGAGAAAAAATGTTGAATCGACATCGGATTTGCCCCGGAAGCGAACATGACTTTGCAATTGTAATTTTATATTCGGATCTTACGTACCTAAGGCGCTAACTGAAATTACGCGCGCGCATATCTTTATCCGCGTTTGTCTTACGACTTTTTTTTTTTTAAATAATGAGACAACAGATCAAACAATTCGTCAGCGAATAAGATAATTCGTCAGATCGGACGAGATACGCACATACATCGTTATTTAGAACAAAATCTTAAGTCGCACAGAAATTATCTCGTATGTAAAACGTATCAATGACCGGACGTCTCATTTATATCAAATAAATATATAATTATTTCTTTAACAAAGCCAAATATTTACATATATGTAAAGTTAGAAAAAAAAACTAATCTTAAAACTATATTTAAAAAATATATCTTAAAAATTAACTTAAAAACCATTGAGAATTGTTACGTTTAATATTTACAAAATTATTTCTTTAAAAAAATGTTCGACCCTGTCCGATCGCTAGGACACATTTGCTGTATTTGAAATACGCGCGCGAAGATAACAAAAAATAAAGAGTCTCTTATCTCGCTAGAGATAAGAGACGCTGAAAGCGTCACATTACCAAACGACCCCTCTCGCTTACGAGGAGGAGGAATCGAAGGTACAATCGAAATTTAAAGGTAGGGAGACAACAAACCCGACAAGACAAAGCTGGAAGGGATACGCACTGGTAGAGCGTAAAAGTAAGAGAATCCGCGCCGCGGTGCCGCTGCTTACTCCGCTGCGCCTCCTCGTTCGAGAGACACTTCTCTCTTTTATTCCCGTTTCTACGTGCGGCCGCCCGGTTAAGAGCATTCTCCTTCTTCAGCTTTTTCAGTCGCCGACGTGACGGGCGCGCACCGCACGGTCTTATCACCGCGCGATTCTGTCGGCGCGCGTGTGTTCCTCCGCGCGTGTTTATGCGCCGCTAAGATCCTTCCGCGATCGCCTCTTCGGATCTTTTTATTTCCGACAAAAAATTTTTCCCGACGTTTCTTCTTTTCGCTCGGTTTTTTTTAGATCAATGTGAGATCGACACGTCTCTCTCACGCGCCAAGTGAAAGTGGACACGTGTCGGATGAACTTTTCAACACATTCTGGATCGATTCGTTTCTCCCGTGCGAGCGAGTCTTGAAAGGCCGAACATCCCGCGCGCGCGCGCTGGTATCAGGTAAGAATTTAATAAGTTCGTCGGGTCGCACGTTAATTACGTGATCGATCCTCAGTTTTTTTTTTGTTTTGCCACACGAACGCGTAATTGCTTCTTCTTGTTTATATGTCATTACGATCGCTGAAACACACGCGTTGTTACATGTTAATTACAATACGTTATTACGTGTATTATTATATACGTTGTTACGTGTTAATTATAATTCAATTGTGTTCTCGTTACATAAGAGCACACGTGCGCGGTGAATATATAATTTACACACGTGTGTGTGTAAGTGTGTGTCGATATTACTGTGTCGTATTAATACGCTTAATCGAGACACAATCTCTTGCAATTTATTAAATAGACGTTATTATATGCGGAAACTAATCGAGCGCGCGTTAGTCACGCAAATTTATTGCTTCGCGAATCGATCAGCCTCGATTCGTTTTTGCAAGATTTTTTTTTTTTAACACTAATCTCGCGAGTATAAATTTCGTAAAAATTAGAGAGCGCGGCACATCCCAGGTAGAGATGATCCCGCTCTTACCTCTAGTGAAAACACGTTTTGCATATTCAACATGGAAACACACACGGCAATATCCGCGGAGCGAAAGTGACGAGCGGGCCAAACTCGTTCAACTTTCCAAATAAATTTTGTGGTCGCGGCGCTCTACCGCGTTGGCGTAACAATTGCTGAGTTTTTTCTTTTTCTTCTTTCTCATTGTTTCACATCGCGCTTTAAATCTGCACGTGCTTAATCTCGCAAACACGCTTCTCTTTGCCCAATTTTCTTTTTTTAATACATATATATATATATATATATATGAAACAAATTCCGTTCCTTCGTGAATTTTGATTTATGTATCCGACCGTTTGCACATCGTTCGGCGTTATATCAACGCGCGTATATCCCGCTACTTGATCCAGGACGCGGAGCACTTTCTACGAACGGATGACTCAACGAATGAGAGTTCGTTATTCTTCTTTCGTTCGGCCAGGTACTGTTGTACGTGATCCAAGTTTACGACCACGGCTTTTCTCCCAAACAATTGCTCGACTGAGAACAGACAATCTTGACACTGGAACAATCAAAATGACAGATTTTGGAGTTTTTATGCTACAGAAATACGTTCCGATTAATTGTATTTAGACAAGTTATAACTCTAATATCCAGTAAAGGACTAAAGTAAATAGAAGCATATAAAAATATCTTTAATACACTTTTGATGAAAATGCTAACAAAATTAAGATAAAAATACCGTTTGCATAAGTCGAGAAATGTTGTAACAAAAAATGGTTTTCTTCGAAAAAATTTTAAAAACAAAGACAAGCACATCTTTTGTCAGCCGATCACGTTATCATTCTTATAATTTTTTTTCAATGTTTCAGTTCTCGATCTCGTGAAAGAAGCGAAAAAAAAAAAAAAACGGTATAGATCTCGATCGTAATCCGATCAGTTTTGCGCGCGGCTACAGTTGGTAGCTGAATGAGAGAGAGATAAATTAAATTCGCGAATTTAAAATCAAACAAGAGACGGACTTTTACATACATGTATCACGCAATCGGAAAGCGGAACTGAATTCGACATGTTCGCGACGAGGGCAGTGCCTTTGTTCCGCGTAATTTCGGTCACCTCGTGATACGGCGTCCTTGGAACTTGCGAAAGAGCCGCCGATCGATTTGTGTGATCATGATCTCCGGGACCAGGAAACGAATTCTTCGCACGTTAGAAAAACGAGTCGACGAGCTGCCTCCCGAGTTGACAATTTGCAAGTGATTTGTGAAGAAAAACGCGAGCTTTCGTTCGGGTGTAAAATCGGGAGCGACGCGCGAAAATTATGGCGTTGGTGAATTTTAGTCTACCTTATCAGTCGGCGACGATGGCGCCGTTTCTTTACACGGGACCGGTCGGAGGTCACACGACGGCCAACAATCTTCGTCTGAACGCCGTTTTACCGTCGGCATCCGTGCCGCCGGTTTACAACGAGCAAGACAACTTCCGTAACGAGCCCTACGTGCCGCCGGTCAAGTATCATCATCAGCGACGTCAGGCGACCGCTCAGCAGAGGAATCAGGAGATCTACACGGAGAACACGTCCTTCTCTTCGCAGGACACTCGCTACACCGTGTACAATCAAGACTTCAGGAGAACACAACCGAGGCAGCAGCAACAACAGCAGATGAGACCGCCGCCACCACCCTCTTTGTTTCAGCAGCAACAGCAGCAGCAACAAACGCAATCGTCCGAACCGATCAAATCTCACACGGAGGAACAGGAAAATTATCCAGACAGGCCTAACGGGTGAATAAAACCTCCTTCTCTCCGTTCTTTTTTTTTTTTTGTTCTTCCTCTCTTGCTTCTTTTTCCTTTCCTATCTTACAAAATTGCGTGGTAAGGAAAATAATATTATTTAATACATTTTGCATTGTAATTCTGTTTGAAGATACACAAGAGTTAACGGCGGCGGGAGTTCCCTCGGTCCGGGTGCGAAGACCTCGGTCCACGCGGTGCTCGACTACGACGACGATTTTGACGATTACTACGACGACGAGGATCCGAATGTACCAACGAACGCGCATGTCACGCCTATTCAGGGTCCGATTTTTCTGAAAAATGGTTCCGTGCCTGTGGTTCCGCTGTACTCGTATCCTCAGCTAAATAACGGAACGTTCGTGCAGATACCGGTGAGTTTTTCTCCCTCCTCAATTTTCCTTTCTGACAAAAAGGTCGAATCTCTCTCTCTCTCTCTCTCTCGAATCACGACGGCGCGCGCGAGGATCGTAACGAAAGGTAATGATCGACAAATCCGACCGTGGGCTGCGCGAACACATTCTATGGCAAAACGCGTGACATTTCTCCGCAGCACCCGTGACCCCGAGTATCTTCGCTAGAATCTATTGCAAATGTGCGCGCGATCGAGGTAGATCCACATGAGCCGGTGGTTACATCTGTTCCAGCGTCTCTCCTGTGGGTATCTATCTCTTTTACCTCTCTCATTTCCATTTTCGCTTGACGTTCGCTTTGCGATAACTTCGGTCGCCGGAGCGCGTGAGGTCGCGAATAAAAGTCTCTTGAGGTTAATCGCTGACATTGAGACACGGTGAGTGTTTCCTCCTCAACGTACTGTGCCAACGAGGCAATTTGTCCACTCTCTGGCTGGAAGAAAAAAAAACAGTTTTTAACTCGCTGTATCCAAAGCGAGAGAGTCGTCGAAACGTTAAAATTATTTTATTTCAGTCTTTTTGTTAAATATATATACATGCGTCTTGTTGCGTCTGAATATTGCGTTGGGTTCTTTACGGGCAATATTTTATAACTTTTAATCTGTTATAAATATTGACACAGACTCCAGTAATCTCATTTGAGAAACATTCAAATCGTTAAATTATTTAAATTTATTTACGGTCATCAAAAAAAAAAACAAAACGAAAAAGAATCGGAAAATTTGTGTATTGTCATTATATTTACCGTATACGTAAACTTGTCTCATATGTATATTTCACGGATTATCGAACCAATCCGGTCTTTCCGGTCTCTCCGCGATTCGCAGGGAATCGATTTTTGACGGTGCTACAAACAAGAAGAAGTTTTCTTTGTGACTTACATTATATTTTAATCAACATTCTAGTTTTAATATCACGATTTTAATATCACGATTAATCAAGTATCGCGTCCAGTGAAAAAACTTATAAGGCAGTTTTTTCTTAAAGGATAATTTGGTTTTTTTTTTTTCAACGTCACACACCGATCTTGCAACGACTGCCGTCTCCTATTGAAGAAAGTCAAGGAGAAACGTCTGTGACCTTCGTCTTTTCTTTTCAGCTGTTTCGCATAGTTCGTGCAACGTTCTTGCAATACCCGTATAAAGCAACGCCACTTTTAAACGTACACTTTTCTATTTTGTAATAGTATCTTCTTTCTCGTGAGTCATATATCTTCTTTTTTTTTGTATTCTACTTATTATTCAAACGAGAGTAAATTGAAAGGCTCTCGTAAGAATTAACAGACATTCGAGGATTCGCAATCGACCGACCGATGATGCTCGAAAAAAGCTTTTTGTTTTTTTAAATAAAACGGGTCGACTCTCGGACTCTCACGAAATCATAGACGCATAATCACACGTACACGCGAATGTCATCGAATATTCTTATTGGCCGAGATCGTTCATGAGGAGACGATTGTCGAAACGCCCACGTAGACGACGACAATACGAGCTACCGTTGAATTTCTCACGACATGGAGTTTCATCGTTTACGATCGTCAACGATGCGATAGTGGAAAATTAATTGCCGTGATGTATTTTTGTACAAAAAACTGAGAGAAAAATGAAAGAGTCTTAAAAAAAAAAAGAAACATTGAGATTTGATTTGCACATGTATGATAATCGATTCAGCGCGCGCGCGCGCGCGCGCAGTGTATGATTCATTTCTTGTGGGCAATGCACCACGCGGCGCAACCACCATCAGAATTCAGCCATAACATGAATGACGCCCACTGAATACTGACTGGAAGTTGAATGGAAGTACGAGTGTAGGAAGACAATATTTAATTAACCACCGCCGACTTCCGGCATGAGCGAGCATGGGAGAATAATTTGTGTTCGCCGGTGTGGCATGTTTCTCATACGCTGCGTCGCGTGACGCAAATTTCAAAGACGCGCGTTCAAAACGCTTTGTAAATACGTGAGATAAACGTTTCAATGACCCGGCCATGACGCTACTCCGACCGGAAACATTTATTAAAAAGATAATTGAGACATTTATATGTAAAATACTTATATGTAAAATATTAGAAACTGATAAGTAAAAGTAAATAGTATATATATTTAAGAAATATATATAAAAAATATATTTTTATAAATATATCTTTGAGGTCATTTACCTTATCACATTGTGAAGAATCTTACGTAAGTGAATTATTCTAATCGCCGTACGTCCGTAAATTATTTCTATTTCAAACGTGATGCGACGATTATATTGATTCGCAGATACTCTGGACCGCACTTTCGGTAGCTTTGGGTGTGGAATTAAGAGGAGATCTCGTACGAGGCGCGCCGTGCATCAAGAGATATCATCAGCTGTTTTGTCCGACGGCTGGGAACACGTATCCGATGTGAGTTTAAATGATATGTTCTTTCTGAAAACACGACTAAACGTGACAAATTACAAGTCTCTCTGCGCTTATTCAGCAAATAGATACACGAAGTTTGTTAGCGAGACACAAATATACGAGATAATTAATTAACTATATAATGTGTGTCTGTGTGTGTGTGTTCTCGAATGCGTAATTTAAATCAGATCGATTGTTGTAGAGAACGAATAGAACGTTTTATCGATGAAAATAAAGCGTTGATGAAAAGGATGTACGGTGACTTCGAGATGAATCCAGGGTCGAGCGAACCCGGACATCGCACTAGAACCCGACGAAAAAGCAGGGAAACGCGAAAGCACGACGTTCCGGATGGCGGGCCGAGAGTTCCCGACGACGAGTTGAATATAGAGGAGATAGACGAAGGATATTTCAATAATAAGAGAAATATCAGGCAATCTTTTGGAAAAAATCGCAGCTCGGAGAGCAGCGGCAGGTAAAAAAAATCTGAGAAAACAGAATTTTTTTTGTCTAGGTGTTACACTTTGTAATTGTCGTCATTGTGCGCGATAATTGCAGAATCGATGCGTGCGAATCAAAAGTCGAAATCGTGACTCCTTACTGGGCGAGCAACAGTGCGGGAAAAATTCGCGCCATCGTCAACACTCAACATTTCGAGCAAGCTATACATCAGGAAGTGTGCTCGTAAGTAGTAAGATTGTTTTCGCGAGCTAAACTTCGCGAGATAAAATAATTCTAGATAACACAAATAATATTAATAAAAATAATAATAATATAAAATAAGTTTATAACGTTATAGATAATAATTGCGTTTTGTGTTATTTTTACCATGTAAAAATATTTGATAGATATTGAGATACGAATATAGAAAAGGAGTTAGTTCATTACCGTATTCACAGGCTGCGTTTCTCTTCGCAGAAAAACACAGACTAATCGATGCAGCGGAGACTGCGGATGCGAGCAGAAGTACAAGTGGCACAGACTGCTCGCTTACGATCCGGACAACGACTGTAAGGGCATATTCATGGATTGGTTCCTGTTTCCCTCTTGCTGCGTTTGCAGATGCGATCCGATGCACAACAACAAATTCTCTTCGACAAGCAGTCGAAATTGACACAAAAGCGCGAAGTGTGTCAGTTGCGTGTGTATCTGCATAACGCGCCATGGAACGTGCCATGTGTCAAACTACGCGTGACGGTTTACACATATATTATTAGTACATTCAAGCAATTTATGTTCATTGTGTAAATTATACACAGGCGCGTCACTTGTGTGCGTCGGGCGATTTGAGCGATTCTCATCGTCTCGACCTGGAAAATCGGAAACGTTAGTTAGAAAAATTCAATTTGTTAATAGTTTAGGAATGACGTGCAGTAATATATTTTCTCACCTGTGAATCGGAAATTTTTATCGGCAATCTGATCTTCAGCCTAAATGAAAATCGCGAACAAAGTTTCGCTTCACAAAGCGTAGCGTAAAGCCATATTTTCTCTCTCATGAGTTGACATTTTTATTTATAAGCAGAAGCTAAATGTGTTATCATCTCCTTTAGAATCCTCTTCTAAAATGTTGATCATATATATATATATATATATATAATAAAGTGTCTTTAGACACTTCTTAAGCGTTTTTACTTCGTAAACAATAAGTGGCAGTGCCGACGTGAAATATATGTACATGAGTGTGTGCATACACACACACACACTTATTTAGTTTAATTTGCAGACATATATATACGTGCGATTTCTCTTCAATCGCGATGCGAAAAAATACGTGATGGACTGGATAAAGTTTCCAAGAATGTGACTTTCCAGAAAACTTGTTTTATAATAAAGTGCACAACTTTCTCTTAAAATAATTTCTTAATCTTTAGAGATTGCGTAATACACACAATTACATCTTTTAATTAAGACGGATACACACACTTTTGCATCGGACACGTGCTAGAGATTATTTATTAACCTACAATGTAAGAATGAAGGAAAAAAAAATTGTCATTATATACACATAAAAGATTTGTAAAAACAAAAAAAAAAAAAAAAAAAAAAAAAAAAAAAAANAAAAAAAAAAAAAAAAAAAAAAAAAAAACAAAACAAACAAACGTTAACACAATGGCTAACATTTAGACAATTATTTCTCTGTTATATTCTAACGCTGGACGGATACCTGATAAGTTTTCTTTTTTTTTTATATCCACTTTCGTTTTTCGCTTCGTACATATCTAAATCTCACAACGCAACGAGAGAAGAGACGAACGTGTGTAAAAAGTAACGAGGGGAAGTGCCATTCATTTAAGACGGACTTGAGATAATGTCTACTTAGAACGAAATAAGGCTGACCCAATGAAGATGACGCACAACGGTGGCCGACCTAATTCATTGTGTGGTGGAATTAGTGCGAGAGACGGTCTGTCAAGTGCAGTTAAGTATCATCTATTTCTACCGTAAAATCGAATGTAACGAATATGTGAAGCCGATTTTATTGTGAACGGACGGTAAAAACAAATCTAAAACAAACAAAAAACAGTTCTGTAGACTTTTTGTTTTATAATTATATATGTTATGTGTCCTTTATTTTATATATACAATAAACTGATAGATCAACATTACTCATAGTACGCGCGACGATTATTTATAATTTTCGTTTCGAGATAATTACGGAGCAAGAAGATTACGCATATATAAACATATGTTTCTTTTTTCAATTGCACCTCTTACCGTTCGCATACGTCTCTTAAATCGCTATCGAACGAAAGTAAAAATGTTGGTGAAAAAAAAATGGTTAGTTACACACACATGATAACTAGCAGCTATTTGTGACTTAATTCTTTTTTCTTCTCCTTAATTACTAATTGGTCTCGTTCATAAATGATTAAAGACCGCAGTACTTCGACTGATGGAAGACGTAGGTGACGAATACCAGAACAGCGGCGTAAAGCAGTTGCATCGTGGAAACGCTCGTCGCGGAATTGCACAAATCGGTGCTGCAGATGTGGCAGGATTCAATTTCGACGGGACCTTGTTGCGCGGAAGCGCCGCACGTGCCGTCAACGATATCAATTTCGTCATGATTCAGGGTTGAACACTGTCGCACGACAATTCGCTGACCGTAATCTAAACAATCACAAGTTTCATTACACAGATATGTTTGTTAAAAGTCAAGTGGTTCTTTACTATCCGGGAAAATTAAGTTCTTCATATGTGAACAAATTTTTTTGTAACTAAGTTCTCTATATCTTCTCTATATCTACTCTATATCTAGTTATATATATATATATAATTATTATATACATATATTTGTATATATATATTGACATCGACCTAGAGCTGTGATTTCTTTTTTTTTTTCTAAGTTCCTGTAACATTTTGCGCTCGGGAGCGACGATGTCGGGACGCGAAATATATTTTGCACGAACGAGTGTTATGTACGCAATAGCTTCGCGTCATCTTTTTCTATAGCAATCTGTGTATGTACACCACTGATTTATAATAGCGTAATATTGTCGCTTACGTAATTTTCGCGTTCCGAGATTCCTAGTTACGATCTGTCTGCTGTCTGTTTCACGCACGCCGATTTACTATACAATGCTAACAAAAAAAAAAAAAAAAACTCCCGGTCAAATCAACGTGTTCGGGGCGTGCAGTTAATAACGCTGCGTTTTTACCTTGAGACTTAACCAATGACACATTTTAACGACACGCAAGAAAGACACGATTTTGCCACACTTCCGTCTCACTTGATCGTTCATATTTTCTGTGAAGTTTGTTGGTTTGTTTTTTTACTGATTTGTATGTACGATATGATATCTCAGTGTGTCAAACACACACACACACACACATACAGAGATATACGAAAAAAACTTGATCAAACTCGCCGTGAATAATTTTTCTCGCAAGGTGTGGTTTTGACCTTGTTGTTTACCAGCCTCTAATTGTCATCGTTATTTTCCGGTCAAGTAGCATGACTCAATGTGCGAAGCGTATTACGGTGCGCGTATAGTTACACTTGAAAGGATACACCGTATTAAAGAACGCGCGATTTAAATTCCCTCATTTCTGTAATGCGTCATCCATCCTCGAAAAACTCGCGCCTCAAGATGTGGATGATTTACTCAAGCTGCGTATAATCTCGCGTCCTCAAAGCGAAACTCTTTTGTTGTCATTCTATTTTTTTTTCTTTTACGCTCAACAAGGACGAATATCGAGAGAACAAATAATATATAGTGCAGAACATTTCACTTGTAGATCCTTAAACGAAACTATGTGGGAGAGGAGTCCATTCATAACATAAAAACTTACTAAAAACTAATTAAAATTTGTACGAGATTTGTTCTGTGAAATATTTGTGTAAATATTGAATCAAATACTTTGTAAACGGCTTACTATGGGAACAAACTAATAAAAAAAACAAGGCCAAACACTGTTGATGATTGTGTGATGTGAACGTGTTGATCTGATGAGCAATTCTTGAATTGAATTCAATTCGCATTACTTATGTGCATTAATTTATACATTGAAAAATATATTTCCCACATATCCATTCAACGTTTGGCCTTATTTCTCGATTTCTTTTTTTTTTTTTTTTTTTTTTTTCAGAGAATTTTACCTCGTTTGACGATTTTGCGACAAACAGCTCTCGAATTGCCGTAGTGACCTGAGAGGTGATCCCTGGAATATTCATTACAATCTCTTGCATGGAATGTAGTGTGGTGCTCCGTAGTATTCATCGGATCGTCGCACACGACATTCACGTTAGACGAGCAAACCCAACATCGTAAGGCGGAACCTGTTGAAGACCAAACATTCACATAACAATATTTTAAATAAATTCGAATCCAACAAGTTGAAATGACTATTGTTATCTTTCCGTGTTTTCTAAGATCGAGCCCATTCATAACACCTCTAACTGAATAAAATGAGATCTTTGTAAAAAGAGAGAAAACAACAACATAATCTCTAAATCTGAAATCTTTCATGACAGTAAACTGCGCAGTACTATAAAAACAGGTGCGGTGCTATTATTAAGTGACGTAATGGTGAGTAATCGTATTAAACTAAGCAGGTTGTATCACAGTGGCAGTCAAGTTGCCGCCATTGTTCAAATACGTTGGAGCGCAACGTAAATGCGCAACGTATTGCGAGAAAATAATTGAGAGCAAATAATAACAAAATATTGTGAAACGCACGTCGTAGTTCGGAGCAACAATAAAAAAAACGAGTACTACGGCGATAATTTACTCGTTCTTTTTGATACTTTAACATCAAATATTGAAATACTACACGAGTTTAGAAAGCCGCGTTTAGACGAAACAAAAAAAAAACGTAGAAAAAATAAAATAACGCGTTGGCACTATTTCTGCACCCAAAAAGCAAAGCAATGTGTTGGATAACACACACTTTTTTGTCAACGATACTGATTGTTTGCCAATCTAAACCATGTCCAACAATTTACACACAAATAATTAAATCCTCTGAAATAGCAAAATTGTTTTCCTAATTTAGTTTGCAGATATAATCAACATGATTGATAATCGCGCTTATTATACACACATACGCACAGTTTTTTCAAAACAATTCAACATTTCCAAAATGTAAAATCTTCATAAAACTACCATTTCTTGTCACAAGCTCTCGATCTGCGTCTTCCTTCAAATATATTATATACAAAAATCTCACCTGACGTTACGAAAAGAGTTATCGCGAAGATTATCAACACTGCGCGTTCGTTGGAGATCATTTTGAATATATTAAACAATAATATCTCTCTCAAAGGATCTCACGAAACCACGGGTGTTCTTTTCGAAAGATCGCTTCGAAAAGTCGCAACTATTGCGTCCTCGAAAACTAGGCAGTAACTATCGGTCCAACGATCTAGATGTCCGTTTCGAAACTGCCACTGTCGAACCTGTCCGGTTTGATACTGAAGAACCAACACCCTCTTTACCAAGAGTACTCTTTTCCCTCCTTCTCTCGCTCGCTCGCTCGCTCGCTCTCAGCCTCTCTTCTGTTCCTATACTGAAAAGTCAGTCTTCTTCATTATAGTCGCTCCTTCTTTGTGTAATGAGTATGCAAATTTCTCTCATGCATCATATACTACATTACGAAACACCATATAGAAATAAGATTCTAAGAGAATATTCCGTTATTGATGCGATGTTTTCACACAAAATTTTGTATCTGTAATAATAAAACTTCGATCGCGTGTCATCGACATTTATATTATTTTTTTTCATTTAAATATACAATATAAACTATTTTTTCTCATTAAATACACACACCGTGCCGTTAGATTTGAAATAGGCGCTAGAAGATTCCCAAGTGAGCCACCCCTTGCAATCATATTGTTGTAAACAATTGTCGAAATACATGTACAAGACATTTAATTCGATATTGCAAAAATGTATCCTACCGAGTCATTAAGAGAGGTCAGGAAAGCACTTAACCTCGCTAAAGATTATCAACTTGACTCCCGTATTTAACCCGTTCCCCTTCGTAATCGCTTCCACACCGTTTATTCATACATCTAACACACGATGATTTTATCGTGCTTGATGAAAATAACTAGTTTTTTTTTTTTTTATCTGAATATCTGTTTCGAAGACACGTAAAAAAAACGTTGTCTGTTTTTCTCTTTACACGCGATATATATATACACATGTATTTACAATATTAAAAATTATTTGTTAAAATTCTCAATTTTTCATATTAAATAAACTCGCAATTGTTTTCGCTGTCGCAACTCACAGGACTGGTAAAAGGAATCACTTATTTCCGATCTATCGCATTTCTCGTAAAACATAATCATCGACGAACATATATTTAAACTTACTATCAAAGTGGTCGCACAATTAAATGCTAACTGCGTGACTAAGCGCGGCTTAGTCTTTTATTCATATTAGAGTACGTACGTTCTGTCCAGTGACCAAACTTGTTTGTCCAAATTATCCGAATTTGCGTGACCGGCAACAAGATTAAATGTCTTTGGTTTTAAGAAAATATACTCAAGGAGAAAGAGAAAGAAAGAGAAAGGAAATATTTAAAAAATGAGAATATTTCTTAAGAACAAGTACATTAAAAATTCACTCAAATTTCATTACTTTACATATATAAAGTTACGTGAATATACAGTTAAGTGAACACAAAAAAAAATTATCAATTTTTTAATTAATTCTTATTACCTGCGCAGTTTTATATTGATTATATCCGTGACAAAATAATTGCGAGCACGCCGAGATACCATTTTGACATCGGACCGAGCGATTCCTTGTTGTTGCAACCGTTTTCCTTGCAGAAATAACACTCGATACTCGAGCGCGGGAAACTATCCTCGTAGTCGCAATATCCGTTGACTCGTCGAGATGACACGCAACCACGTATGGTCACTAAAATATTCCTATCTGCAATAATAAATGTTCGCATTAGGTACTTCTCGTTTCATTTCAGTTTTTCGAAAAAAAAAGGGAGCTAGTACAACGTCACGTATCACATACGGTAAAGTAGTAGAAAAGTAGATTTTTTTCCTACTTTATCGTAATATGATATTTATTAACAAGTTACTGTCGGAGAGATGATTTACGTTCAACAATTTTTGAAATACTTTGCGTGTGTATCAGATTTTTTTTTTTACAAAATATACAAATGAGTTTTACGTACACAACACGATGCTTTTGAGACAGTGATGAGATTCGTTCCGAGGACAAGCGACCAGATCAACGGCAGCAGACGAATAAGGATCGTTACAGTATCCCTTATGTCCTTGTCCTAGATCCGTGTTACACGTGTAGCACCACAAATCGTCCTCATTCGATTGAATTACTTAAAAACAAAAACAATTGAACGCCCTTTTTTTAACACAAATCAATATATCTTATTTGTTTTGTATAACAAATGTAATAAATGTCCGCGTTACTTTTATACTTGTAACAATGCAAACAAACAAACAAACAAACAATCGAACTTACCCACGTGAAAAAATCCAAACGATACGATTATAAAAATAAAGAAAAATCTGATCATACTGAGCGATCTTCGATCAAGAGCAAGAAAAGACGAAAGGAACTCGGTTGCTTGAAAATATATACCGCGTGTCGCGAGAGATATCTTATCTATGATAATCAAATATGAAAAGTGCGACGAGAGAAGCGTGTGTGTTTACAGCGCGCATAAGAAAATACATAACAAAAGATTATTATTTCTTCAAAAGAATCGATGCGCGCGCGCGCGCGTGTGTGTATATAACACAATTATACTGTTTTTTATTTACTTTGAAAATATCGATGTATGTTGGCGCAATTAAATGGAACGTCTTCAAAAAACTTAAACTTGTTACACGGCGAAGTATGCGATTTGTTGCGAGAAAAGGGGGGTGCTCGATGAGCGCCGAAGTGTGATCGGCCAATTTCAGAAGGGTTTGTTTAATTAAATCGGATTAGCGTTGCCGTGGTATTTTTTTTTTTCGAGAATCCAGGTCCCCGCGGGTCAACAGGTGCTCCTCCGCCAGCCACCCAGGTCGCAGCTGAGAGAAATGGTGGCGGGTAGCGACGATGCTGCGACCTACTTCCGTAGAACGAGATCCGAATGAACTACGTTCCGCTCACCGTTCACTTCCGTCGCCTCCAAAACAGAAGGATTGACGTGCTTGCGTTCTCGGTGCTAAGAATTCTTTCGATTTGTTCGTTTTTCGTTCCTGCGATCTGATTTTAGATCATCATGCCAAAGAATAAAGGTTAGTGGCGGTTGCCGATTCGATTAGTGTTCGTCTACCTCGCCCCCCGATTGTCGCGAATTTGCATGTCGCAATGTGGTCAAGCTGACCACATAACCTGGTTAAGATTGTCAGAAAACGAGAGAGTTGGTTGCAAAACTCTCGGTTGGGGTTCGAGTCGCGTTAGAGAAGTAAAAAAAAAAAAAAAAATAGATTTTTTCTAAAAACTTCTACTCGCTGTAGAAGTGATTTCGCACGTGCAAACGTTTTTTGTTTTTTTTTCGCAAATTTTGCTCAAACGCTTTTTATCACATTGACGATTTGCCCACAGGAAAGGGAGGTAAAAACAGGAGGAGAGGAAAGAACGAGAATGAAACCGAAAAAAGAGAGTTGGTGTTCAAGGAAGATGGACAAGGTGAGAGTGCGGTGTAGAAGTTTTTATAACGATTTTGAGAAAATCGTGTTCGCGTCGGTTGACATAAATTGATAAAATGTTTGTTCTCTGCGCAGAATATGCTCAAGTAACAAAAATGCTGGGTAACGGCAGATTAGAAGCCATGTGCTTCGACGGAGTCAAGCGGTTGTGCCACATCCGGGGAAAGCTTCGAAAAAAGGTGTGGATAAATCAAGGAGATATCATATTAATCGGATTGCGAGATTATCAGGATGCTAAGGCAGATGTTATATTGAAATACTCTGCCGATGAGGCGCGCAATCTGAAAACTTACGGTGAATTCCCAGAAACTGGTGAGTGATGAGAAAATATTGTCGCGAGATCTCTACAGTCCGGTAGAATTTCTGAAGTGAAATTTTTTTTGTAAAATAATTCATAGTTTGTTTTTTCTTTTTTTGTATTCTAATGTGAAGTTTTAATTTTAGTACGCATCAACGATACAGTCACCTTCGTGGAAGATGGATTCGACGAGGATATTGAGTTTGGTGATGAGATAAGTGATGATGATGAAGATGATGTTGACAATGTAAGTTTTTATTTAGATATTTTATAAAATTATTGTTGCCTATTCTTTATCTTTTCATTCAAATTATATATTTCTGTAGTCTGTTTTTCTTCTTGAAACTAAATTTCATAGATTTTTGTAATCTTTTTCTCGAGATGTTATCTTCAAAAGTTTGATTCTTTTATTGTTTTTTTTTTTTTTTTTACTCTGTATTTATAATGTTACTATAATGTTCGGCCATTCTTACAGATCTGATGACCTGCAGTGTAATAATAAAGAAAAGGTACATCACGAAAATGCTTGGGGGAAGCTCTATTCATTTCACTGAATTATCCAACATCAAAAAGTTTCCTTCTAATCCACAGTAGCTCATCATCTCTGTACCGATATAAAAATACATATATAGAAATAAATTATCAGTTCACGGACAGCAGTACTCGAATTCGAAATTTATATGTGGTTGATTGTGATATTAGTAAATTTTGTATAAAACTTTTGAGTTTTTCTTCTTTAATAGCAAATTTTTGCAGGTTTTTTTAACATATGTCGCAATATTTTTTTGCGTTGATTTCAAATGTACAGAATAACCGACACCTGTGTGTTTTTCACAGTTTTTCTGTATATTTCTCTCATGTTTGTATCGTGTATTTACTTACCAATGTAACATGTATGTCATTATTTAAATCGGAAATAGAAATATCACTGTTGTATATCACAATTCTCATATTTTGTGTACATTGAAATGTTTTAATGAGCAATTAAGAGGAAGGAACGTAAAAAATTACATCTTATCAAGCTTCGACGATAGCGTAAAACAAGTTAAAATGCAATATTAGCTAATTACTGAATTAATAAAAATTGAGAAACAAACATATAACATGAATACAAATTCTCAACAATAGTAACTTATTATTTTAATGTAGCTCCGATTGATGAACACATATATTTGTTAACGATCAAATCTGTTACGACAAACAATGTGTGATGTAATTCTCGAAGGAGACAATTTGCGTTTTTGTTATGTAGCAGTGCAATTTGTATCGGAAAGAAGCTGTAGTACATACGTGTATGTATACGCACACATGTATGTGGTATATACACATATATAAATACTACATTTCGACATTTGGCTATCCAACAACGACGATAAATGTAATAAGTTACTTGATTACTTTTGTAATAATAAAAGAATCTGAGAAATATCAAATATTGTTTGCGATTAGATTTAAGTGAGAGAAACATTAAAATTTTATTATAAACTTGAATTTTTTTCATGTTGAATAAAATATATGTTCAAAAAATTACGAGATTAGAGATAAACTTTTCCACGCATGTCTTTTCTATAGATTTATAGTCGATTCAATATACCAGATAACTAAGCAATAAGATCGTTTGCACGCATGATCGTTTTTCTTTTTTTTTTTTTTTTATAAAATTGAGGCATATTGATACACGTATACTTACGTAAGATATTGCTTCTGCTTGGAGTTTTTTACGCACAATGTGATGACGTTTGTTATTTTTCTAAGAGAATATTGGTTAAAAGAAATAATAAGTTACTTTTATTATTTTAGTTAATAGTTTTATAGCTCGTTCGTCGCAAGCCCGAACGTTTATTATAAACGTAATTTTGATATTGAAACGCAAACTAAAACGAATTTATTACATGTGAAATAAATTCTTCTTTTCTCTCACTCTCTCGAATATTGCACAAAGACATTTTGTAATTCTGCTGCAACATTTTATTTATTATTACCGTTGATAATTCTATATCGCACAATATATCATATAGTAAATTATAGTCTCTTTCGTGTTTTATGATATTATTTCTCGACACCATGCAATGCCATTGTTGTAATGATAATTTAATGCCTTTTATAATATAAAGGAGAGGGACATAGAATTAGTACATAGAGGGAAGTTTATATATAGCTCTTGGCTGCTCGACGTTGTTCACGGAAATTAACTTGTACAAAAGTATGTGTGTATGTGTGAGAGATATAAAGCGTCGGGCTCGGGACAACTGGCGCGTCAATACTTCGACAATAAATAAATGACACGCGCGATAAATAGACAGCACAAATCAATACATAAAGTGTATTGGCTATTGCTACATGTCGTTTTACACGTGTTACATTACATTTCGCGATAATTCGATGTAACGATTACATACATCGTTGTAGAAAATACTTCTCTTATTCGTGGGACGAGAATCGCGGCGCCGAGATGTCGAGAATCAGCATTGAAGCGCCAGCGTCGGAAGCGCTTACAAGCTATAAAATGTCACCATGGTAGAATGGGAAACGTATTATTTTTATTTTGTTATTGATGCGCGTGTGATTGTGCCTTTGGTCCTTAGGTCAGATAGGCTCTAGGCAAGTCTCTCTATTTTTAAAACGTAGTACAACAGTCATTTATATATAGACAATAATTTATAAACTTCAGATATAATATAATTCATTGCTATCTTTTTTTTCAATATATATATCATACATTAATAGAATAGCTTTTTTATTTAATAGTTTTTATTTAAAGTTTATAATATATTTATATATATATATATAATATATATTATAATATATATGATTTTCCTTTTGTTATAATTTGTTTTTCTTGTGCTCGTTAGAACTGTGTGTCGTACACTGAAAGCTAACACTGGCTTAAAAACGAATTCCAGATCGTTATTATTAAGACGCGTTTCGTTACACAACGTAATTTCTCTACATCGTCACAATTGTTATAATTTGCCTTGTCACTATAACAATAATAGTTAGTTTACACCGCTTCACATGAATGATACGACGCTGATATAGAGTATACTTTATTTTCTTTTTTTTTTTTTTTTCTTTTCTCGAGCTTATACAAATTATAACGAGCGTTTACAACGGTGAGTGGTGATGGTGGTCCAGGGAAAGAGAGAGGGACTCTTGCTGTATAAATTAAAAATATTCCCGTATATAGCGTGTGTGTATATCTTACGGTTATTACTATATCGCGCGTAATCCATAATACATTTACATATATATTAAATTACGCTAAGAAATTATCATATATACAATTAAAAATTGTTGTTAGGAAATGTATACCTTTAAACAAGTTAAATTTACACATTATTGTGTTTTCTCCTCCTTCTCGATGCGCGGATAAAAACATTTTCTTTTTTTATTAATTATTATTATTTTTCTTGCTGTTAATCAAAATCAACACGCGGCCGGTGCGCACGCGAACGGATCTCTGCGCTTCTCTAGCAGTTCGTGTCTTTTAAGATGCGAACGAAATATCGCGACTTGAGTCGAATAACAAGAAGAAACTTTTTTCTCATCGTCGTTTTTTTTTCGCAAACTTCAATAGTTCGTCCGTTGTCGATAAGTATTAGCGATATATATATATATATATATATATAATATTTATATATATATATGTATATATTGCCCCCCGATCTATATATATATATATATATGTATATATTATTGTAAGCAACATATTGCGCGGATACAGAGTAGTACAACCATCCTAAAGCTTGTGTGTGAACGGATTATTGTTTTGTTTTTCTTCGCGAGAATCGTCCTACTATCTAAAGTCGATAATAATGTCAGGCAGATAATTGTTCGTTCTTAGACATTTGTATCTCTCGTCTGCCGCGTTCCCGCCGCGTTCTTTTTGTCGTTTTTTTTTCTTTTTTTTTTTTTATACCGCCCGTAACATCTTTCTCTCGCTTCCGCGACTCGCACACCGAACGACACGAGAAAGGCGGTGGTACGTACGTATGGACGGGTTGGCATAGTGAGGACTAGCGCGTAACGGCTAGTCGGACTAGCGACACACATAGACACATCGTCGTCAATCGCGCGATTTCGAACGTAAAGGGACGTTAAGGCAACCGAGCGGAACGGAAAGGCAAGCAAATCCGAAGCGTAGGCCATGGAGCGTGGTGATGAAATCATCGTGCGTGGTTTTTTATTTTATTATTATTATTTTTTTTCGCGCGTAGCGCTTCAGAGAGAGAGACGACACTCTATAAAGGAGCGACGGAAACGCACGCCCTCCCACATCTGCCTTTTCCGCAAAACAAAAAAAAAAAAAAAACGATCTCCTCCCCCTGTGATCGCGATCGAAAAAACTCGTCGGTTCGACACCCGAGGACGCGTCGAAGTTCGAGCTGTTTCGCGTCAAGGAAGATTTATCACGAGAGAGAATCCATGTATCAAGAGATTTCACTCATTCGCGATTTTTTCTCCGTCTTCATTGTGAGATTCCAAGGACGTACGCTCTCCTATTTAGTGATCCTTTCTTTCCTCCGTCATGAACGTGTCCATGATCTTCTGCATAGATTCCCGCAGATCGTCCGTGCCACCGGCTCCCACGGACGATGATATTGTTCTCGATTCCGTTCGCGTGGTCGTTGTTATACTGCAAAAAATCGTTTACGTTTTACACACGATTTACGACTCGTTTCACGTATAAAAACGCAAAAACTTTTTGTGAAAAACAATTTGGATCAATGTTTTCTTTCTGTCTTCTAAATCGTCGCACGGAGAACAAATAAAACAATAAAGTAAAAATAAAAAACAAGTCCTCAAGACAAATTCTTTTGAAAAATAAAGAAAGTGTGATTGTAAAAACAATTGATAACATTTGACGTAACTTTCGCTCTTAACACGATTGAAAAGCTAAAGAAGCTCAGAAGTTTTACCTTTCATGCGTGACGGGATCCACCTCGATCGTAGTCGTTTCCATGTAGGATGGCTCGCTATGTTGCAAAAAGTCAGATTCTGCGACAACAAACGAGAACGAGTCAAACAACATTGCGCGATCATTGGGTCTCGAGCGAAAATTGTCGTTATTATTTTTTCTGTTGCTGTGTCTTACATAGAGAAACAAGTACGAGTAAGTCGTCATATCTTTCAATTTTACATCATGCCCAAAACAAGGGGGTAAGAGACTAGACACATATAAAAAAAGTTACAACACCGCTAAAAAAAAAAAATAATAAAACGATCGACGATACATAATATAAATATATAACGCATTTTCACTCAACCAGCCAAAAAAAAAAAAAAAACTATATATGCAAACCGTTTTGCTTTTTCTCGAGTGAAAAACTCGTGACATCTGCGCGCGCGCGCGTTGTTACTCTCACGCGCAGATGATACTTTTGCGTTTACTTCCGCGTCACGAGTGTAAATTTTCATTGCGCCTCTGCGAGAGAGATTTTTTTTTCAACAACACAATTTTTTGTTTGCCATTGAACAAAATCGAATCGCACGATGAGGAGATCGCTCCGTGTCGAAAAAAAATGTCCGATAAGTCGCGATACAACCGACGAGAAGGTAATTTTACTCGTTGTTATTTTTTTCAATTTTTATTCCACGAGAAATCGTTTCCTGAATGTATCGCGTTTCGTCGAAAGAGACAAAGCGATCTCGCACGTGCGTCGATTCCGAATTCTAAACAGCGAGTGAGATGCAACGGATTCTTCAGAGTTTTAGCAACAATCGAGTTTAGATCGGACATTTTACGATGCGTAATACGAAATGTGAAAAATATAGATAGAAAGATATAAATAAAGTTTTTGGTTATTTATTTTTAATTGTATCCCCGAGTTTTCTATGTGTGTAGGACGTCAGTCTTTTTTTTTTTTTTGTATACGCAACGTTACTCGTGGTAGAATTTTGCTACGTTGTAAGAAGACGAGCCCTCCCCCCCCCCCGACGTTGTAACGACGCTTGTTGACCTACGAGCGAATTATTAAAGTTCGACGACCTTACTATTGAGCAACATTCTGAATACTTCTCGGTAATTATACGATTGTGCTGCGCGCAGCGAGCTCGTGTGAAGCGCTGAATAAAAGCCGCTGAACAAAAGCATGTAGCAAGTTAGTCGTATAAGAAATGTAGGTATAATCAACGTTCTCAGTAACAACAGAGAAGAATAATACTACGGTAAAAACTGAAAGGCGTGGCGGTCTCTCTTTTCGCGACGTCGAAAATTTATTTTATTCCGCCACACGTGATTGAAACACGTGGGTGGGAGTGAAATTTGGAAATGTCGTGACACACGACGAAAGACGGAGCAAAATCTCTCAAGAGGGAGAGAGAGAGAGAGAGAGAGAGTCGCGGACACGTCAATTTTTATTGTTAACGTTTTTTCACACGCGCAAGAGACGTACTGTTTGGAGTTGAGGTGTCGTCAAAAAAAACAAAAAAAAAAAAAAAATTCAGCAAAAAAATAAATTTGTTCACAAAGTAGAAACCAAATGGCCATAAGTGGAAAATCCTCCCTGTGATCTTTGTCTTTTTGTGTTTTGACCGTAGTTTTTCTTTATTTTTTTTTTGCAAAACGCAATCGTCAAAAATTCGGCAACCACATTTCATGGGAGCCCGTACTAACTACTTCAGTTAGTATTGTTAGACGAACGGTCAATATACATCTTATTACATGGGTATATTGGTGAGAAATTAGGTTCTAGAAGGAATGTTAATAAGATCGTTGCGGATGATTTTCTTCAAGAGAAGCCGACGAGCTCGAAGTTAATACTTGCGTTTCGCACGTTAACGGGAAGTGGATCGCAGATCTCGATCGTTTATTTAAATTTTCATCGCAGCAGCGAGCCGCTGCGATTCAAGAAGAACAATCGCGAAAGACGAGAAGCGTTTCTTCCGTTTCGATTCTTCATCGAGAATCGAAACCGACGGAACGAACGTCATCACGACGAGTTTTCGTTTGAATGCGTACGGGCATCGAACTCGCCGGGATCACGTCGTTGCGCTTCGGTCTTGTCTCGTGCTGCGTGGTGTTAACGCGTTGCAATTTATGCGGGAACGAAAAAGAGAGCGATTTGGAAATTGAGAAATTAAGCTGTAAGTCGGTGCAACACAACACACTCGTCGTATATGTAAGTATAGGAAAAAAAAAAAAAAAGGTCTCGCGAGAGCATCGATCTCGGTGCCGTTCGAGAGGTGGTTGTTCTCGACAGAGAGAAAGATTAGAGAGAGAAAGAGAGAAAGAGAGAGAGAGAGAAAGCCATTCTCGCGCACACTTGTGCTTTCACGCACGTGTAAAAAATATTTTACATGTACAATACACTTAGAGACTTACTTACATGACGATTCGCCTAACAATCCTAACGTGTGAGACTAAAAAAACACGACTGTTGGTCCCTCTACACTTTAGCTTTATCTTGAGTTGCTTATTGAGTCAGAAGACAGCTAGAAAGGGTAAGAGTGAACTAATAGGATGCTCAAAAAACTGAGAAAGAAGACAAAAATGGGAGAGAGAAAAAAAAAGATAAAAAAAGAGAAACAAGAGATCACATATATATATATATATATNTATATATACGTATAGAGGAGAGCTTCTCTTTCCGATTACAATATAATACAAAAAAGTACATGCAAACTAGGCGTAAAAAAAAAAAAAAAAAAAAAGAACATCTTTTTAAAGTCGGCGAGAAAAAACCGTCCCGTGGACAACACACAGGGCGCCGCGCAAAACTATCGTTGCGATGAGCGCAAACTAAATTATGCCAGTGAGAGATGCAGTCATGCGGGGGGTGTCAACAATCAAGAATCTCATGCAGACACTCGAGAAAAAAGAAAGCTTGCGGAACGAACGTTGTTCGCGAATTTTTACCTGTCCTCGTCACTTTAAATTGTCATCAACGTAACGTAATATTCGATACAGTGGAAGAGAATTAAGTCCTGTACGAAGGACAATTCTGCGTTTTTCACGCAGATGATGACACACGTCGCGCGTTTACAGAGAGATTTGTAAAACGCCACTGTTAAAATCAGCGTATTGCGATACGCTCGACAGAAAATATCTTTTTGACATAAAAATAATTTTCATTATATGCTTTTTTTTTTTAAATTGATTTCTCCATAAGAAATACGCATATATCTTCTGGGACATCGCATACTTTGTAAACATCTTAATCCATTTCCCGAATTATTGCACACAATCCCAATCTAATTTCTTCTTGAAAAAAGAATCTGTGATATCTAAAAGAAAAACATTTTTTTCTTGATTATCGATGTTTGAAGTTTCACAATCAAAAACCGCGAGCAAGAAGACTCACTTGGTTATTTGATGAGTGAAGCTTCAAACATTAACGAGAAAAATTTTCTGCGTCGTAAAAAAAAAGATATTTATAAAAAAAAACAAAAAACAAAACATACACAGTAAGAGAAAAATAAAGAGAAAAATTTTACAACTTGCGAATGTTTTTCTCGACGAGGTAATAATTTAAAAAAATACTTTTAAATAAAAAATATATATGTATATAAAAATAGAAAATATATATAAAAAATAATAATGTGAACGGTGGTCGTACCCGGTTTGCCTCGGGGCATTGTTAGACAAGGTGTGGATGACACGTCGAAACATTTGTGGTTCCAGGGCAAGTATAATCGCTATTATAAGCACCAGCGCAGCGACGGCTATTCTCGTCCAACACGCGCAGCTGGATCTACCTGGCGTCTCCGTCCTAGTCTTCGCTTCTATCGCATCGCCTGAGCAAACCGATTTGTATAACATACCGTTTTTGTTTTGGTTTTTTTTTTCTGCCATTTAAACATTTATCATCAGTTGCCATGAGAGATTTTTTTATTGAGGGTTTTTTTGTTCGATGAACTGACTGATTGTGATGACCACGTTTCCACCGCCGTGATTAGTACATTATGAAACAATGATGAACTTAGTCCGCGCAGGCTTTGTTTTTGCGTTGTTCATTGCACACGATATTATGTCGCTCCGCAGATTCTTTGTTATTTATTTATTTTTTTTTTAATTAGCATCGTTTCGAAATTATTCGTGAAAGGAAGAGTTGTTGTTCGCAGTCTATTAGACACGGTTAGATATCTGTCCTTCTCGTTTGTCGCTGACATAATATGCGATTTGTTTTTTTTTTTTTTTTTTCAATCGTTGTCGACTGAGTCGCAAATGAGGTTTTCCGGATGGAGGAAAAGTATGCTGAGTCCCAGAAAGCCCCGGATTCGTAAGAGAAATGTCATCCAAGAACCAACGAGATGTAAAAAAAAAAAACAAGGAACGATAACATGTTATTTGTCGTCAAACATGTTCCTCCGAAGAAAGCAAAAACATTTAATCGATCACCATTTACCACGCACATACACAATTTCCTCTGCAAACGCAATTCCCAACGGGTGAGGAACACCGTGCGCACTGCGGCGCAGACCGTAAAACAAACTGCACTTTTCACAAGCTTTATTTTTCCCCTTGCGGGTTGTTACTGTTTTTTTTTCTTTTTTTTTACGCGACGAGACATCGCGCGCGGTTATACGAGACACCCAATTCTTACGCAAGAATCACAGATCATGCAATTCTCAAGCGAGTAGTTTTTTCAGAGAATCGCCTCGTCTGAAACGAGATCGAGTTTGAAACGGTAATACGTCCAGAAAGCCAGAGAGTCCTCGCTGTTAAATGTCAGCTACTTTTTAATTAACTTAAAAAAAAATTATATATATAAATTGATAAAGTTTTTCCACACAATTGATGAAGGACCTCTGGCTGTCTAGAACATTCGAATGTTCATCCCTGGAGCGACTGCACACTCGAAAAAAAAAAACAAATTTGAAAACTTTTTCAACTAGTTTTGTCATCACTCCAGCGATGACTTCTGAAACCGGATCAATAATCCCATCACCAAAAAACAAAAAGAAAATTAGCTTCCCATTGAACACACAAACATCGAACACGTGTCCTCGAGTTATGTAACATTGTGCAGCTACGGTGAAAAGTAGGGAGATGGGAAGGTGCGTGGCGAGTGCGAAATAAAAGCTGGGATTTCAACAACTAAAGCTCAACAACGTGTACAACAACCGACAGACATACACATATATCGTTGTTTTATTTTATCAGGCTCGTTCGAGAGAGTGTCCGAAAGGTAACCGGTTTTACGAGAGAGAGAGAGAGAGAGGGAGGTTTCTCAGGGGAAGTATTTACATTGCTTACTTAGAAGGCTTAGCTGTGAGAGTGCGGTACCTTGGTCGTCCTCCAACGGGGACAGCTCCGCACCTTCGTGCAGTGCTACATCCGACCCGCTGGAACTGCCCAATGTACGCCTCTTGCTCGGGGAGGTACGTCTTCTAGGTTGGGGCGAACCGTCACTGTCGGTGTCGCTGTGCATTTCGTGTCTTGAGTTACCGCCGCTCTTGTTGTTGTTGTTGTTATTGTTGTTGCTGGAGGTAAACACGTCGGCGCCCCCGTTACCGGAGCTCGGCGACGTGTCTTGGGAATATTGCGCCCCGGTTTCCCACTGCTCGCTCGCCGCCCACGAGGCGGTCTCCCCGATCTCGCTCGACTTGATCAATCGTTCCTGAAGACTCTTCAGGGCGGCCTCCGCGTCCGCCGAGTAGCCGCCGTCGCCGTCGCCGCTGCTGCTGGAAATCATCGTTCGCATCACTTTCTCGATCCTCTCGGATTCCGGCATCTTCACCTTCACGTGTTGTACGGTCGTGACCGTCTGCACTGCCGTACCGTCAGTCTCCGATTTGTCAGTCTTGCTTATCGAGGAGTCCGGAGTACACTTGTCGCCGAAGTAAAAAATTTCGCTCGGCAGCGTGCTGGCGACCTGATTTATCCTCTTCACGACCTCCTCGCGCGTCATCGGCTGCAGAGCGCTGTCCTCCGAAGTCAGAGTCACGGTCCTCACCGTTTCCACGACTCCGCCTGTTTTCAAGAGCTCCTCAAGTTTATCCGGATCGAGCGACGGATCGTCACTCACTATCGTAGTGGTGGTGGTCGTGGTCGTTGTTTGTTGTATTTGTTCCACCGAGGGATCTGTTTTCGTACTCCTTACAGTCCTTATTACGGTCTCGTTATCCGGTTTGATCGTTTCGGTCGCGCTCTTCGGCGACGCGCTCTCTTCCACCGTCTCTTTGGTCAATTCCCCGTCTGTGTACTCTCTGGTGATGTATTTGACGGTTCGTGAAACCGTTTGCGGGACGGCAATACAATCTTCCGAAAACTCAAGCGGAACGGACTCGGCGCGGATCGCCTCGCCGCTCGATTTAGGACTGCGCGAGTCAGTTTTAACGGGAATCTTACTCTTCGGACTGCTCTTGCCCGACGATTGCTCTTCCTGCGTCGTCGATCTGCCGGCCGGCTGCTGCTCAAACGTTTTACGCATTCGCGTAACGTCACCGAGCTCCAGACGGAACTCGGGTTTAGTACTCGGCTTGGTGGTGGAGTGACGCGGGGCGGGAACAGGTTGCTTTGATGGAGCAGAAGTAGCATGCCTCTCTACAGTCCCATCAATTTCAGCCGAATCATGCCCTGACCCATCCAAAAGGACATGGACAAGAACAGGAACAAGGACATAAAGCACATTGATACACACTAAGAGAATTTCAACTCTAGCCCAGCCGCCAAAGTTGGCACCGGAAAAAAGATGTCAAAGACAGCGTGTCCGCGCCTTCGCATACGTACGTGTTACACGCGCATACACACCAATAAATGTAATAATAATAAGAGGAGAGACTTGCGCGCTGGTGCACACGCACTCACGCACGCACACACGTGCGTGTTCAGTTTCAGGTGCGACAAGACCAGAGAGATTCGGAGGGAGATGCGCCTTCGGGTGTGATGCGTGCGCGGCGTGCACCGCGGTTGTTTTTTTACGTCAGCGTACGTAAATTGGGGTTTTGTTTGTTTGTTTTTTTTTTTTAGTTTTTTTTTTTTTTAGTTTTTAGTTAGTATCAATACTGCGAACAAGATTAGTCTGTTTATCAAGAAACGAAAAGAGTACACTCATTAAAAAAAAAATAAATAAAAAAAATATATAAAAAATGGTGTCGAGTCGTGGAGCGCCTCGAGTCTTACTAAAACGTACCCATCCGCCGTAAGACCAACACCGAGATTGTTTCGAGGACAACAAAATATACAACACGCTATTGCCACGCAAGTGCAAAAACGAAACTGTTTGTTACATTAACTGTAAGAAAAATTAATTATTAGAGATCTACCATCTATAGAATTCTCTCGTTATTTTAAGAGGAATTGTTTCCTTCTTGATTGCGTAAATCGCGCTTTTCAAAACGAAGCTAGAACTACTCGATATACATTATGTACATTAGAACTACAAAGATATCGACGCAGCGAGATCTCGCGAGCGCGAGAGGTCGCACACGCGTCTTTTCCTCCTCGCGTGTGAGTAGATCGGTAGTGAGAGAAAAAAAAAACAAAAACAAGAGAGAGAGATCGGTAACTATTTAGTAAGAGACGTGCGCGCAGTATCAGTTAGTATAGTGTGAAAGCGTCGGCAGGTGCTAACTATGGAAGATAAAGCTAAATATAAATGAGGGTACCAAAAAACAAGATTCTGCTATTCGTTACTGCTCTTCGAAGAAGACCAAAAAGATGATGGAGATCCGCGCAACGTGAGATTCTTTGCTTGTGTTTGTTTTCTTTTTGTGGTGTATTTGGTTTTTTTTTTTTTTTTTTTTTACTCGAGGAATATAAACTTCACATTACCTGCTTTCGTCGCGGTGTACGCCGCCTGCTCCGCCAGGTTCTGGGCGCGTCTAGCCGCCTCTTCGGTCACGTCTGAAAATTTCACACAGATCGCAAATTGAGTTCACATCGGGAAATCAGCGAACGCGACATTAAAAGCGGTGTGATTCAACAAAGATTAGAGATGATGAGATAATGAGTATTTTTTTAATATTTTTTTTTTTTTTTTTTGTTTCCCTGCATGGCATACCTCGGTTCATGCTTCGCTATATAGTTGTGGTAATCCTGTTAATTCAAGATTATGAGACATATTACCGCACAAATCGTACAAATAACAAAACACGTATGTGATCTCTATTTTGTTGTTATTATATACATATAAATATATATAGATAGATTACGCTATAAAAACGGAAAGAAAAGAAGGGACAAATCGGTTGACAAATAAGATCCCGATTTTGACGACCAACGAGAGTTGGTTTCGAACTAAAAAAAAAGTCAACTAAGAAAATTCATAATCCATCGTGGTCAAGAGATACTCTAGTTTCGTAACAAAACAACACATAACGTCCTGGAATCATGCATTAAAAATAACGAAAGTTATTAAAAATTATTATTACTGTTGTTAAAAGACGTAACTGAAAATAAGTAACAGCAAATTAATTCTATTGAACGTGGGCACACATAGGTATATCGTCTCATTTTCCATTAAGTCGTTGGCGCAAAGAGACGCGCTCGTCGTCGGTTATTTTCGACGAATCTCGGACTCGATCAATCTCGACTCTCGGAACACACACCTTTTTATATTTAAAAAAAAAAAAACAAAAAAAATAAAACTGATTGTGTCATTCGCAAATGCACAATCAGTCAACAATATACCCACATCCGACGCACAAGGAGTAAATAAATTCAAAAATCAACAAAAATACGCAGAAAATTATAAACACTAACAAGCGGTAGTATATCGAAATGTGTTCTCTGATGATGATCGTTCGCTGATGATGGATCGGCTCGCGAAAGAGCCGAGTGAGAAACGGCGAGTTGATTTGATTAGTGAACTGGAAATATATGGCAGATAGATATTAGAGAAAATGTTAGACTTCATTAATATAAAAAGTGAAATATGATGAGGGGGTGCGTATATGACGTGAGAATATATAAAAATATATATCTTTCTCTCTATCTGTATCATTACTCTCTCGGATGTCATCGAGAGTAACTAGAGCGTAGATATAAAACTTAAGTTACAAGAGAAGCGTCAACTTAATAATCATTAATCATGTTACACACAGCTGGTATGTAATACATAATGTATAGATATATATATAGATATGAATATATATATATATATATATATATATATATTTATAAGTATAAACGCAAGATTATTGCAAGATACCTTCGGTTCTACTGTCAGTGAACTCGGCGAGTAAACCGGGTGGTGGTGGAGTCGTTCGCACTGATTTTGTCACGACTGTAGTCGTGACGGATTGCCGTGTGCGAGGCTCGGGGTGCTCTATTGTCGTAGTTACCGTCTCTACTACTCTACTACGCGAGGTACCTGAATCGTCCGGCGCGACCGCCTCCTTGCCCGGACTAGTTTTTTTTTGTGGAATGCGAGATATTCTCTTAACCCTAACTGTCTCGGTTAAATGCTCGACGTCGCCCGACGACGTCTCCGGTTTGTCCGCCACCTCGGAACTACCACGAACAACTACCTCCTCCTCGACCTCGTACTCGTCTGCGAATGTTGGACCTGCTTTCTCAACGACTCGTCTTGTCTCGGTTACTTTTGAAACAGATGGAGCGTCTGCCCACGCGTCTTTCGTCATAGAAGATGACGTTTTCTGGGCGACTTTCTTTCTCGCGTCTTCCGTGAATTTGTCGGCCGTCAATTTCGGAGATTTCTCTTTCGCGTAATCGCTCTTGGCACGAGCTTCTTCCGCGACCGCTTCTTGCTTGGTCTCCTCCAAAAAGTCCTTCATGTCGTCCGCCGCGCCTTCAACCGCGTGCTTCGCGCTCTTCACCACACCCGACAGAAAACCGCCGGCCTTCTGCTTGGTCTTTTTCACGTCCTTCGCGGTCTTGTCCTTGACGGATTCCGCGGTGACCGCGATCGCGCCGACGCCAGCTGCCAACTTTTCCTTCGCTAGCTTCGTGTCCTCCCTCGCTTCGCTCACGACGGTGTCTTTGGCACGTTTAGCCTTCTGCGTCGCGTCCTGACCGGCTGACTTAACTTTCTCGCTGGCCCGCGACACGCCTTGCTCTATCTTCGATCCCGTCGTCTTCACAGTGGAAACTGTTTTTTCCTTTATACTCTTTACGCCGGAAACGCTCTTTTCCTTGACGTCCTTCGCGCCCTTCACCGTTTTATCCTTCGCGGTTTTAATCCCCTCGGCTATTTTATCCTTCTTCAGTTCGAGTTCTTTCGATCTCGTTGCCGCGGCTTCTCTGGCGAGCGCCTCCTCAGCGGCTGCTTCTCGCTTGGTCGCTTCCAGAAAGTCTTTCACGTCGTCCGTAACTTCCTTCCCGGTTTGCTTCGCACTTTGAACAACACCAGCGAGCAAATCGGCGCCTTTTTCCTTCGTCTTCTTCACGTTCTCTTCAAGTTCGCTCTTAGTCGTTTTAGCGCTGTCCGCAACAGCGTCCGCACTCGTCGCTAGCTTATCTTTCGCCGCTCTTTTATCCTCTTCGATTTTCTTCTCCAGACTTTTCTTAGCGTCCTTCGCTTCGCGCGCAACGTCCGCGGCCTTGGATTCTACTTTTTCGCCGACCTTTTTGGTCTCAATCGCTAACTTGTCAGCCGCGACCTTCGTCGTTTCCGCTGCCTGATCAGCTCCCTTGGAAATGCCATCTTTGACATCTTTGACAGTAGCTGCCACATCTTCCGTGCCGCTTTTCACGCTGGTGACGACACTATCCTTCTTCTGTTCGAGATCTTTCAATGCCGCCGCTGCCGCTTCCTTCGCGCGAGCTTCCTCCAGTTCCGCCTCGTGTTTCGTTTCATCCCAGAATTCCTTGACGTCGTCTTTCGCGCTCTCGACGGTATGTTTCGCGCTTTTAACTATTCCCGAGAGAAATCCGGATCCCTTTTCTTTAGCCTTCTTTGCTTCTTTACCTGCTTTATCTTTCGCGGTATCGGCAGCGTCAGCCGCGGCGCCAACGCCGGTGGTTACTTTCTCTTTTATCGCTTTTGCGTCGTCTTTAACTTCTTTAACAGCCGCGTCCCTCGTGTCCGAAACTCCTTGCGCGATGTCTCGCGCGGTCGAATCTACTTTTTTACCAGCTTCCTTCGCGCCCGACGTTACCTTGTCTTTGGCGGTTTTAGCAGCGTCAGAAGCTTTCTGAACGTCTTCGGCTACTTTCTCGGTAATCTTGTCTTTCGTCTGTTTTACAGCTGTGACGGTTTTGTCCGCGGCGTCTTTTACTCCGGTAACAGTCCGATCAGTTGTATCTTTTACGCCGCTTACAATCGCGTCTTTCTTTTCCTCAAGATCCTTCAAACCAGCCGCTGCGGCTTCCTTTGCACGAGCTTCTTCCAATTCAGCTTCGTGTTTTGTCTCGTCCAAAAAGTCTTTCACGTCATCCGTTGCACTTCCAACGGCATGTTTTGCGCCTTTGATTATACCCGATAAAAAGCCAGATCCCTTCTCCTTTGCTTTTTTCGCTTCCTTCGTCGCTTTATCTTTAGCCGTATCTGCGGTCTCCGCTACAGCATCAGCTCCCGCAGCCAATTGTTCTTTCACTTGTTTTGCGTCTTCCTTCGCTTCTTTTACGGCCGCATCCTTAGTGTCCTTAACGCCTTGCGCGGCGCCCTTTGCAGCTTCGCCGATTTTCTCACCAACCTTCTTCGTTTCCGTCACCGCTTTCTCAGCAGTTGCTTTCGTGGAGTCTGCGATCTTCCGAGCGTCTGCTGAAACTTCGTCCACAATTTTATCTTTCTTGTCTTTTGCCGCAGAAAGTGTTTTATCCTTTGCGTCTTTCACGTCAGCCTTGGCTTTATCTGCGGCTTCTTGAACACCTGCAACAACAGCGTCTTTTTTGTCTTTTACGTCTTTCAGACTCGTGGCAGCTTCTTCTTGAAGACGTTGCTTCTCCAACTCGGCTTCTTTCTTCGTTTCGTCCAAAAAGTCCTTGACGTCGTCAGTTGCTTCTTCGGCTGTGTGTTTCGCGCCTTTGAAAATGCCCGATAAGAAACCGCCTGTTTTGTCTTTCGCTTTCTTCGTTTTATCTTTTGCAGTGTCTGCTGCCTCTGCCGTAGCGTCAACTCCCGCTGCAAGTTTTTCTTTCGCGAGTTTTGCGTCTTCTTTCACTTCCTTCACCGCTGCGTCTTTAGTGTCTTTGACGCCTTGCGCAGCATCCTTCGCAGCTTCGCCGATTTTCTCGCCAACTTTCTTTGTTTCTGCGGTAACTTTTTCACTGACCTCTTTCGTAGCGTCAGCAACTTTTTGAGCTTCTTTGGAAACGTCTTCGGCTAACTTGTCTTTTTTATCTTTTACAGCAGCAACCGTTTTATCCTTCGCGCTTTTTACGTCGGCCACGGCTTTGTCCGTAGTGTCTTGAATGCCAGTGACAATAGCATCTTTTTTATCCTTCGCCTCTTTGAGTCCAGTAGTAGCTTTTTCTTTTACACGTTCTTCTTCCAATACGGCTTCTTTCTTTGTTTCGTCCAAAAAGTCTTTAACATCGTCAGCTGCGTCCTCTACCGCGTGTTTCGCTCCTTTAAAGATGCCGGAGAAGAAACCACCAGCTTTCTCCTTTGCTTTCTTCGCTTCCTTCGTTGCTTTATCTTTCGCAGTATCCGCAGCTTCTCCCGCAGCATCAGCTCCTGCTGTCAATTTTTCTTTCACAAGTTTTGCGTCTTCTTTGACTTCTTTAACCGCCGCATCTTTAGTGTCCTTAACGCCTTGCGCAGCATCCTTTGCAGTTTCACCGATCTTCTCACCAACTTTCTTCGTTTCCGTGGCTACCTTCTCAGCAACTGCTTTCGTGGAATCTGCGATCTTCCGGGCGTCTGTTGAAACTTCGTCTATAATTTGATCTTTTTTGTCCTTCGCTGCAGAAAGTGTTTTATCTTTTGCATCTTTTACGTCGGCAATAGCCTTGTCTGCAGTCTGTTGAACTCCAGTGACAACGGCATCTTTTTTGTCCTTTGTCTCTTTAAGTCCCGCACTGGCTTTTTCTTTCAGACGTTCTTCTTCCAATTCAGCTTCCTTCTTCGTCTCGTCCAAAAAGTCTTTCATGTCGTCCGCTGCATCTTCAACCGCATGTTTAGCGCCTTTAAAGATGCCGGAGAAGAAACCACCTGCTTTGTCTTTAGCTTTCTTTGTTTCTTTACTTATTTTATCTTTGGCATCTTCTGCGCCGTCGGCTACATCTTCGACACCAGATGTTAATTTTTCTTTCACTATTTTCGAATCATCCTTCAGTTCTTTAACAATTGCGTCTTTAGTATCTGTAATTTTCTGCGTAGTATCTTTCGCTGTTGAATCTAGTTTTCTGTCAACTTCTTTCACTTCTGATGTTATCTTGTCTCTTGCGGCTTGCGTTTTGTCTTTAGCTTTATCAATGTCCTCGGACACCTTTTCGGTTAGTCGATCCGCTGCATCCTTCGTGGCTGTTACAGTTTTGTCCTTGACGTCTTTTACTTCAGAAACTGCTCGATCTGTTGCATCTTTTACATCCGTAACAATAGCGTCCTTTTTCTTTTCCAATTCTTTCAGCTCTGCGGAAGTGGCTTCCTTTATTCGATCCTTCTCTATAGATGCATCTCGCTTCATTTCGTCTAAAAATTTACTCATATCGTCGGTTTTACTTTCGGCGCTGTGTTTCACTTCCTTAACAATACCAGTGATGAAATCAGTGCCTTTGTCTTTCGCTGTTTGAACGTCTTCTTTACCTTTCTTCACAATCGCATCTTTCTTCTCTTTGCTACTTTCTATAAGATCTTGTCCAGCTAATTTTGTTTGACCATACGCATCTTGTATGTCGGTAGCTACTTTGTCGGTTTTGTCTTTAAGACTGCCAACAGTTCTGTGAACATCATCAGATAATTTTTCTGCCATCTTATCCGAAGAGTCTCGAATTGTTGTTTTTGTCTTTTCCTTTGCATCTTTAATGCTGCTTATCGCACTATCTTTTTTGTCTTTCGCTTTTTTCAATCCCGATTCTGTCGCTTCTCTGATGCGTTCTTCCTCTGCAACCGCTCCTTTCTTAACGTCATCTGCTATTTCTTTTGCGTCAGCAGAGACATCTTCCGCCGCATGTTTCGCGCCTTTAAAGATACCGGAGAAGAAACCACCTGCTTTGTCCTTCGCTTTCTTCGCTTCTTTCGTCGCTTTATCTTTAGCCGTATCCGCAGCCTCTGCAGCAGCATCAGCTCCAGCTGCTACTTTTTCTTTCACTAGTTTTGCGTCTTCTTTTACTTCTTTCACGGCTGCGTCCTTAGTGTCTTTAACGCCTTGAGCAACATCCTTCGCAGCGTCACTTATTTTCTCTCCAACCTTCTTCGTTTCTGCGGTAACTTTTTCACTAGCTTCTTTCGTAGCGTCAGTAAGTTTTTGAGCTTCTTTCGAAACGTCTTCGGCAAGTTTATCTTTTGTTTCCTTTACAGCTGCAACTGTTTTATCTTTCGCATCCTTCACATCGGCTGCAGCTTTGTCGCCGGCAAGTCGAATTTCGGAAACAGCATCGTCCTTCTTGTCTTTCAAATCTTTGAGACCAGCAGTAACTGCATCTTTAGCACGTTCTCTTTCTAAAGAAGCTTCCCTCTTTGTTTCGTCCAAAAATTCTTTGACATCATCAGCTGCATCTTCTGCTGCGTGTTTTGAGCCTTTAAAGATGCCAGAAAAGAAACCACCAGCTTTCTCCTTTGCTTTCTTTGCTTCTTTCTTCGCTTTATCTTTAGCCGTATCTGCAGCTTCTGCCGCAGCATCAGCTCCAGCTGCTACTTTTTCTTTCGCTAGTTTTGCATCTTCTTTTACTTCTTTGACAGCTGCGTCCTTAGTGTCTTTAACGCCTTGCGCGACGTCCTTCGCACCATCACTTATTTTCTCCACACCCTTCTTCGCTTCCGTGGTAACTTTCTCACTGCCTTTTTTCGCAGCGTCTACTACTTTCTGAGCTTCCGTTGAAACGTCATCAACAACCTTATCTTTTTTATCTTTCACAGCCGCAACAGTTTTATCTTTCGCATCCTTCACATCGGCTACGGCTTTTTCGGTGACGTCTTGAATTCCGGCCACAGCATCGTCTCTTTTGTCTTTCAAATCCTTGAGACCAGCAGTAACTGAATCTTTAGCACGTTCTTTTTCTACGGAAGCTTCTCTCTTCGTCTCGTCCACAAAGTCCTTGACGTCGTCAGCTGCTTCTTCGGCTGTGTGTTTTGCGCCTTTGAAAATGCCCGATAAGAAACCGCCTGTTTTGTCTTTCGCTTTCTTTGCTTTATCTTTTGCAGTATCTGCTGCTTCTGCCGCAGCGTCAACTCCCGCTGCAAGTTTTTCTTTCGCGAGTTTTGCGTCTTCTTTCACTTCCTTTACCGCTGCGTCTTTAGCGTCTTTAACGCCTTGCGCAACATCTTTTGCGGAGTCACTTATTTTATCACCAACTTTCTTCGTTTCTGCGGTAACTTTTTCTTTAGTTTCTTTCGTAGCGTCAGCAACTTTTTGAGCTTCTTTCGAAACATCTTCGGCAAGTTTATCTTTTTTATCTTTTACAGCCGTAACTGTTTTGTCCTTTGCGTCTTTTACATCGGCAATAACTTTGTCCGCGGTATCTTGAACTCCTGTAACAATGGCATCTTTTTTATCTTTAGCCTCTTTAAGTTCCGCACTAGCTTTTTCTTTCAAACGTTCTTCTTCCAATTCAGCTTCTTTCTTCGTTTCGTCCAAAAAGTCCTTGACGTCGTCGACTGCTTCTTCGGCTGCGTGTTTTGCGCCTTTGAAGATGCCCGATAAGAAACCACCTGTTTTGTCTTTCGCTTTCTTCGCTTCTTTCTTCGCTTTATCTTTTGCAGTATCTGCTGCCTCTGCCGCAGCGTCAACTCCCGCTCCAAGTTTTTCTTTAGCGAGTTTTGCGTCTTCTTTCACTTCCTTCACCGCTGCGTCTTTAGTGTCTTTGACGCCAAGAGCTACATCCTTCGCAGCGTCGCCAATTTTTTCACCAATTTTCTTTGTTTCTGTAGTGACTTTTTCAGTAGTTTCTTTCGTAACATCAGCAACTTTCTGAGCTTCTTTCGAGACGTCTTCGACAAGCTTATCTTTTTTATCTTTTACAGCCGCAACTGTTTTATCTTTTGCGTCTTTTACGTCGGCTACAGTTTTGTCGGCGACATCTTGAATTTCCGTCACAGCATCGTCTTTTTTGTCTTTCAATTCTTTGACACCAGTGGTAACTGCGTCTTTAGCACGTTCTTTTTCCAAAGATGCTTCTCGTTTTGTTTCGTCCAAAAAGTCTTTGACATCGTCAGCTGTCTCATCTGCTGCGTGTTTTGCGCCTTTAAAAATGCCTGAGAAGAAACCACCAGCTTTCTCCTTCGCTTTCTTTGCTTCCTTCGTCGCTTTATCTTTTGCAGTATCCGCAGCTTCTCCCGCAGCATCAGCTCCTGCTGTTAATTTTTCTTTCACAAGTTTTGCGTCTTCTTTAACTTCTTTAACTGCTGCATCCTTAGTATCCTTAACACTTTGCGCAGCGTCTTTTGCAGTTTCACTTATTTTTTCACCGACTGTTTTTGTTTTTGTTGCTACTGTTTCACCAGCTGCTTTCGTAGCGTCCGTAACTTTTTGTGCGTCTGCCGCAACTTCTTTTGCAATTTTGTCTTTTGTGTCTTTTACAGCTGAAACTGTTTTATCTTTTGCGTCCTTCATGTCGGTTACGGCTTTGTCTGCGGTATCTTGAACTCCTGTAACAATGGCATCCTTTTTATCTTTCGCCTCTTTAAGTCCCGCACTTGCTTTTTCTTTCAGATGTTCTTCTTCCAATTCAGCTTCTTTCTTTGTTTCGTCCAAAAAGTCCTTAACGTCGTCAGCTGCGTCTTCTACTGCATGTTTTGCGCCTTTGAAGATGCCAGAGAAGAAACCACTTGTTTTATCTTTTGCTTTCTTCGCTTCCTTCTTCGCTTTATCCTTAGCACTATCTGCAGCTTCCGCTGCAGCATCAGCTCCAGCTGTTACTTTTTCTTTCACTATCTTGGCGTCTTCTTTCACTTCTTTTACCACAGCATCCTTCTTGTCCTTAACACTTTGCGCAACATCTTTTGCAGTTTCACTTATTTTTTCACCAACTTTTTTTGTTTCTGCCTCTATTTTTTCGCCTGTTGATTTTGTGGTATCGACAACCTTTTGTGCATCTTTGGAAATTTCGTCTCCAACTTTATCTTTAAGATCAGAAAGTGTGTGAGTGGCGGTTTTTGCATCTGTTGCGACTTTGTCAGAACTTTCTTGAACTTTGGTGACAACTGCATCCTTTTGATCTTTCAAGTCTTTAATACCAACAGCAACTTTTTCTTTAACAATTTCCTTTTCTTGATCGAGATCTTTCTTCGTTTCGTCTACGTAATCTTTCACGTCATGTGATGCTTCTTCCACTGTGTGTTTTGTGCTTTTGAATATTCCCGAAAGAAAACCACTGCCTTTGTCTTTAGCTTTCTTCGCCTCCTTTGCTACCGTATCTTTTGAAGCTGAGACAGCATTTGTTACTGCATCGCTTCCCTCTTTTAGTTTGTCTTTCGATGCTTGTACATCTTCCTTAATTTCTTTTGCAACAGCATCCTTAACATCTGCAGCTCCTTGCGTGATATCACCAGCTATTTGCTTTGTATCAGTAACTACTGTATCGCCAGCTGCCTTAGTTGCATCAGTAATATCCTTAACTTTGTCGCTTACTTTTTTACTTACACTATCCTTTGTGTCTTTCATTTCGGCAACAACAGTGTCCTTCTTTCGCTCTAGATCTTTTAGTTCCGCTTCCGCTGCTTCTTTCGCGAGCGCTTGCTCCAATGCTGCCTCTTTTTTCGTTTCTTCCAAGAAATCTTTTACATTATCAGCTGCACTATCTATAGAATGTTTTGATCCTTTGAATATTCCTGAAAGAAAACCACTTGCTTTGTCTTTGGCTTTCTTCGCTTCTTTCGCCGCTTTATCTTTAGCCGTATCTGCAGCGTCTGCCGCAGCATCAGCTCCGGCTGCTATTTTTTCTTTCACTAGTTTTGCGTCTTCGTTTACTTCTTTCACGGCTGCATCCTTAGTGTCTTTTGTGTCTTGAGCAACATCTTTTGCAACGTCACTTATTTTCTCTCCAACTTTCTTTGTTTCTGTGGTAACTTTCTCTTTGGCCTCCTTCGTAGCGTCAGCAACTTTTTGAGCTTCTTTCGATACATCTCCGGCAAGTTTATCTTTTTTATCTTTTACAGCTGCAACTGTTTTATCTTTCGCGTCCTTTACATCGGCTACAACTTTGTCGGCAGTGTGTTGAATTCCAGAAGCAGCATCGTCCTTCTTGTCTTTCAAATCTTTGAGACCAGCAGTAACTGCATCTTTAGCACGTTCTCTTTCTAATGAAGCTTCTCTCTTCGTTTCATCCAAGAATTCTTTAACATCGTCAGCTGCATCTTCTGCTGAGTGCTTTGCGCCTTTAAAGATGCCAGAGAAGAAACCACCGGCTTTCTCCTTTGCTTTTTTAGCTTCTTTTTTTGCTTTGTCTTTAGCAGTATCTGCAGCCTCCGCCGCAGCATCAGCTCCAGCTGCAAGTTTTTCTTTCGTGAGTTTGGCGTCTTCTTTGACTTCTGTAACGGCTGCATTTTTAGTATCCTTAACGCCTTGCGCAACATCTTTTGCAGCGTCACTTATCTTATCGCCAACTTTCTTAGTTTCTGCGGTTACTTTCTCTTTGACCTCTTTCGTAGCGTCAGCAACTTTTTGAGATTCTTTCGAAACATCTTCGGCAAGTTTATCTTTTTTGTCCTTTACAACAGCAACTGTTTTATCTTTTGCATCTTTCATATCGGCTACGGCTTTATCCGTCGTATCTTGAATTCCTGTGACAATAGCATCTTTCTTATCTTTTACCTCTTTAAGTCCCGCACTGGTTTTTTCTTTCAGACGTTCTTCTTCCAATTCAGCTTCTTTCTTTGTTTCGTCCAAAAAGTCCTTGACGTCGTCAGCTGCTTCTTCGGCTGCGTGTTTTGCGCCTTTAAAAATGCCCGTAAAGAAACCACCCGTTTTCTCTTTTGCTTTCTTTGCTTCCTTCTTCGCTTTATCTTTAGCAGTATCAGCAGCCTCCAATGCAGCATCAGTTTCAGCAGCTACTTTTTCTTTCACTATCTTGGCGTCTTCTTTCACTTCTTTAACAGCTGCATCCTTAGTATCCTTAACTCCTTGCGCAACATCTTTTGCAGTGTCACTTATTTTTTCGCCAACTTTCTTAGTTTCTGCAGTAGCTTTCTCTTTGGCCTCTTTCGTAGCTTCAGCAACTTTTTGAGCTTCTTTCGAAACATCTTCCGCAAGTTTATCTTTTTTGTCTTTTACAACAGCAACTGTTTTATCTTTTGCATCTTTCATATCGGCTACGGCTTTATCCGCGGTATCTTGAACTCCTGTGACAATGACATCTTTTTTATCTTTAGCCTCTTTAAGTCCCGCACTAGCTTTTTCTCTCAGACGTTCTTCTTCCAATTCAGCTTCTTTCTTCGTTTCGTCCAAGAAGTCCTTGACGTCGTCCGCTGTTTCTTCTGCTGCGTGTTTTGCGCCTTTAAATATTCCGGAGAAGAAACCTCCTGCTTTGTCTTTTGCTTTCTTTGCTTCTTTCGTCGCTTTATCTTTAGCCGTGTCTGCAGCCTCCGCCGCAGCGTCAGTTCCTGCTGCAAGTTTTTCTTTCATTAGTTTTGCATCTTCTTTTACTTCTTTCACGGCTGCATCCTTTGTGTCTTTAGCGTCTTGAGCAACATCCTTTGCAGCGTCACTTATTTTTTCTCCAATTTTCTTTGTTTCTGCACTAACTTTCTCTTTGGTCTCTCTTGTAGCGTCAGCAACTTTTTGAGCTTCTTTCGAGACGTCATCGGCAAGCTTATCTTTTTTATCTTTTACTGCAGTAATTGTTTTGTCCTTCACATCTTTTACGTCTGCTACGGTTTTATCCGCAACGTCTTTAATACCGGCAACAGTATCGTCTTTTTTGTCCTTCAGATCCTTGAGACCAGTAGTAACTGCATCTTTAGCACGTTCCTTTTCTAAGGACGCTTCTCGTTTTGTTTCGTCCAAAAACTCTTTGATATCGTCAGCTGTTTCGTCTGCTGCGTGCTTCGCGCCTTTAAAAATGCCTGAGAAGAAACCACCTGCTTTATCTTTTGCTTTTTTTGCTTCCTTTGTCGCTTTATCTTTTGCCGTATCCGCAGCTTCTGCCGCAGCATCAGCTCCAGCTGCTACTTTTTCTTTCGCGAGTTTTGCGTCTTCTTTCACTTCTTTAACAGCTGCGTCCTTAGTATCCTTAACGTCTTGCGCTACATCTTTTGCAACGTCACCAATTTTCTCGCCGATTTTCTTTGTTTTTGTAGTAACTTTTTCAGTAGTTTCTTTCGTAGCGTCGGCAACTTTCTGAGCTTCTTTCGAGACGCCGTCGACAAATTTATCTTTTGTATCTTTTACTACAGTAACTGTTTTGTCCTTCACATCTTTGACGTCTGTTACGGTTTTGTCTGCAGCGTCTTTAATTTCGTCTACAGTATCATCTTTTTTGTCTTTTAGTTCTTTGAGACCAGTAGCAACTGCATCTTTTGCACGTTCTTTTTCCAAAGATGCTTCTCGTTTTGTTTCGTCCAAAAAGTCTTTGACATCGTCAGATGTTTCGTCTGCTGCGTGCTTGGCGCCTTTAAAAATGCCGGAGAAGAAACCACCAGCTTTCTCCTTTGCTTTCTTTGCTTCTTTTGTCGCTTTATCTTTTGCAGTATCTGCAGCTTCCGCTGTAGCATCAGCTCCAGCTGCTACTTTTTCTTTCACGAGTTTTGCGTCTTCTTTCACTTCTTTAATAGCTGCGTCCTTAGTATCTTTAACGCCTTGCGCAACATCTTTTGCAGCGTCACTTATCTTTTCGCCAACTTTCTTAGTTTCTGCGGTAACTTTCTCTTTGACCTCTTTTTTAGCGTCAGCAACTTTTTGAGCTTCTGTCGAAACATCTTCGGCAAGTTTATCTTTTTTGTCCTTTACAACCGCAACTGTTTTATCCTTTGTATCTTTTACATCGGCAATAGCTTTGTCTTTAGTATCTTGAACTCCTCTAACAATAGCGTCTGTTTTATCTTTCGCCTCTTTAAGTTCCCCACTTGCTTTTTCTTTCAGACGTTCTTCTTCCAATTCAGCTTCTTTTTTCGTCTCGTCCAAAAAGTCTTTAACTTCGTCTGCTGCATCTTCTGCCGCGTGTTTTACGCCTTTAAATATGCCAGAGAAGAAACCTCCTGTTTTCTCTTTTGCTTTCTTTGCTTCCTTCGTTGCTTTATCTTTAGCAGCATCTGCAGCATCCACTGCAGCATCAGTTCCAGCTGCCACTTTTTCTTTTACTAATTTTGCATCTTCTTTTGCTTCTTTAACCGCCGCTTCTTTAGTATCTTTAATGCCATCTGCAATGTCTGCCGCAGTGTCGCCAATTTTCTCACCAACTTTCTTTGTTCCTGTAATTACTTCTTTGCCTGCTGTTTTTGTAGCATCTGCAACTTCTTTTGCGTCTTTCGCGACTTTTTCGGTACCTGCTTTTGCGAGATCCGCAGCTTTCTCCGCATCTTTTGATATTTTCTCTGCAACTGTATCTTTTTTCCCTTTTACAAATGATATTGTTTTGTCTTTTGCATCTTTAACGTCTGTCGCAGCTTTGTCAGCAATATCTTTCGTAGTAGCTACAACGCTGTCTTTTTTCTGTTCCAAGGTTTCCAAGCCATCTTTTGCTGCCTCTTTTGTTCGCGCTTCCTCCAAAGCAGCTTCTTTCTTGGTTTCGTCTAAAAATTCTTTGACATCATCAGATACTTCATCCACAGCGTGTTTCGCGCCCTTGAATATTCCCGATAAGAAGCCCGATCCTTTTTCTTTAGCTTTCTTAGATTCTTTCGCTGCTTTATCTTTCGCAACTTCGACGCTGTCAGTAATATCACGCGCTTTCTCGTCTACCTTCTTGTCGATCACATCTTTACCATCTTTGACTGCTTTCCCGACATCTTCTACTGTAGTGACAACGTGCTCTCGCACCTGTTTGACTTCTGATGCTATTTTACCATTTTTATCTTTTGGTTCGGTTGGACGTTTATCTTTGGAATGGTCTGTATCCGTTTGTTCGCCTGTGAGAATCGACATGTTTCGCGTATCCTCCAGGAACTTCGCTGTTGCGTCTCGTAGCTTCTCGTGATCGCTTTCTGGTAACTCGAGTGACGGTGTCTTTTCCTTGGATCTGCTTCTGGAACTTCTCGCTTGTCTTGGGCTTCTGAATATGCCAAAAATGCCGCTTCCCTTGTCTTTTTCAGCGACTTCACCCTCAGGAATAATAGATTTCTTAAGTTGCTCGTGATCAACAGGTGGGGATTTTGAAACTACTTCCGATATTTTGTCTTCGGGATGATGCAGGGTATCTGCTACCTGTTTTGTATCTTCCAGAAGTTTTGCCGTTGCCAGTCGAACTTCTTCATCGCCACTGTCGAAGGAAGTCTCTTTGGAAGAACTCTGTTCCCGAGATCTACTTCTCTTCTTGCTCTTCAACTTCGGACTTTTGAACATGCCGAAGAAACCGCCGCTCTTCTCCTTGGTTTCGTCACTCGCTTCTTTTTCCGCCTCGGATGTCTTCGGTTCCGGTGTTTCAGATTTTCTTTCCGTGGCAGATTTCTCAGCGCTCGTTTTTTCTGACTTTTGTTCAGGTTTTTTGTCGGTATCCGCTTTTTCTTGTATCACTTCGCGAACGACAGTTTTCTCGACGACTGTGGTCTTAGGTTGGATCACATCGTAAGACTTGCTGATTTTATCTGCAGGTATATCCACGTCGTAGTGCGTAGTCGACGTAAAAGTACGCACCTCTTCTTTGGGAGTGACTTTCGTGCCGTCGCTTTTGTATGCCACCGGCAATACGCTGGTATCAGCAATCTTGCGTGTGTCATCTAAAAGCTTCTCCGTCATGACTTTGATTTCCTCGTCACCGCTATCAAACGACGTTTCTTTCGATTTGCCGAGTTTCTTCTCCTTCGTCTTTGGACTTCTAAAGATACCGAAGAAGCTACCTTTTTCCTTAGTTTGGTCATCTCTTTCGTCGTCCTTTCGTGGCTGTTCGTCCGCCGATGCGACAACTTTCTCGATCGGTTTGCTCTTGGCATCCTCGATGACTTTTACAGCTTTTTCAATTTCAGTGTCTAGTGCACTTGACACTTCAGGAAGTTCCTTAGACGCTTCGGCCTCTTTCAGTTCTTTTTGAATTTCCAACAACATTTCGTTTTCCTTCGCAATTGTTTCCAGCTTCTTCTTCTCTTTCTTCGCAATCTGTTCCGCAGATTCTTTTGGCTTTTCGACGTGAATAGCGGGTATTACCGCACCATCCTCCTCCTTTTTCGACTTGCCTTTGAACAAACTCGAGAAGAAGCCCGACTTATCTTTGCCGTCGTCGTCGCTGTCGACGACTTCCGTCTTTTCTTCTTTTACAACGCTTTCCGCAGCCTTAGTGGGACCTTCGTAAGGTACGTGCATGTTCGCGGCAACTCGTCTGGAGTCGTCCAAGAATTCCATGGTAGCGGATTTCACATCAGGCGCGACAGTAATTTCTGCGAGTTTACTGTCGAAATGCGAATCCGTTATTTCGGCGGACGGAAGTTCCGATTGTTTGTCCGAAACTTTCGCAACAGCTTTCGGTTCCTCGTCGCCGCTGTCGAAGGACGTGTCCTTGGAGCCCTTCTTGCTCTTCTTCAATCTGGAACCCTTGAAAATGCCCGAGAATATTCCGCCGCTCTTGTCCTTCGTTTTCTTCGTCTCTTCATCCGATTTTTCTTCCGTGCTGTCTGCAGGATGCTGCGTGTTGTAAACGTCTTCGTAAGCCGAGACTTTCGCAGATTTTGCAACAGTTTCCTTGTCCTTTTCTTTATCCTTCAATTTATCCTGATCTTGATCTTTCGCTTTGTCCTTGTCCGCAGGAGCTTTCACTTCCGGTTTCTTCTGATCTGTTCGAGTCACACTTTCAACCTTCACAATCTTCTGCGCGCTACGCGTGTCCGTCTTAGAAGTTACGTCCGGAATTATTTTTTCGTCAACTTCCTTACCTTCTCTAGATTGCTTCTCTTTTTCACTAACAACGTCTTTCTTGTCGGGAGAAACAATTACCGTTTCTTTCGTGGTCACAGTCTTAGTCGGCGTCTGATCGGACTGCTTGATTACCGTAGTAGTAGTGGTTTTAGTAACTACCGTCTGACTTACTTTCGGATCACCGCTAACGGAAACTACTGTTTTTGAAGTACTAACTTTGGGAACTGGCTTTACATCGCGATGCTGCCTAATCATTGGCGGTTCGACGCTCGGCAATTGCTCGGTAACCGATTTGGAAACAATACCTTTCGGCTCGGCGGCCGCTTTGTCTAACTGAACATTAACTAAAGTCTGCCCTATAGCACCCCGTGCCTCTTTACCGTCCCGCGCATCATCATCATAAACCACCGACCACCCTTCCTTTGCTAACTTCCCCTTCTCTTTCTCAGCGTCTGCTATTACACCTGTTAATTAAGTATCATATATTTTAGCCATCTGTATATGTAATAAAAAATAAAGGAACACAATTTTATTGTCAATTTTTCGCCATCATTAGTGTAAGCTGGCTCGCTCTTTGATTGCTCTTTTTTTTTTTACTGTACTGCTGTTAGACTGTAGTGTGATTTGTGCGTGGAGTGTGTATGTGCTGTGGAGCAGCCATCTTCTCTTCTACATCAATACGTTACATTTCGAGACGAACATGTGGCTCAAGAAGGAGAAGTAATGCTAATTTAATGTGTCACAATCAATACGTGACGTAAATAGAAAAATTTCTCAAATTTTAACGTAACCAGTTTCCGGCAAAAAAAAAAAAAAAAAATGTTTGACAGTAACTTGCAATTTCAAAATATCTCTCAAAAGAAAATATTTCGATTAGTGCTGAATTAATATAATTACATGAATCAAAACGCTTTTGAAAAATGAAGCTGTTAGAATACAAACAATGTAGTAGTACGTGTGTTCAGCTTCACTAAAACCAAAACTACTTGACTACTGTTTTGAACAAGGATAGCATTACTCTATTAGTGATAATTCAACAAATTTTAATCTATCAATTATTGATATAAAAGGGAGAATACTTTGATGTATATGACGTTGACAGTCGTTTTCAAGAGCTTGTGTTCGCACAATCCTGAAAAATCGATCCGAGATCTCAGTTCGAAAAAAAAGTTAAAACTTAATTAAGCTGAAACTTAATTATTTGACATTAGCCAATGCGATCGGCAAATTTCCGCAAAAAAAAAAAAAACTGAAATTTTGTTCGAGATTTCAGATCGACTTCCAGTATTGTCCGCACAAGTTCCAATGACAGCTGCTCCGTGCGCGCACACAATTGGGCCACACATTTACTGGCCATTCATGCAACGCCAAATAATTGTAGCAAAACCTCGCTAAAACAAAATTAATCCATCGCGAAGTGAAAGGATATTAGTCGGGCATGATTAAAAATGAGATATCAAAACCATCGTGTGTGACACACGACAGCTAAAAAGAAACTTGTTGCTTTAATAGGCGAAATTAAAATATACTCTTCGTTATGGTATAGGTATATATATACGTTATATTAAAAATGAAAGCAAGCTGATAAAATTCCGAACAGATCCACACTGGCATCCAGAACCTGTGAGTAGAAGTAAAAAAGAGAACGCAGAGATAAACGTTTTTTTAGTGCATGTATGCTAATCGCACTCGGCAGAACGTACAATGTGGTCATTGTAAGCTCAGACAAATTTTATTATGCGTCGATGTGAATCGTGTCCAGAATCATTTGTGTGCGTTACACATAAAAAACAAAAAGAAACAATAATTCCCTTGTTACGTATTTCTTTCTATCGAAACATATTATTCATTCGACGACAACGCTAAAGTAAAATAAAAATCACATCGTTGATCTAATACTTACGCAGAAATCAAATTGTGCTTGTCAAAAAAAAAAAAAACAACGATGATAAATTACGAATAAAAGTCTAGTGCTAAAAGATCAGTATTACACACAAAATAATACATTTACGTGGAGATTACGTAAGCATTTAGTTTTCAATATATATCAATATATAATATATATACTTATATACATACATTTATAAATATATATGTACGTATATATATCTGTATATGTAAACGACATTCGTGGAAGAGAAGCGTAACCAATCGTAAGAAGAAGATAACGTCGAACATAAAATTCATAAAAAGCTATTTTAAGACAAACAATCGTGCACCATTCGAAACTTCTCTTTATAAGCGAGTGTACATCTTATAACTATGAACACGATATCACCGGAAGAAAGGTATGAGTATGTCTCCGATCTTTAGTTTTTTTATAGCTAATATTATCCGGCGAGAGACGCAGTTCGTCGACGGATTGTTAATGGTAGATCGAGCAGGTCGATCCCCTAAGGATCAAAGCGTGCGCCAGTACACATCACCCGCAGCATTAATCCAATCATGCTGCTGCTGAATTTTTTTAATTTTAAAGTTTAAAAAATGCGTAGTCCCTGCACATTTTGGCGACGATAGCTCCGCTAGAAACGATTAATAAAAAAAAAAAAATGGCTGCTCTGCCTGTTCTGCCAGTAAGTAATAAGTTACGTAAGCTCACGGCCCCTCAACCCCACCATTCGCATTCCAATTGCTTTGAAATCACTTACCAGAAACTATCTTGTTGGCGTCGGCGATCGCTTTCTGACGTTTTTTGTCCGGATCGTCCAGTTCGTCGCGCGACTTTTTGCTCATCGTGTCGGTCACGTGACATTTGTGCTCAAGGTAATCAGCCATCATGTCGCCGAGCTCTTTCTCGTCACTCACGTATTTGTCTTTGATGGGGGTCGAGGTTCCGTTGAATACAGTGCCGTTTGTGATTGTGACGTGCTCTTTGGCTGTGAAGTGCAGAAAATGCGTAAAAACAGGGGAAACACACGAGAAGTAACACACAACAAGCTGATGTGAACCGGTTGCATGACGAATATATACTAACGGATGTGTGTGGTGAACGGTCGCGCCCGACAAAGCGTTGACTAACATCGTTTTTCCTAAGTATAAGCGTGAGTAAAAGTGGCCGGTTTCTCTATGTGTAATCGGTACAATTATAACAGCACACGCTATGTGTGTGAGACTTGGCGTGTCATCGTTCATTCAGACATTTAGCCGTGTGACATCACAGTTTCAAATGCAAATTTGTCATATAAGAAAATGTGTAAGATCGTGAATAGTATGTGTGTGTGTGTGTGTGTTGAATTATTTCTGTGTATGTCTAATATAATAAGAAAAAGAATCGCAATGCACAAGAGCGAGTAATATAAGAAAGTAATTTTTACAGAAAAAAATTTACAAGTAACACACTCACGTTTGTCTTGCGCAGCGCCGGTGACACTGAGATCCTCGACTGACTCGGAATCCTGAAACGAAGAAAGAGAATTGCACTCTATCTTGGCAATTAAATGAGAATCCCACGCTTATGGAAACGCAGAAGATCTCGCGGAGTAAATTAAACTGTTACGTATAAACGTTCCGACTATATTACGGCATAAAAGATTATGAAAGATATCAAACGTGGACGGATTGTATCTTCCTTAATTGCGCGTAATAATAGCATGCGAACAGAGAGATAACGAGAACGAAGCAATAAAATATAGCATTTTTCTATTAAAGACGTTTTAGCATAAGAGAAGAATTTTTATCAAGAAATTTGCATCAAGCGCGTACCTTCATCCTATCGGGTTCTTCGTAATCGGGATCCATTTTAGGATCCATGGTCGCATCACGGCGAAGTGATGTGTTCCTCGACGGTCCCAATTCCTCTTTCAATGAATCAAATCCTGGCTGATCTAATCTGACTCTCGCCACAGCCTTCTCTACGTCGTCAGTTACCAGCTCGACGTTGAAAATACATTTGTTCACTATATCTTCTCGTCCAATCTTATTTAAAGCTTTTTCTAACGTATTTCCTACGAAATGAATAATACAGCGTGATGGTTTTTTAATATGTATTTAACGCGTATTTGAAAATGAGTTTTTAAAAAATTTTGAAGTTGTGACGAAATTGTGAGATATGATCGTATGCCATTGGCATTTAGGTATATCATAAAATTTTGTTTCCTCAGTTTTTTTTTTTTTTTTTAATTTTCGCACGAACCTGAATGTATTGGACATCGAGGACGCAAGCAAGGGCCTCTCCGAAATATTAAAAGAAGTTCGCTTGTGTAATGATTCTGATTTTCATATTCCTGATATAAAGTTATGAACATATTGTGTTCTTCTTTTTTTATTTAATTTAATTTTCTATTTATTATCAATAAATTTCTTGGCTATTAATTATATTTTAATTTTTTGTTAGAAATAAATTACAAAAGAAGAACGTTATTTCAGCAAAAATTGTCGGAGAAGCGTCTGTCGAAGATGATTTCAGATTCGGGCCTTGTGATTCGGCGATTTATAAAAGCGACGCAAAATAAAGAAGCGACTCGGAGAACACACTCCGGGGTCTTTAATCACTTTCACCGCGCGGCTGTCGATCACGTACTGTGGAATCACGACCGCTTGTTATTTTTGCCGATTGCAGAAAGGCCGCGCGCGAGTTACGTGCGAGTCAATGCCGTTAGCGAGAAGGAGAGGGGAAATGGTGCTTGTGGGACTTATGTCAGGCATAATAATGCAAAGTGAGATCATCATCTGCGCTGCTAGAAGAGATTCCTCGCGTCTGACTCAACTATAGCGCGCGTGTTTAATTGACCTTGTCTAAGAAACAGGTTTTTTAAAAGTCACCGGGGCGAAATCGCCGCAATTTTCAAAAGTTCGCACATCGTGTCGTTTTGAAGCGGAGTTAAAGTAAAGCGCAAAAAAAAAAAAAAAAATATGTGCGAGAACACTTGCCTGTGGCTTTGTTTCCGTTATTCTGCCAGATTTTGAACATCGCGGCAGCTTGTTGCGCGGGTTTATCCGGATATTCTTGTTTGATTAAAGCTATGTCATTGGGTGGAATATTCAGCTCTTCCGCCAACGGCTCCCAATCCTTGTCCAATAGATTGGCGATGTCCGTCAAACGGATGGTCGCTCTGTGTATAGCATCCGGTCTGCCTAGAAGTAAATATTTACCGCGCAAAGTCAGAGGTGTCGATAAAAAAAAACAAAACAAATATTGTCAATTCTCACTTTCTTACATAAGCGCGTGTTGCTGCGTATTATTTTTTTTTTTCTACGTACTTATTCCGCCGTCGCGCAGAAAACTGTAGTTCTTGGACAATTCCAGCAAATCGAGCTCGGACGTAGCCGTGTCCGGAGAGATCTTCTCCGGCAGCAAAATATTTAACGTGCAGATCGGCGTCTGCGGCAATTCGCCCCTCGGAACTTTGGGCTCGCTCATGAACATAATCCGGCCCATCATGTCAGCGGCGTCCGGGTCCTTTATTCTCGCGGTAAACGGCACTCTATTTTCCTTGAACGCTCTAAACGGCAGCTGAAGCTGCTCGCCGGTTTTCAGAACAGGTACGAGATTGCCCGAGAATTCCATATATTGAGTTTTTCCTTCCAGAACCTGTGTTACGCGACAGACAAAACTTACGTGGCGTTTCACGAGTCCGCAGATACATCACCATACGTTATTATGCGTAGCTTTAGAATTTTTTATTACGCAATTAACATTTTTATCGTCGATTAGCATTACCTCGACATCTCTGCTCTTTGCAACTTCTGTGAAGTGTTCCTGATTCTCTAAAGTTTTATCCTCTTTGTCGTCCGTCATGCAGAACACGCGTAATCTCGCTTCAAGCGGGTCTACGCGTTTCGCGAACACCACGAATCTAAAAAGCGCGAGAGTGAGATAATCGTTTCCTGTGTGTAATGTAATTCGCTCTCGTTGTTTTGTTTTTATTTAAGTGTGTGATTACGTGTTCGCGAACAAAAACGTACTTGGCCATGAAGGGCACGTGTGTCGCGTGCGTGTAGAGTTCCGTGGCCATTTTCGTGGCGTCCGAGATGTTGCGACAATCCATCAGCCAGAAGCGCGCGGAAACTGTGGTGGTGAATGAGACGCAATCTTTCACGAAGGTCAACGGCGTCGAGCCTGTAACGTCCTCCCAGACTGCCCGAGTCTGACCCCCTGAACGACATATATGCCAAGTCCAATAACATTATTAAAATATGTCCGTGTTGCAAATGCACAAGTAGCAAAAGTGAAATATGTGTGTATATATATATGTGTGTGTGTGTAAATAGTTTTGCACGATCGAGATTAAATACGAACAGTCAATAATTTTAATATAAAAATCATCTTACAAAACAGATTTTTGTTGTTTTAAGTAATAATTGTTTTTTAATAACCGAAGATAAAATTGTGACAAATCTGAAGAAATTTTAAGGCGCATTTAAAGACGATCGTTGCGAGTGCGTTTTTGTTAGGTGCTTTTTATTAAATATATGTAAAAGTAATATGACAGTGGAGTATCGACCGCATGATAATGCTAGAAAAATAAAAAAAAGCGCTATTATATATGAATTGTGTGTAGAAAGCAATCATAGGTGTGTAAATTTTTATAAAGCGATATAAAAATGATAACAGTGAAGAAACTCAAAAAAAAAACTCAACGTGTATTTGTCATAAGAAATATCGTTTGTAAAAAATGACCGTTAATTGACCAAATAAAAAATAAAAAACAATTGTGTACGTCTTTATAATTTTTTTAAAAAGAAAAAAAAATATATACAAAGATTTTACGAGTTATTGTAAAATTATAATATTGATACACAAAATATATTTTCAATAGATTCTCGCGATAAACTCAAAAAATATATATATATATATATTCTCAGTGTATATGTAATATATTTTATATTTTACTGTGTATCTTTTTTTGAACTGTATATAAAACTGGATGTATGTATAGATTAATAGAGAGAGAGAGAGAGAGAATAATATCAACAATCTAAAATTATATATCTCATGAGCATAAATTCACGTGAGTTACAAATTACTAATAATATCGAAGCGATTACCAGTCAAACGAATGTGCTGAAACAAAAACTTTTCGAAGTTAACGCTTACAATGGGCTAGGTAGTAAAAATGTTATCTACGCGCATTAATTGATAATCCATACCTAAATGACTCAATCCTAACAATATGCAAGCATTAACAATGAATCACAACAAGATATGTATACAATAATGATACTCAACGAAATGTTTTTTTTTCTTTACTATGAAACATGCAGCTACCATCTCCCTTTTAAATCTCTATCCGAAGGTCCTCGGGACGTTTGTTCTTCTTCTTTTTTCTTTGTTTTTGCTTTTAACAATACGTACGTATAACAGTAAGAAATTGTTTACAAAAACAAAACATAACGTCTCTTACAACATAGGCAAACATGTATGTAGATTTTTCTTATCTGAGTGAAGAGACCCTCAAAACATTGAAATATTTTTACACTAGTGCAAATCACGCACAAACTGTTCACCATACTAGAGACACACACGAGTTACATAAAGTGCCACTACCATTTAAGCAAAATATCTTCGTGCAATGTACTCGACTCCGTAGTCCCGATGACCTGAGAACAGGCGAGATAGCCTACCGTTCATGCCTATACTAAAACTACTAGTAGATTGGTATATACTTGAATGCGCAATAATATATAAGTTCGACACAAGAGCGTACACCGAAGGTGTGTATGCGGCGTATACATGTATATATAATATCAGTTTCAGTAGCCGTGTTTTTTTTTTGTCGGTAAGAGATTCTCCAGTAAGACGGTACGCTGCTCTACAATGTTACGTGCAAGCATATATTACCAGTTATGCTGCACAGAAGTCGCAGAGTCGGCGCGTCCCCGGAGTACTGATTGATCATGCCCTTGTTGGCCGCCTGCGGCACCGGAATAGTCAAGGTTATCGGTTTGTGGAACTTCCTTCGTCTCGGCTCCACGGTAACGATGGGTGACACCGCTACTCTGTTCCCGAGTAACTTGGCGACGAGATCAGCCGGTATAGGATGCGCCTGCACAAGTGCGTCAATAACAGAAAGAATTAACAATATATCATTATGTTGGTGCAAGTCGCAATTATTTTTGCGCCAACATAATTTATTGACAAATAAACTAATATTAAGTAAAAATTAAAAATATTAGATAAAACGTAAAAATTACGTCGATTTTTCACAACGAGAACAAGAAAACGAAGAAAAATACCTGTAAACCGACTCTGATCTTCTTTGTGAGTGCCGCTTGCGGGAAGATAGCTTGCACCTGTGGCACAGCGGACGACGACACGGTTCCGCCCTCGGGACCAACCGCATGAACCTCTTGCCTGATGCGCGACACTACCGCGAAGTAATGTGGAAAATCTACAGTGAGTATCCTCACGATTCGAGACGTCTGGAGATCCTCCAGCTGGCTTAACTCTAGAAAAAGAAAATATACAATTCTCATTGAGAGCATGTAAGTTAAAATTTACATTTCGTATACTCTGACAAGATAAATAATTTCTCTAAACAAAAAAAAAAGACATCTCACCTTCTCCCTCAAAGCTCTCGTTAAGCACGTCCTGGACAGCCTCCTCGCTGGCTTCCAGGGTGTGCTCGCGCCAAGTCTCCCCGTTGTCCGACCGTAGAATTACGATTTCCCGTTCTTTTCCGCGCAGCGACGCGAAGTGTGGCACCTCTATGATAACAGGGCTGCGTAGGGAAAAATTATATTTGAGAAGGATCTGTTTTCCCAGGGGAGGAGTGATAAAACGTATCACTTCTTGCCACCGCAGTAGTGTACATACCCTAAGAATTTTGCACCCACGGGGCCCAGTTCGAGGATGCGGCTGGCTAAAGCCTCTCCCTCCATCAGGGGGGGTGGATTGGTTAGTTTGTCCCTTCTCAAGTACCGGCACGTGACTCTCATGGGCATCGCGGCTTTGCGCGGTGGAACAATTACGCGGACGCCACTGTGTCTGCATCCGCGCATTGCACCACCTCTCGCGTCCACCAGGAAGGAAACCAAAAAGCTAGACAGGAGATTTCGAAAGTTTAACTCGGAGTTAACGACGCGCCGCGATAAGCCATCGGAAACATTGCAGAAAAAAAAATATACATATACAGGTTGACTATCATAGATACAATCAAAGTGTCTATCTTATTGTTATATAAAGTTGCTTTGAGAAAAAGCTCTCGTTGAGAGAGCTTTCAAACTACTACGACTATATTCACACACTGATCATAAAAAAAAAAAAAAAAAAATACAATAAAAACAAATTTTTGTATTTACTGCAAAAGAAATTTTTGTAAGGTTTTAGAAAATTTATCCTATACAGTATGAAACTTGCTTTTTACGTAACATGTCTAATTAATAAAATCTGCGTAATTACTATAAAGATATATCTGATCAATTTGACGAAAGATTCGCGACGATTAAATATCACAATAAAATCAAAAGGATCGATTTCGCATAAATATACAAAGTTTAATATATTGATGTCAGTCACAATGCACTGTATTTAATCGCTCACGCGATTTGAACGGTGCAAGAACAAGTATGCGAAGCCGGGAAGCAACATTTTCCAGGATTTATGTAAAACTATTTAAGCGTGACACGTGTGTCGAAAATTATCGGCGAGATAGATATAGTTTGTTAAAATCTTGCAACGCGATGCTACATATACGCATCGATCGCGTTAATGTCGTGACGTCGTCATTAGATTACGTGACATGTATCTCCTAGGATGGATATTAGTAACAGTATAAATTCAGTATGATATGGTACTTGTCAATTACCGTGCGCAAAAAACAAAAAGACAAAAAATACACAACAATTTCAAATAAACGATCAAAAGTAAACTTGCGACAATAGAGCTACACGAGAGGTGTGAACGACAAAAAAAGTGACAATAAAAAATAAGTAAATAAAACAGCTATCTATCTAAGAGTCAAATCTCTATGGGTATGTAGAGTTTTATACAATCTGAACGAGAAGTGTGTGTGTGTGTAGAGAGAGAGAGAGAGAGTTTACATGTGTGACAAAAAATAATACAGATAAATAAAACAACTACCTATACACAGAGAGTCAGATTTATATAAAAATATATTTGTCTGTTAGATGAGAGTGTGATGTAGCAACAAGCGCCAAACTAACGAACATTGAACGGTGGAGGTGTCATCTAATTCGATTCAAAACGAACTGGGTCCATTCAATTGCTCTCAACTACTACGGCAATGCCAGGCGCGCTGAGAGGCCGTTCCGTTGATGAGTCTATAAATTATTCACAAGGAAATTGTGTAATGCACAGCGAACACGGAAGTCGAAACAAGGACGTCATATTTTTCGACGCGAAATCGCGGTATCAACGGCTCGCGCGAACCCCGTCTCATTTAGAGACAATCAATTTCTTTAAATTTTACATTTAATTGCACGCGTGTTTAGATTGAGACGCGCATCCGTCGTACGCACGTTTGTCGAATAATTCGCATCGTCGCGTTATAAACTTCAGAGAACTTCAATAATTTATTATCGAGAGAAAAAGAGAGACTCTGCTGTTTTATTCATCACTCGCGCGTTTCTGCGACGCGATAAGGTCCACGGAGAGAGAGAACACGTGCTTGACTTCTGAATAATCTTTTTAACGAGTTACGCATTCGCCGTGCAATACGATATATGCTTCTAGTGATAATCAAGTCAGCGGGGCTACGAGGGAGTGGGTTTGTGCAGTGACAGGCGCGCGCACGTGTACGTGTAGTGACGATAGGAAGAAAAATTAGAGAATAAAAAGAAAAAATCGAGAAAGGGGGGGGGGGTGTAATGTAACATGGAAAAACTGCAGAAGCTAAGATTGAAGAGAAGATCACTTACTTTCTCCACTGTGGAATTCTGCGAGTAGCGCAAATAAAATAACAGAGAGGATCGGGAACAAAATAAAAAACGCGTTAGTATCCATTCGTTCATAAATATGAGATGATGAGATGACATAATTAAAGAGAGAGACAGATGAGATTGCGATATACATAATATATATCACTAATACTGATCACATTTCTGACAGATTTTCGAATACGTATTCGGGTTTCATAATCAGCACGATTATTTTACATCACAGTTCTGATTCTCTCAACGACGTCTCGGACGAGAGACGTCAATTTTTTTCTTTCTTCTTTTTTTTTTTTTTTTTTTTAAATTTTTACCTTTTTTCTTTTTTTTTTTCAACTCTCGGTCAAGCTCGATCGTCGCTGATCACTTCGAAAACCCGCAACTCACCACACGCAAGCTACTTCAAAACATTGCAAGTGTCTCTAATCGATACATGACTACGCGAAACGAGAGAAATATAACAATAATAATTATGTATTATAGTAGAGACGTCACACACACCATTCACGCTCTGCGAAAAAAAAAAAAGACAATTGTACATTTTCGAGGGTGTGAAACTCAAAATACAATGGCACAATCGAAATCTGTTGTGAGAGATTCTCAATTTCGCGCGCATGTAAATCTGAAAAAATTCATATTTTTTTGTTGTTAAAAAAGAAAAAGAAAAAGAAAAAACATAGCGCGCGTATTCAAATCACGCGCAATTAACGCAACAGATTCCGCCGCATTCGCGCGAACTAGCTTGACTCTTAATTAAATACAAGAAGAAAATAAATTATACAAGAACATCGACGACAGCAACAGCTGTTGCAACGTTGAAATCTCCTACGCTCTACTGTTCAACAACTTGTGCGTTGGACGAACGATTCTTTTTTTTTTTTTTTTTTCAAAAATGTGCGCGCTCTCCGCATCGTTTCTTTTCGTAGAAAAATGTTGACAACTCCGTTTGTCTCTGAATAAAAAGCGAGATTTTTGTTACTATCAAGCGTTATTGGTAAAATTCTCGATGTCGGACAATGACGTTTGATGTGACGTCGGCTCGAGAGAGAGAGAGAGAGAGAGAGCGGCGCGTATTTAAAACGCGATGGGAGAGAGATAACATATAAAGGATATATATGGTGTACCTGTCCCTCCACATTCCTTGTCCTTTCGGCACGGTACTGAGGGCTGCCAGCGAAGTGCATAGGGACTCTAGAGACTCGCTGTATCCTCGGAAAAGAACCGATTTTCATTATCACGACAACACGGATCTCTCACGATGTCATGCTTCTCATGCTGCTCTCGCTCGCACATATATAATTCGCACACTCTTTCTCTCTTTGCATCCATGGCATTCAATTTTTTTTTTTTTTTTTACAGATGTAAGTCTCCAGAAAAGAGAGAGATGTTCGATGTGTGCTCGTGCAGAAGAACAGACTATAAACGTTGCTGTTAGATATTGTTCGTTACGATAGTCAAGATTTTTTCTACATGAAAGAAGAGAGAAAGAGAAAAGACACGCGGAATTTTCTCTCGCGGAAATTCACCACGGCGATTTGTTACGAGAGAAAGAGACAGAGAGAGAGAGACATTCTTCTTCAAAAAATTCGATCACACAAATCAAGTCAAGTGGTTAGTGGAGAGAGAGTCGCGGCGATAAAACGAAATTATTCACAATTGTTGTCAAAGAATCGTTCATCCACAAGTGAAACGTGAAGGAAAACCAAAAAAAAAAAATAAATAAATAAATAAACGGCATGCTCAACAACTAAGTCGTATAACTTTGGCTAACGAGCAAGCAGGCTGTATAACATCAAGCTTCCTGTCGAGCAGACTGAATGACTATGTAGATATAAAATATAATATATATCGCATGTATGTTTCTCCTATATCGTCTCAACATTTAAATCCAAACCAAAACTATGGAGCAACAAAATTCGCTAGAATACATGAGTGTGGTTTTCGACGCTACGTTGTGTTGTGATATCATTTGCGTGACTGTTGTTCTGTCTTCTTCGCGATCTAAACGCGCGAGTTATTGAATTACCGACGCAATGTTCTTCAGAGAACATATTTCTCAATTGAGAAATCCTTCCATTGCGTGCGCGCACGCGCCACGCTAAATTGTCTTCTTACGCGTCGCGAACAATCGAATCTATATTTGCATCGGCCGAGGATTTTTAATTGTGTTAATTTATATCACGCGCTTGCAAAATCTAGCGAAGAGATTCAGAAGAACGCGATCGTGCGTATCCTCCTCTTCGCGCGCAAACGCAAATTTACTTTCGCGCTTTCTTGAAAGAAACTTGCGCGCAATTTAAATTATCTCGTTAACATCTTTTCACCGATAACACTTAATCTCTGATTAAATATTTATTTGTACCCGACTTTTTATTCCGCCAAAGAGATACACATAATCTCAATTCGCGCGACATTATTTGAACAAAAAAATATCGCGATTGGCGCTCGTGCAAATATTTGCCTCTCTTATTGCCGAAGAGAAAAGAAAAAAAAAAAGAAAAACAAAGATAAAATTAACACAAGAGACCGATAATCGTACGTTAAGGGTTAATCACAGCGGGGAAAACTTTCACCATCACACACCGTATATATATATCACACTATAATACACATCATTATTGTTTCGCGGCATCACAGTACAGTGTCGATACGGCGCGCGATATGCACACCGAAGGTGCAAGGTCGCGTGCACGCGGGATATCGCATTTCTCGCAATATTGGATAACGTTTGTCTATATAGTGTTTCCCTCACACCTGAGATTTCCCTCAGTTTTTGCAATAGATAGAAGTTGCTGCGTGTAAAGCTGAGCTAAAATTTTTACATCGAAATGTATTTCAGAAAAAATTCTCTCATGTGTCGTATTATTATGACACGCGAATTGATATACGCATTTAAAATCCGAGATAACTCACTGAACAGAGTAAATAGATAGTTTACACAAAAATTTTTATTGCACATAATAATTATTTCGCATTCTACCCCCTCATGTAAATTAATTTGAGATTTTATTAAGACAATACGTGCGCGAAACATTCCTCAAAAAATGTAAAACGCCCGATCCTGGTGGATCAAAAACCCTCAAAATAACATGCATTGAATTTTGTACAGAGAATGTCGTGATGTTACGTCAATTTTTTTTTTTTTTTTTTTTTTTTTTAATTTATACACTTATCAACTGTATAAAATCTCACGGCAAACCATGCATATATTCTGTCAAATTTATTTTCTGTGTACACTATGTTATTACTGATAGAGATTCAAATAGGAACAAGTAGAAATACTTTGTTGATTTTCAATATTATGTACAGTGCAAGAGAGATTTTTTGTTTTTTTACACTATTTGTACAACAAAGTCTCTTAATGTAATTGTCAAAACAACAAAAAATTAAACTATTATCATTTTGATATCATTTATGTCACTCTCAAAGGTAACAAAAGCGAACATAGATTGGAAGAATACGTACCCGACATGCACAGGATGCCTGTTGATGTCAACATTGTCCGGCTTGAGATTGGCGGCGGTCGTACGCTGATAGTTTTCTTTCGTAATCATCTCTGTTATAGTTGGTGCTAGAAAACACATCGTTGTCATGCAAATTAAAATTGATTTACCGAGAGTGATCTAATCTCGTCTATAACAACGCGATGCGGCGTAAATCGAATATGAATGATAAATCATCGAATCATCATTTTAAACGCTAATGAACGCATGTAGATTTTGTTTTTCTCACATATTTTGCGCAGTGTCAATACAACAACTTGCAAATTACCATTGAGATTGTATAGACGAACAACTTTCAATGTAAAATTACAATCCAAATTGTGTGTATAATAAATCACGTGTAAATACGAAGATAAAGATTTCGTCTAATTGTTATCTAGAGAGTTGCTAAATCAAATAATAAATCTATCTCACAAAGATCTCACGAGAGAAAAAGCGCGATGATCTGAAAACTAAATTAATCTCTCTTACGTGTGTGTGTGTGTGTGTGTGTGTGCGCGCGCGCGCATGAAGTTGTTCGAACGGTATGCATAAGAAATACGAAACGAATAACAAGAAAAATTAATGCGTACCTGCGGAATGTCGATTGTCCCTCTCGTCGTCCGTCACGTTCATGCGCATCGAGTCATCCGCCATGGATTTCATGTCGTCAACAGTCATGTAACGATACTGCTGTTGGTCGCTGAGCATCGGATCCTCACCTGCAGTAAACATCAAACGAACATGAACGAAGATGAACGACGTGTACGCGAAAGAGAAGAACTGCGTTCTCTTGCATTTCTCTCTTCGGTAGTAGAAGAGTATTGACGAAGTTTTTTTTTTTTAAGATGAACGGTACACAAAACATGTGAACGTCGCAGAGGATTTCATCTACAGAAATATATGCGCATATAAGTGAGAGAATTATGAGTATGAGAGCCTGCAAATAAAAACAGAAACCATTGCCAAACACATTATTGTATAGTCAAAGCCGAAGAAGCGAGAGATTTGCTCGTATTGGTGTTTTGTGTGAGGCGTCGTCCCATTACGGGCTATAAAAAAATGACAAACGACTTAAGAATGTCCGATAAAGAAATTAAAACAAAAACTGCAGTATGTGTGCTGACGAGAGATTCCGTTCTGTTGAATTTAACGTCGCAAAAATCGACAATAAGTACATAATAAGTCATGAACGTCAATCTCGCGTCGATCAGAAGTGTATTTCGAACCGTGTGTTCAGAATTATTTCGACAGTTTCGAGTGCTTCGAAACAGCACTCGTTTTTGTCTGGACGAGAAACAGAGCTGCTTGCGCAGTTGGTTGTCCGTCATTTACTTTTAATTGCTCGAAATATTCCGAATCGTGCGCACGGTGTCACTTCGCTATTATTCAATGTCGAATTAAATGCAACATGTTGGTGTTTAACTTTAAAAACGTTCTACGTTTAATATTCAATGAAAAAAAAAAAAAAAAAAAATCAATGTTCTTTCAAACTTCTTCGGTATATTTTATAAACACGGTCTCTATCAGCGAGCCACGCGATGCGTGTATCAGCCCCGTATCTACAATCGACAAATCAGAAAAGATTTAAAGATCACGGTGGCGTTTAACCGCGAAAGAAGAATGTCGTCAAATCACGTTGTACCTTGTGTCAAGTGGGGGTCACGGTTGCATTACATCTATCTTGCACTCTGAGATAGGTAATGTAAAAACAAAACGACGAGTGCACGTGCAACACATACGAACCGTATCACATTTTTCATGCGACTGAGAGCCGCTCGGCTTTACGATCCCGCGTTATCAGATATTTCAAGAATGTAGGCCACAATTATCTAATGAACGGTCAGCCTACAAATTCACCTCCCACGTCTCGCACTCTGTCGTTACCGTTAGCATAATTATGAATTAACTTCGCGCTGCTTAATGCCGATCGGGAATGCTTATTATCAAGAATGCGCTGTAACATATATATATATTAACATATATATATATGTATGTTATATATATGCAGCAATGCAAAACAACGCGCGACATAATTTTAAATATTATTTATAAAAATATGAAAACTTTTTACATATTATACTAATTATTAATATTATATATTTTTCACACATTATACCAATTACATATTAATTATCAATATCAATTAATTATCATATTTTATATTGTACTGACATTATTTATGTTATTTTTATATTAATTTATATTAATTTTGTTATATTACTGAATACTCTTACTATAGTAATATTAATTATATTGATGTATTAGTCGATACTATAACTAATAATTGAACTTTGAACATCAATATTTGAAATTGTCTAAAATACAGATTTTCTCTGTTTGACAAACGTCAAAATCGACGCGAGAACTCAATTATTTAATTACTATTCGCTCGATTATTTCTCTGGAATGTAACGAATTCGACGGGAATATCTAACATTGCTAGAGAGATTGCGCGTGTTCTTTCAAGCGGCTCTACTCTTGATCTACATTTTCCGACGCGGTTTCGGACGCGCGCGGTTCTACGAAGATCTCGCGCGGATACGGTTTCGCAGTCACCCCCATTTACTTCATGGTTCGCGATGACGTCAAAGCGCCTATAATCCGCGCGCGGAACTCTCACGCGCGCGCGAGAGTTGCGTGCACATTCGTTAATATCTAAAATTAATGTAAACATCCGAGGAAACGCCGCGCGGACGACCGAGCGATTATATGGCACGGCGTGTGTGTACCATAGAAACTGTAACGTAGGAGCGCTAATTTTAACGATGTTTCAAGGACGCGCGAACAGTCGTGCGAATTCCGCGCTTCTCCCGCGAAATGTCGTTTCTCTACCTATCCGCACGGGCTCGCAAACCCGCGACGAACATCAGTGACCTACATATATCTTTCGCCGCGGACCAACGAAAAGTCACGGAGAGAGAGAGAAAGAGAAAGAAAGAGAGCTGCACGTACAAATGATCACATCAAATTGAGTGCATTTAAGATGTTGGCGCGCGCGCTCTGCGTCATGCACCAGAATAGTTCGTCGTCTTAATCGCGATCGGCGCGCGTTTTCTTTGAGCGCGCGCCGATCGGACTAATCGGATCGACGCGCGCAACTAGTATAGTAGTTACGTGCCGATAAAAAAATTCATCAACATTGTGAACGCACGTAGCGGATACTTATAACAATCGGGGCGTGCCGGGAAACTAACTTTTTCTCAATCCTCTTTCTTGATCCGCGCAACACGATCTGTTTATTCCGCGCACGCAATAAAATTTACAATCGCGCACGAACGCCGCGTTTCGATCGACTGACTTGTTTAAGACACGAAAAAAAAGCAAAGATCACCGCCGCGTTGATATCGAGCCGCGATATCGCTCGTCTCGCGTTTCCTGCGTATCGCGGCGTTGCGCAAAAAAAATGAACGAATTTACGAAATCTCGCGACAAACAAGTCGACGCGCGCGAAGTTCTCGATTTGTCTCGCTCTCTCGCGAGGTTTTAACTCGCGTTCTCGATTCAAAATTCCGGAAATCAGAAACTCTCTTCGCGCTCAGTAGCGCTCGGGGGAAGATCGGATCGAACGGGAGATAAGAAGCGGGCGGAACACATCTTACGCAACGGCGTCGTCGTTCGCGTCATCCGAGATCTCTCATCGGAGAAACGCGTCACAGTTCTCTTTTTTTTTCTCTCTCTCTCTCGGGGGAACCAGCGGCGCGTTTATTAACGCTGCGAGATTATCTCCCAAACGGGATTACAACGGGATTACATTTTCTCGGACAGGCGATGTGATGTTTATTATCGTCCAAGTTCGTTTACCAGAAAGACGGACAAGAGCCGACCCAGTTTGCTCGCCGCAAGGCAACGGCAATTAAAGCCGGCTTGGCGATATAAGCGGACGAACTTTTATCGCGCTATCGTATACGTATGTATATCTCCGGCCTGCGTAGTACGTAGACGCTAAAAATATACCGGAAGAAACGCAAGCCGCATATCGCGAGTCCGACTGTTTCTCTCCTCTTCCGACGGACAGTGGGATCTTTAGACGCGCCCTTGATCGCGTCGGCGAGAAGAAGCGCACGATATCATCATTCACTTCTTATGTCATTGATGGGCTTCTCGTCCCGTTTCATTGTCGCTCGCTTGTACACATAGCGCGATAGTAGTAGTAGTAGTAGTAGTGGTGATAGTAACAACAGCGCCGTATGGCCACGACGGGTCACGTTCCTCGCTCAATTATGCGCGCGATGACGGTCGCGTTTTCGCGGCCGGAATACACGTATCGCATTCGATATCGTACGAATTAGCTCGCGGTGAAGACAACAATACACGCGATACCTGATCCCGTTGTTGCGCGTCAAAAATGCGCGTCCGCTCTCTTTCTTTTTCTCTTCTTCTTTCGCTTTGTATCAATTTACAGAGCGGACGGGACGGACGACAAGTTTTCCGCGACGATGCGACACGCTGCACTGAGAACGACGCGCGCGCTGCACGCAAATACTAATTTTTTTTTTTTTTGCACGCGAATCGCTCGCCACTGGCGATACCTCGCGATATAAAATTGAATCTTCGCGACGCGCGCGATCGTTTGTTCGCGTCTCTCGTTCGCGCACAATCGCGTATTATTTGTCACATGTGTGTGCGGCGCGTGTACGTACACAAATCCACATTCCATCTGGAGGATAATCGACGGTCTCACCTTGTGATTAATCCGTCTTTAACAGAACAGAAGCGCAACCGGTAATTAAACGGAAATAAAAAAAGTCACGGCGCGCACATCACGTCACGGCGCACGCGTTCTTGTAAAATTTGCCGAGAACGCAAAAGATATGCGATTCACGCGACGCGAAAGCGAAGAATCCAAAAGAGAACCGCAACTCTCGGCGTCGAAAATAAATTTCGCGAAATTCGCATTTCGAGCGAATTGTTCGCGGAGCGGACGGCGTCGGCGTTTCGTATATACAGAAATACACGAGAATCCAAACACACCACAACGGTGCGCCATTCAGTGCTAAATGCGCGCCTCTCTCTCTCTCTCTCGAAAATCAGTGACGATTCTCGAAGTTTGCTGCGGTGCCCTATATATCCAATACAAAATTAAAGCTCTATACGAAAGCTGTCGCTCTAGTCTGTGTGTGTGTGCGTCTAATGCGAATCGAACTTTACGACGCTCGAAACGTGAGAAGATAACAAACGAGTAAGTTGTGAAAAATTGTTAAAAACTTCTTTTGCGATTTACTTCTCGCCGAGAGGTTTGACGTTTTTCTTTCGCAGTGACTTTTTTTCTCGTTTTTTTTTTTTCAAATTGAAATCAGGAGAGTAAAAGGATTTTCTGTATACAAGATGCAAATATCCATCCGAGAGATGTAGATTTTCGAATTGAAATTAATTTGAACTATATTACCTGTATTAAATCACAAAGATCTTATCATTTCTTCGTTGAAAAATTTTTTACAATGACTTTTTGCGATTTATTTTCTCTTTAAATTTTTTCGTGCAAAAATACCATTTCTTCCAAATTAAATAACCGAATTTTCTCTTGTTAATTTGTGATACAAAAAATGCATCACTTCAACGGATTATCCGAAGCAACTCGGAAATCCTCTCGAGCACGTCGTCGCGCTCAAAAGATCCGACCTGGATTTCGTTCCTGATATTTGAGCGCGCACACCACGCCCAAATGGATATCCGTCATTTGCTACGGCCGCGATGCGCCCTCGATCCGAGACAATAAGCC